GAAGTTATACTTCTTTAGGCGCGTTATGAAAAATTGATGAGAGTGAAATTCTTCGATGCGCGCGCACCGTGACACCAAATTAACAGAATGAAGTTGCCCACTGAAAATGCTACGGCATTGGAAATAATTTAAGAACAACATTCGAATAATAATAGAATTTATGTTACACTTAATGTAAGAGAATAATAATACATATTTATTTATTTAATTTTCAAATGTAAACTGAACTTTATTGACTATAATGACTCCTTTGATTATTTAATTGTAATTAATTATTTGCATGCAATCAACAACTATTTTTAATAATGCCAAAGAAGTATAACTTCTTACGCGCAATAAGTAGGTACACGCACCCTTTTTTTAAATATGTTTTTTTACACGCAGCAACCGTAGCTAGAACTTAAAGATGTCTTAAAAACTATTTGCCCATGACTGCGTATGAAGTTCTACAAAATCAAGTTTAATCAGTAAAATTAAAAAGAAATAATGATTTACTAAAGCGTAGTTAAAAGAATTAACGCACTTTTATTCATAAATCGGCGCTATTTATTTAATGATTCCCTTTTATACCATTACTCAACCGAAAAGTGACCCTGTAGAAAGATATTAGAGCGACTCATGGCTATGTGTAATACCTTTTCAGAACGCCTATTAAATGCACCAAAACTTGTAATACAGGGTAGAGTATTTTTTTTTCACAGTGGGGTTCGAAGTAAAGAAAAAGTTATGATTTGAAAAAAATTATATCGTATAACTTAATATTATCTTCAATACACTCAATAAACAACTCTAAATAGTATGTCTAACGCAAGAACTCATCAGTACCAATCTAGTTGATTTTTTCGAGTTTTATTAAGAAATAGTAAAAAAAGTCAATTTTCTTATAAAAACGCAAAATAAATTATAACTCTGCAGCGGTTGAGCTTAGAGACCTCCCGTAGAATTTTTTTTTGCAGCTGATGACCTCATCGATCCCCTATTTGCGTTTGATACACGACTTTTTGAGGAACCTGTATATATCTACTACAGACGACATGTATTCATTTTCAGAGGTGGATGGGTGTTAGTATGCGACTACTACGCGGCGCTTATAATTCACGAAGTACTGAACGCGTTCGCTGCTTTTCACTTTCAGTTTAAACGCATATAGACTTGAAACTTGTAAACTCGTAACCCTCTGCGCTTGTATGCAATCCTGGTAACTATCAATAAACTTTTCGCCAAGGCCTACCACTTAAACTTTCCGGTCTTGTTAATAATTAATTAATTATTTATCGATCAATTTCTTTATAGTAAGAAATATAACTAATTATTACTTGAGGGCAAAGTTGCTCTTTATATTAATATATATAATTATATATATAATATATTAATAGATAATTGGATACTAGTTATAGTATTTGCAATCATCCCATTAGAAAGAGTCATACAGATTTTTATTTTATACTAGCTGGCCTGGCGAACATCGTACCGCCTAACAGACCATTCTTTATTTATTTTAAATACTTATTCTGCTATTCGGGACACCGGTCTAGCTAGTAAGATAAAAAAAAGAAAGTTGATAAGACAACAAATACATTATGTCAAAAAATTAAAATATACCTTCCCGGAACCTCTCCACTAACACTTGAACTTTATGATATGGTATTAAAGTTCAAATTGACTTTTAAGTATTATTACGAGTATTTTGTATGGGAATATAGAAGTGTTGTTTTTAGACTTTTTCACTCAATATTTTTTAATTTTTCTCTCCGTAAGAACCATCCTCGTACTTCAAGGAATATTATAAAAAAAAAATTGGCCAAATTGGTCCAGGCGTTGTTGAGTTATGCGCTTACCAACACATTTTGCGATTCATTTTTATATTATAGATTTAGAATCGCATCTGGGATACCAGACAGATTGCTAAGCCATCTTGGTAAAATCAAAATACCCAGCCATTGGGAGGAAGTAGCCAAGGTGGGAAGGGAGAGCAGTACGTTGATCGCCCCATAAAATCAAAATGGAAACCTATTTAAACCCAAAAATATTTCATAAGGTCAAAGACCTAAACAAACCAAGACAAAGTTAAGTTCAAAAATGCAAGCCCTGTTTTGGATATTGCGAGATTGAACTTGCAGTGGAACGTCACGTTAGCCTTCGACATTCCAACTACAAACACCTCGTTTTGCGGAAGGCTTGCATTTTCCAACCTCTACGTTATCTATAACTTCCTAGTGACTGAAATGCTAAATATTGCACATCTACGTGTCGTTGTCGAAAGTTTATATGCACGCACATTATATGCAGGTTGATATTACGTGTGTACAATGACGAATATAAAGTAGAGTAAAGGATTATTAAGTAAATAAATTATGAGTCAAATAAAAAGGGCTAATAATTTAGTAAAGCGTAATTAAAAGACATTTCTTAAATACAGCTGTGTATTTATGATTCCCTTATATAAAGGCACAACATGTACATAACGGTTATTTTATGTAAAAAACAAATCAAGAACTATTTGTTGGGTATGGTCTCATAAAATATCTAAATAATCGTTACTATACGATGATTGCGATTAAAAGTAAAATCTCATCCCTTTATCGACTTCTGGTGGGGGTGGGTGGTTGCACTAAACTTCCACTACAAGCCGCTTATGGCTCCCTAGTAATCGAATGCACGGGATTGCACTTTCTTTCGGCAGATACGAAATAGTTAATAATAATCATAAAAGTACTTTAAATTGGATAAATAAATGTGCTGATTACAAAAAATTTGGCGATAACATGATTGATTGAATCCCATGGTACTACCTACTGATCCATAGATCACGGCTTACTTCCAGAAGTTAAAAGATTAATAATTAATTCGGTTTCACTACTGAGATCGTCACTAAATAAATGCATTTTAAATGTTGATTAAACATTTAATAATTCCTGCAAACTCATATGTAACGTTTATACTTTATATATACATATATGTACACCTAGTACTATGTGACATTTATTAAGTAAACGTTAATGTCATTTTTATTAATAAATGCACGTTTAACCTACCTGGGTATATATGCTAATGAGATGTATGGGAACTTGGAAAAATTATATGTTACATTACGAAGGACGAAAACTTGCAGAGAAAAAATTAAATTGCAATCAAAATGCAATTAATCATAACTCTATTGTGTTTCCGTATGTTATCTTAATGTATCTTATCATTGAGCATATTCCTAACAGTGACAGTTTCAATGTTAATAAAAGTTTAAAAAATATCGTCTTTTAAAATATACTTACTACCACAAAGTAAAGAAAAGTATTATTAAGTAAATAAATTATGAGTCAAATAAAAAGGGCTAATAATTTAGTAAAGCGTAATTAAAAGATATTTCTTAAATACAGCTGTGTATTTATGATTCCCTTATATAAAGGCACAACATGTACATAACGGTTATTTTATGTAAAAAACAAATCAAGAACTATTTGTTGGGTATGGTCTCATTAAATATCTAAATAATCGTTACTATACGATGATTGCGATTAAAAGTAAAATCTCATCCCTTTATCGACTTCTGGTGGGGGTGGGTGGTTGCACTAAGCTTCCACTACAAGCCGCTTATAACTCCCTAGTAATCGAATGCACGGCATTGCACTTTCTTTCGGCAGATACGAAATAGTTAATAATAATCATAAAAGTACTTTAAATTTCTAAAAATCACGGCTTACTTCCAGAAGTTAAGAGATTAAAAATGAATTCGGTTTCACAATTGAGATCGTCACTAAATAAATGCATTTTAAATGTTGATTAAACATTTCTTAATAATTCCTGCAAACTCATATGTAACGTTTATATATACATATATCTACACCTAGTACTATGTGACATTTATATAGTATACGTTAATGTCATTTTTATTAATAAATGCACGTTTAACCTACCTGGGTATATATGCTAATGAGATATATGGGAACTTGGATAAATTATAAGTTAGATTACGAAGGACGAAAACTTGCAGAGAAAAAATGAAATTGCAATCAAAATGCAATTAATCATAACTCTGTTGTGTTTCCGTATGTTATCTTAATGTATCTTATCATTGAGCATATTCGTAACAGTAAAAGTTTAAATTTAAATAAAAGTTTAAAAAATATCGTATTTTAAAATATACTTACTACCACAAAGTAAAGTATTATTAAGTAAATAAATTATGAGTCAAATAAAAAGGGCTAATAATTTAGTAAAGCGTAATTAAAAGACATTTCTTAAATACAGCTGTGTATTTATGATTCCCTTATATAAAGGCACAACATGTACATAACGGTTATTTTATGTAAAAAACAAATCAAAAACTATTTGTTCGGTATGGTCTCATAAAATATCTAAATAAACGTTACTATACGATGATTGCGATTAAATCTCATCCCTTTATCGACTTCTGGGTGGGGGTGGGTGGTTGCACTAACTTCCACTACAAACCGCTTATGGCTCCCTAGTACTCGAATGCACGGCATTGCACTTTCTTTCGGCAGATACGAAATAGTTAAACATAAATAATAAATAAATCATAAAAGTACTTTAAATTTGTGTTTAAATTGATAAATAAATGTGCTGATTACAAAAAATTTGGCGATAACATGATTGATTGTATTCCATGGAAAGTAACCTACTGATCCATAGATCACGGCTTACTTCCAGAAGTTAAAAGACTATAATTAATTCGGTTTCACTACTGAGATCGTCACTAAATAAATGCATTTTAAATGTTGATTAAACATTTTTTTTATTTTTTTTAAATCTACCTGGTTATTCATATGGATATGATATATATGGGAACCTGGAAAAAGTATAAGTTAGATTACGAATGACGAAAACTTGCAGAGTAAAAATGAAATTGCAATCAAAATGCAATTTATCATAACTATGTTAACTATGTTTCCAAAAACATTGCCATAAAACAGATGCCACTCAAAACGAACTAAACTGTAAATGTTTTTACTTAAAAAAAAGTTGTTGACGACCTGTTTTATCTAACCGCATCTATGGTAGCAACCGTTAATCATCGAGTAATAATTCACGTACCACTTGAGCTCGTGAAGTGGGACAGGATCGCGAAGCGTTTCAAGTGCTACTGAAAGATTCACTACGTAAAAGTTCACGTGCTTGTATTATTTCAACTGCTGGGCTAAATTTAATATTAACACACGTTTAATCCAACAAAAAAAAACCTTAACGGTCGTATTCAGAATAGTTATTATAAATAATCTATACTGGTATTTTAACTTAAAGAGCAGTATTTGTAGTGGCTTTAGCTTGCTATTCTCATCCCTGAGGTCGTAGGTTCCAAGACGGCTGTGCACCATTGAACGTTCTGTCTATGTGCGAATTTAACAATCGCTCGTCCAGCGAGGATATGGAGAATGTCTTGATATTTTATAAAAATGTAGCCAGGCCGCCTTTAATACATTTTACGGCTTTGTTTTGATAAAAATAATTATGAACTGATAATAATAGATATCAAGAACAATGTTAGGAGTTGTACTCAGGAGCTCGCCATTCCCCAGCATCGGTCCATCATTTCGTGGAAGTATTAAAACGTAAAATGTTGCAATAATATCCCTCCTTCGCTTTGTTGAAAAATCTTTAACTAAAAAAAATTTTTCGTCGCAGTTATAAAGAATATCTAGTTATTCAACAAAAATCCCATGTAATCTAGTTTTGAACCCGCCCAACAATATTTATTAACATTATTTTTATTAATTATTAAAATTATTCTTATTTTTAATTTTATTTTATTTACTACAATTATTATACTTTTAAACAAGACTACGTTATTTAAACTGCTTCTAGTAGTTATTTCTTTCTACTTAGTATTAATTATTAGTATTACATTATTTATCTTTTTTTTTGCTGTGCTCTCTGGCAGAATGACAAGCGCTGTGAAACAGTCTGCTCATCAGCCAGAGTTAGGGCCAATTACAACCACAGCACCCATTCATTGAACAATTAAAACGTACCTTGTTCTTGGAAAGAAAAAAGAAAGTTATCTTTCATTCTTTTTTATTATTGTTATTTTGTGTGTTTCTGTGTGTGTGAGAATAAACTTAAATATAACTGAACAACCAATTACAATAGGTCACTAGGTATACAAGGGAAAACAGTTTAAGAAAATACTTCTATCAAATGTATGAACAGATATTCCAATATTGTTTTAGATTATATAAAAATGTATATACGCGCGAGCACTATCATTATTTTAAAAGAAAAGCTTAATTTAAATAAGTAATTTGTAAACATATGACATTTTAAACACAACGCCCAAAGCTATTGATTTACGTATATACTGTAAAACATTCCTAGCGCTTTAAAGAATATCATTGTACTATAATAAAAATGTAAGTATATAATAATAATGAATAGTAACATGATCACACATCACACGTCGAGATGGATTAATAACTATACGACAATTATATAAAATTGTATAAAGGTCTCTAGTAAATGTAATTTTTAGTCAGCAACAACCGAAACAAACAAACGTTGTGCCAACAAACTTTACTACTAAAAGGAATAAACTCACCATGATCATTGGCAACTGCGTACTGATAGTTGGGTATCAGGTCCGGGAGGTCATGACGCGACGGCGGAGATGCCGCTGGGGGTCGGTATCCCGGTTCCACCGAACTGTACGCTAAGGGCCACTCTCGTTCCCCCATTCCACCGTACGAACAATACTCCCCACCATAAGCCAACTGCTGGCTCGTTCCTGCATGTGGATATGCACAAGCCCCATAATCTATCCCTGTGGTGCCGTTTGCACTCGCACTACCGTTTCCGAGATCATAGCCAGACGGCTGCGACGGCGGCAACGCGGGTACACCGCCTCCACATAAGTATCCACCACTACCGAATTGAGGCTTCAAAGCTTGACATTTACGGCGGAAGCCTCTCGGTCGTCGCCGAAATGAACCCTCCTCAAACATAAATTCTGACGATGGATCAATCGTCCAGTAATGGCCTTTTCCTGGCCTTCCCAATCCTTTTGGTAATTTTACAAAACACTCATTCAAGCTTAGATTGTGCCGTACGGAATTCTTCCAGCCTTGATAAGAGCTACGAAAGAAGGGAAACTGTTGTTGAAGAAAAGCGTATATTTCGCTAAGAGTTAGCCTTTTGTTTGGCGAGTGGCGAATAGCCATCACAATTAGGGCTATGTAGGAGAAGGGCGGCTTTTCCTGCCGACGCGTGGCAGGCGCCCGACGGGCCGCGTCCTCGGTTGTTTGCTCCTCGGTCTTCATACGTGCACGTACAGCCGCGAGCGAGGGAACAGTGCGCCGCCCACCATGTGCGTTGCGCCCGCGCCGCCTTAAGCCGCGCCCCGAACGCCCCGCGTCTCACACCCACGACATTTCACGAGCGCTACATTTTCAGGCTTGGGGTAATTTAACTGTAACAAGATTTGAACAAATTGACGCCTCATTTTGTATTACTTGCGATATATCAAGCGAGCAGGCATCAATCGATTGTAAATACGTTGTCGCACTGGAATATACGAGAATATGTTATAGTTTATTTTAATAAGCAGCTATGTCCCTATTACACACTATTAAAAGAGATAAAAGAGCGACTTCTCTTCCGTTTGTGACATTGTTCGTGCGTTGATGTGAAGAGTTTTATTATTAAGACGAAGAGGTCGTTACACTGATCTCCCGCAGCCTGTATCATCCACAAACTCGTACAAACACAAAACAGCGGAAAGCCCGCTTAGACAATAATATTTATCCGTCGCAAGGACGGCTGTCGAACGCCCGCTCTTGACCTAGCACAATTAAACCAAACATTTTACTAGATCTATAAAACAGCTTCACGACGTACACCAAATATTTACCATAAAGCGTAAACCAAAAGATTTGCATTAAACTCTCCGGATTTATTTACTAGCGATAGCGAGAAGGAAATTAATCAAGCTATTTTCAACTTTGTTACGATGTTCCGATGGGTTATTATAGTTTTTTTTTTGTGATGAACGGTCACAGGAAGTCACTGTAAACGGTGAGCGGATCGTATCTTGGTTGTAAAACATTTAAGCTTACTTAAACTAAATTGTATTACCTATAGAATTTGTGAACAGTCGTTTACCAATTGACTGTGACCACAGTGACTGTGACTGTGAAAACAGCTGTGCCCCAATTGACTTGGTTTTTATGTGAGTGTGGACACTGGTCTCATTTAGACCTAAAAATCGTAATGTTTCAGCCGTCAGGCTCAGAAGGCTGATACTTGCCTCGAACGAAAATCACGAAACAGATGGTTCGCTGATTTTTTTAAATAGAATTTGTAGGTACATCAACACAGCACAAGAGGCCACTTGAGCTAATCTGCGTGATTTGAATTTATATCGAACATTGGTGTAACTTAGTCTATAAGGTATTTGACATAGCTGAATCCAGCGATAAGCAGCTCTACCTTAATAATAACGTCATTTAATAATGTTAAAAGAGATATTTTCGACTAATCCGCTCTCTAGAACTGGCATACTTGACCGAAAGTTATTTAAGAAATTAAAAACGGAATTATCGATGGGTTGCTACTTAAAGATTAAAATAATTTTATTTAAATAAAATAAGTCATCACTGCGTTGTTATTATAGCTGTCGGCATGTTGATCTGCCCTTCTAGGTAACGATCTACTCCGGCTACTCTTCTTATGTGATACATAAACCAATAACAAAACGATTATTCAATTATGGCCCTATGTTTATGAATTATTATTTTTTATATTGACCGTATTTTAATTTTTTTTTTCATACATGTTTTTCATATTTATCCACTGGTAATGAACAGATTTCGCCAATTACTTATTAGCATTTCCACTTATTTTAAACCTGTAAAACTTCAGTTCCTGTAACCAACTGAAATGACATCCCTTTCTGCTAGGTCAGTTTAAAACACGAAGGAGGGAGACAAAACAAGGATGACGTCAGGTCGCGGGAAAATAAGCTCCGCCCACAAGATGGCGCAGTAGTACGGCAATGTGCAGTCATTGCCTGGTCTTGAACCCTCCATTCATCACGTTTACGATCCAAAGATTAGCTTTGAGGTTTTACGGTTTCGCCTTAATATTTCGTATGCAATTAGACATTTATAGGTTCTTGCGAATTGATAATTGATCGCGTTGGGAAAGTGTTTGAGTCATCTGGAACATTCATTTATTTAAATTTTCTATAAGTATCCGCATAAAAAATATGGTCTAATTTAGCCGTTTGTCAAGTGCCTGATTTATTAATGCATAAACCGGAGGTCCTGAGCTTTAGTTCCAAACAATTATTAGTTTGGCTAGGAAATAGCGGTCTCAGGTCTGCCTCTATTAGCTCTGTTCTACTTGCCCTTGTTTTGACTCTTTTTATTAAGTAAGCGATAAGATTAACACACACTTATCCCACATTCCAAGAAGAGCAGTGGTGGCATCAGTGTGCGACTATCATACCTGAGGTCATAAGTTCGATCCCCGCTGTGCAATGGACTGTCTGTCTATTACGCATTTTAACTCGTACAGTGAATGTAAACATCATGAGGAAACCGCCTATTAGAAAAAGCTAATGACCACGAAACAGATAGATACACAAATCTAAAGCTCAGACCAAAAAGGTTGTACCGCCACTGTCTCTAGCGGCTAACTTTTATATTTAAATCGCTCATAAAGAGAAAGTGTTTCGATGATATTCTTCTACGTAATTCACACAAAATACAGTTTGACGATAAACGATAATTGTTTATATGGAAGGCATCAGAAGTCAGCACTCAGCAGGCCTTATCTTTAGTTGAATGAAATAGCACTGAATCTAAATCGGCAATCCGAATGAAACGTACACTATTATAAACAAAACATTATCTTTTTACTATCAAGAGTCATGTTACCCTCAGCGGTATTAGAAGTAAACAGTTACTTTGTAGGCGTTTGTTATCTACAATATTACGCATCGTGTTCTAAGAACAGCAGATTCCTAATTCAAAAAGACCAAGGACCCAAATAGACTGTGAATGTCTCAATACTTGATAGTCTTTGCCTTGTACTCTAGAACCTTCCATATCCTTGGAGATTTTCTATAATTTATATTATACATATAATTAAAACATGAATCTGTAACAGCAATTGTGATTGATTTAGGGACGAAGGAAATTTGGTATATACACTTTATACTATGCACTTGCGAGCCTTCTGGCTATGTGAGTGTGTTGTGGGCGGCGGTATAACATCAGATGGGCCTCCTGCCTAATGTGATATTTCGTAATACGGTCTTAAGAAAATGAATATTGAAATTGGTAGAAATTTAGACCTTTCGTAGCGATTACGTGATTTGTATTGAAAACTTACTACTTACTCCATCGGCGGTGTGATATGAAAGCCGAACCAATAAACCATATAATTAATAATTTATATGGGGTATTGATAGTAAAATTATAGATAAATGGGAGGACTATTTATAAAAACCGTTAAAGCAATGATGTTATCGATCATATGGTGTCAAAACGAAGGATATTGATATAAGAAAGTTATACCTAGTAAGCGCTAAGTCGCTGTATGTTTTTCAAGGATTAGTATTCCTTCTAGAAAAAAGTATCAGTGAGACAGAATAAATCTGTACATATTAGAATTATTCTTTAGTTTTACTAACATAGCTTTAAAAGTACTTAGGTTACTTTAAAAGAAAGTCAGTGCAAATGCAGCAAACTTTGTTTACTCTAGTGCTTATCAGTGAGTTCATAACGCATGCGCAAACTGAAGTCTAGACTAATACCTTCTGTAATTTCTGCTAGCCTGGTACCTGGGTACAAACTTCGGTCTACATTAGTTATAGAGTTTCTCCAGTTTAATTACAGCGTGTGTAGTAAATTTATGGATCTACGTACGTTTATTATTCATAATTTTATTAGGTTTAGACTTGACTTTGCCTAATACTGTTGAGGTATTACATACTAAAATACGAACTTTCACTCAATTAAACTTGACTTAAGCCGTCAAAAGTTAACGATCACCTACGAATTTTTTTGATTACCTACCTATTTAGTTTACCCACGTGAAGAGATTTGACAAAATGTTACATTAGTTATAGGAGAGTTTTATCCAGTTTAATTACAGCGTGTGTAGTAAATTTATGGTTCTACGTACGTTTATTATTAATAATTTTTATAGGTTTAGATACCTACTTGAGTTTGCCTAATACTGCTCAGGTATTACATACTAAAATCGAACTTTGACTCAATTAAATCAGACATAAGCCCTCAAAAGTTAACGTTTACCTACCTTTTTTTTAATAATTAACTACTAAATTTTGAGTACCTACCTACCTAGGTTCTTCACAATAATATGTGAAGATATATTTGACTAAATGTCTAAAATAATCTTAACTACCACGCAAGATACGTATCAAATTTAAAGAATTGTTATTTTTTGATTTCCAACATCAAGAACATAACAGGAACGTAAAAATTAAGCACCTTTTAAAAACCTGTCTTTGCTATCCAAAAGCAATCAACTTGAACATTATCAGGTGTTGAAAGCGACTCATGTTTGATCCAAAACTAAGGCAAGACGGACGCAGGCGCACAGACTGTAAATTACATTTTATGACGAAGAAGCCATGTGTATTACGTCCATCGTCAGTTCCTACGCAGTAAGGCATTCGCGATCAAGCTTCACACGAATGTTTCTTGCGAGCAAATGTGAATATGAAACTAATAACGGCTTCATTTATTTCCGTGTTTATTATTTTATAGAAAATATTTTCGTGTACCTGTTAAATATATAACCTTATCACAAGACAGTAATTATTCATTTCCTCTGTAACAATATTGCTAGCTATGACGAACAAAACACTAAACACGTGATATTTTAATGGTATTGCATTACATGCGTTGCAGGCAAAAAGTCATAATATAAATTAATATACAATTATGCTTTTTTAATATTTTATGAATGAAATAAGGTCTAAAGCCTATATTAAGTAGGTACTTATGCAATTAATCCTTTTATTATATTCTCAGATAGTAATATACTATTATTAAGACATCCTCCATCGTAGGTTAAGTGCTGACCCTTGTGGCCCTGGTTGCTATACCTAAATGATTTGACCCACCCTCATCGTTAAACTGGTGTCGAGGAACTTCTTATTTTCTTTAGTATGTTACCTTTAATAGTCATGAGCTTTTTCAATATTGTAACATTAATTTTGCAGTGTGCACATAGTTTTACGTTAGAATCCAGTTCAAATCTCTTAAGTTTTAAGTTTATTTCTGTAAAGATTGTAATGTGTTTTGTGCATCAAATCAAATAAATTAAGAATTATATGGTGTAATAGACGCTTTGTTATTATTTTCGTAATGATTTAAACCATTTTTCAATACTATGTATCTTAATGACCTATTTATTATATAAACTACATGAACTATTTTTATTTATGGTTGTTTTCGTTTGATTTTTATAGTATACACTGTATACAGTTATTATACATTATGACCAGTTTAGGTAAAGACCAGTTGTATGCGGCGTTCACATCAGTTATTATTTATTATAAAAGATTGTATATTGTCTACGAGCTGCCTCCGTGAACGTTCGCTTAGTTTCCCCTTATATGTTTTTTTACATAGACTACCTTCAGTAGCTACATACCAACATATGGAACATTTTACATTAAAAAAATTACTAGAAATGGTCCAGTCGTTTTCGCTTTGCGCTTAGCAACATATTTTGCGATTCTTTTCTATATAAGAAGTAAACGATGATGGTAATCCTAAATAATAAATAATAAAACTAGTGTCGTATTATAAAACTGAAATGATATTATGAAACACGATATTACTCGGGTTTGTGTCTTCCTGTTCACTGCTACTCATGAGCATCCATTACTAGAGTACATAATGTAAACAATACAGTCGGCCGGCGACTTGAAAGGTAATACCGGGTATTTTGATAGGCAAAATTTAATGTGCCGCACAAGATGATAAGCGACTATTCAGAGTCAAAGCGATGCCCAAGGATTGCTATAATATGTGGCCCAATTACAATTGGTCACTTGATTATGAGACCGGTGGGTTTAAGCTGATCACATTTGTATTAATCAAGATGGTGTCACAAAAATGAATATGAGACAGTTCGCGCTAGGTCGTTTCAGAATTACAAGTGTTTGGCTGACGATTGTATGGAAAATTTGATATTAAAGAGAACCCATTCGTGAACGGTTTGAGTGCCATACCCTCATAGAAGGCTATCCATCGCCGAAGAGCTGGCTTGGAGAAAGGAAATGGTGGAAGTAACCGTCCGTTGACACGATCTAAACTCAGCTGTAAAAAAAAACCAACATTTCCACTAATATCAGATGCCCATGCCAATAATTCGTCTTAGGGTAAAACATTCTTCCTTCAGCGCCAAAAGAATTGAGAAGGAATTTATTTAAATTATACAATTTTGGTTCCTCTGTTGACCTCAGTGGGCTGTCTGATTTACTGATTTTATTCTGATCTAAATTGTAAAAATTGTATTCGAGATTATATCTGAATGAATATTGAGCGTATGACAAACTCCACTACGGAGAAACCCGTCATTTATGTAAAAAATATATTTTTCCAAATACTAAGTCGGCTGCGGTCAATGTGTGTCGAATTGTAAATCGTATAAAGTTCCTAATAAAAAAACATAACGGTAGTATTTGGGAAGAAAACAACTCGCCTTTCCCAGTCGTTATAAAAACAAAGAACAAATAATGTAGTTTATTTTTAATTGATGTTTAATATCACAAATAATTTAGATTTGAATTTTTAGTCTTTTTTAAGTATAAAGTAGGTACATATATATTTAATTGACTAGCTGTTTGCCCACGAATCAAAATATATTTATATATTATTTTATTTCCAGTATTCCCACAGCTATAACAATATCTACACAATTAGACAATACATGTAAGCCAAAAACGGATTTAAGTGAAAAACAACACATATTTATTTTTACCTTTGAATAATGGTCGTCCAAATTATTAAAAGTATTGTTTAGTATACTAATAAATAAATAATAATATTGCTGGTATCTTTTGAGGGTTAGCAAAAGATACCAGCTTTTTAATGTAATTTTTTTTTAATTAAAGGATTTCTTATGTAAATAATTTGTTTTAGACGGAGCAATTGACCGCAAACCCAAATTGTTTCAAACAATTTGGGTTTGCCTTGTTTTGTATGGGATGTGAAATAATGAAAACTACAATAAATTAGAGCATATAAGCAATAGCGTTGGTAATTGTCGTAGAATAAGAGGACCTAGCTTTTTATTAACAAATCTTCTAAATAGCTTACCTTTTCGAATGGGTTGATAATGTTCAATTTTATTTCTAGAACCTTTTTTGTATATCGAAACAAACTGAGCTTCATTCCGTTAAGATGGGACACAACAAAATTTTGTAAGCGATTGAATAAATATATTTGTCTTGGTTTTGAGAGTTGTCTATAGTATCTGATATAACATTCTCGTGTCGCGGTGTTTGTAGTTAAACTCCTCCAAAACGGATTGACCGATTCTCATGAAATTTTGTGTGCATATGTCTGAGAGTCTGAGAATCGGACAATATCTATTTTTCATCGCCCTAAATTGTAAGGGTAGTCCACTACAATTTTTTTTTTAAATTTTAAGATAAAGTTTTATTTTTTTATGATACAGCATTAATGAATACATACAACCCCTAATTTTCACCCCTTTACGATCAACCCCTATTTTTTATTATAAATGATATACATGGCAAAACGACGTTTGCCAGGTCAGCTAGTCTTTTTATAAAACAATGATGGTGTTACCTAATGTAGGTGCGTGAACAACAGATCACATACTATAGATCTGTTAGTTTAAATGGCTAATTTTGCATAAAAATTAACGCATTATATATTGCGTTCTATATAAATTATAACGCAATTAAGATTCATAAAGATTAATACAGTCCAAATTGATAATTAATAGATATATTGTTCCATATTTTAGTTTAATCGGTATATTACGCTATCACACAAATGCCATCGTGTAACACAGGTGAGAAATTATCTGGACCAAAACTTAAATATTGGCATAGATTAGCCACATACTAGACATAAGCACGTTACAGTTTTAAAGTAATCATAAAACATTAACATTTCTTCATTTTTATTAATACCTAACGAATGACGTCGCGTAACATCAAAGTGTAAAAATACTTCGTGTTGAATCTATGGGAGCTTGAGATCAAAGAGTGCACACGAAGCTGTATTACCCTTTATTTTGATATACATAGTGGTGTTAATACATGTTTCTTCGAAAACTACAGCACATAGAAAACATTTAAACAATTGTGAATATTCTTTATGGATATTATCAACCGCTATCTTAGAATCGATATACGATTTTCTACGCTCTAAACTTTGCTATAAACGCTTTTGTTTTCATTTTAACGATCTATCTTGTATTGGTTGATAATACCATAGAAAAGTCTAAATATTATATATATCCTAGTATTAAAAAAAGTAAGAGAATAAACTGTTTCTGCGCTAGGAAATTTTTCGGACTTGAAACACATTATGTTGCTTATTTTCGGAGCAAATATGATACTTTAAAGTTTAAACCTAGTACTACAATTACATTACAACACTATTTAGCGTTTATAGAAATTATGTTTATAAATTTAGTTTTTTCTCACAAGAACTGATTGAGGGTTTGATGTAGTGGTAACAGAAAAAAATATAAATCTGTTTTATAACCTTAAATACATCTAAAGTTGGAATACATGTATTAATTTTATGAGTATACTTTTTCTTTGAATGATATTCAAACATTATTTCGCATCCGCATATGTAAAACTTACAATAATCACTTTATATAATTATACAGTAATGGATAAATACTTAAGAAGACATTCTCCCGAAGTCGCCTACCTGAAAAAAAAACACAATGTAAACAAAATATTATATTCATTCGCAATATAATAACCACGTAATTGGTATATATACTATACTACTTCAATTCGCTTGGCATTTATATGATATTTTTGTATGAATCAACATTTTTGTTCATATAAATACTGAAACTTACGGTTCTCTGTTCTATTTAGGTTTCACCATAAGGCCTGATAGCAAAGGTATTGGGATCCTCATTACGACGCTGTTGATTTACTAGAGCAATATCATTAGCCCTGGGAGCTGGAATAATGTCGCAAATTCTGTTGTTGACAAGAAAACAGCTCTCGGCTTTTTGTTTTCTGATGAATTCCTTTAATACGGGCGGTAACGCCTCGTAGCCGGCGACTGGTTCCTTTGGGTCACACAGCATGTGGTGGATAGGATTTATGCCTTCAGCCATCGTGTTTTTTAACCAGCAAACGAACTGTAAATAAAAATATACCCTATATGTACTATGCGCTATATATATTTACAAAATTCATCACTTAAATATAAATAAATCTTCAATAATATTTTTAATACATACGGTTTATATCTAATTTCGTAACTACTCCTTATGATTTTATAAAAAATCCTATATGTACGTAAAATACCTACTCAAAGTTTATATTTTCAATACCGGTTACAAATTGATGTGTTTAAATTAATAAATTATATAATTAAAGGTTTTGATGTCATATGCGAGTGCCACTACTATTTTCAAAAATAATAATACGTCTAATTGGTAAGTTCACTGTAATTTTTTTTAGTTTTAAAATGTTTTTTAAATCTGTTTTCAACCCTTGCATAGGTAAAGTTACCCTTGGTCGGCGGATGTAAACAAATGTAAATCACGGCCGGATCGGCCACATGTGTTCTGGCCGAGGTTAAAGTTTTAGTGGGCTTGATGTGGATAAAAAATGGTAATGTTTTACATCACACCCGTCAGCCGATATCTGGGTGTGAACTACGCAGAAACAGAATGCAAAATGTAGAACCCAAAATAAATGTCGCAACTAAAAATACATAAAAAAAATAAGAATTTGAATTATTTACCACTAACTAACTTTATTCAATAAATCCACTTTTCTTAGCTTAATTAAGCTTTTCAACTGAAATACATAATGTGTAATTAAAGGTAAGTAATGCATGCACGCAAAACGCGCATGCGATAAACCCCAAAAGCTATCATATTATACACAAAAGTAAGAAAATCAAAAGGAGTTGCAGGATACAGCCATCAGCGTTCCCCTTGTTTTCACTGCATCATCGTGTCGGTTCTAAGAAAATATACAAGAGACTTGTAACCGCGTGGTGGCCACACGCTTTGTTTTGACTAGTCGTCAATTGCATTACTAAAATATCCCTAGATAAACACTGTTCATTGTCACGACTATTGATCGCAAACCCAACCAAACTAAATTAATATACTAATAGGGCAAAGATTTCACTGTGGACTGATACTCTAGTAACAATTATGTTTTATTTCTAATATTTCACTTTTCATTTATGAATGTCGACTGAATATTAAAAAACAAATAACTTACCTTAGGAAAAAATTTCGGAGATCCCAGACAACAAGTCGTTCGATTGCAAAGGTTTAATACGCATGTGTTGAACCTGTCGCCTACCGCGCAATCGCACCAAATGTTACCATTATTGATTTTAGGTATCCTACACCAAGTATCAGCACTTACCTAACTTTTGAACAATAAAGCTTTTATTTTTTATAAAAAAAACTGATTATATTTCGATCACTATCTAAAGATACCAACATTAAAATTTTAATTACGTTATAAATAACTTCATTTATTTATTATAATTTTACTTATTGGAATTCATCCAAAAGTTATTAGTGTTATATACAAATTAATCAAATCAAAATCATTTATTCATATAGGTTACACAATATATACTTATGAACGTCAAGGTTTACATTTACTGCCAGTTCTCAAATCAAGGGCGTAGAACGGAAGGGAAGAACTGTCAGTAAACTCTCCGCCACTCTTTTTAATCACCAAGTTTTTGTTTTACACAATGTTTGTAAGGAGCTGCAACCATTATACCATGTTCCACATCACATCTTAAGTGATTAATAGTTAATTCATTATAATAAAATAAATTAAAAACAATGATTTGTCCTCAATCAGCCAAAGGCATGGTGAAATAGGAGCACGCACTTACATTCTCGTGGGAACATCACGCAAATACATAGTCGAAATAACTAACATCACCGCATACACTTGTTCAAGTCTCCTAGTCACCACAAGTAGCACCCGTTCACGAGTATGACGCATGGCCCTCGCCAATACAAATGTAGATATTGTATTTTCATTTTTATTCAGAGATAATAAAATACCTGGGTAGCCAAAACGATTTTAAAAACATCGTGGAAAGCATGGACCAGAACCAGAAGGATTCAATCTGTGATTTAGGCAAGAGGTCACACTCGTTATTAAATGTTTTACATTTGTAACTTTATTCAATTAAAAAGTTACAAAATCTTTTTTAATTTATTGCCGACCACTTCTTATTTTATGGCCGTGCACATTTTAAAGAATTCTTCAAAAATTTATTTAAAACATTTACACGATTATAAGTAATTAATTAAATTTTATTTATTCAATTAAAATGACTGACTTTAGAAAGCAAATTTCCTTAGGTGCCTTTTTTATTTTTTGCTAAAGAATGTATTTAAAGGAAATTTCAATTAGAGCGAAAGAGTTACTTGAGAATCCTGGAATTACTTAAATAAAACACTAATTATTTTAAGGCTTTATTGTTTCTGAAAAGAACACTAGAAATCACATTTATTGAATTTAATAAAGGGGCAAAACTGAAACTCACACACTTGCACAAACATTTAAGAAGTATTTTCAACATTTTTACTATTACAATCAAAATATAACGGTGTAATTATTCCGTGTATAGTTCGAAATTGTGGTAAATAATATAACAATTTTTATTCTTTAAATCTAATAATACCAACAGGTTCTAAAGATATTTCATAGGTTAGCACTGGTACTAAACCGGTCTTACAACCCTACTCAGGGTCCTTTATTAAAGCATTTCTAATGCTAGATTAACACATTATATATCTATAGAAAATAACAATTAATTTTAATGTTCAAAAAGTTTACGGATCATTTAGATTCCATACGAGGTAAAGATGAGATTCAAAGAAGTCTCTGATTCGGCATTTTTTTAAGACTTAAACATAACAATATATCTATCTAATTTGAAATCCGTAGAAGTGGAGGTAATGTTTCTTAAAATCAGTCGTTAACTAATCAGGATTTAAAACAAGTAGCTGAGTGCCATCGTATTCTAAATTTATACTTGTATTTGTGATCATTAAAAAAACGGCTGCTAATGTCACAAAACAATAGAATTAAAGACATAAGAAACACAAAACCGAATGTTTAATTGATAATTAATAGTGTTTTAAATGGCTTATAATAAAAATTAACTTTATTACGTAATAATATTAACAGAAACACAAATTCAACAAAGCACCTACTTGAGTTTGCGAAAACGCATTTTTAAACCATAGTTGAATTACAACACTATTGCGACAAGAATTAATATGTTATCGAATAACAATATTTTTCTATTATAACTAAAATAAAGGCGTAAATAAACGTAACTAAAATAAATAGTATTAACATTTGGAAACTTATAGTTTATTACCATCAAAAACACTAAAGTTACAACAGGTACCTATAAGATTGCATACTTAAACTTTAAAATATATGTATCTATCGTAAGAGGTAAGTGACCAGTCTTATTTTACAAAAACTGTAACAGGCAGTTTGTAAACTATTTACTTAGACATATATATATATACTTTTTATAGAATAACATTAAATTGCTAAAATAAAATTATTAAAAAAAAAACTGAAAATTTTAATTTTCTTAACTTTTGCACGTAAGAAATTTATTTTAAAACATTTTTTTTTATTTACATTTATAACTATCGATCTATGTTAGCTTAAATTGTATTTATTGATTAGGTTCTGTATTAATAAACATACTAGGCGAGAGCCGTCCCGAGTAGTACATGGCATCACTTTGAATAGGCTCTATCGAATTTAACAAATCCCCTGGGTCCGACATACTATTCATTACATGGGAACGCATATGAAAATTAAGGTGGCTTATTTGTTTAAAGCGCTTTTCACATACGTTGCATTTGAAAGGCTGGATGTTTGTATGAGTCCGCATATGCTGTCGTACGTGTACTGACTGGGAGAAGCTTTTATTGCATATAATGCACTTGAAGGGTTTAACCTTTGTATGCGTACGAAGGTGCTGATCGAGCCCACCTTTCTGGGTGAAACCTTTGTTACAGAAGTTACATTTGTATGGTCGTGCCCCAGTGTGCATGCGCATGTGTTGCTGCAGTCCACCTGATTGAGTGAATCGCTTCTCGCAAATAGAGCATTTAAATGGCTTCACTTTCGTGTGATAACCTTTGGTGTGGACCTCCAATTGCAATGCATTCATAAAGACCTGACCGCACAAGTGGCATGGGAATTCTACAGCCGGACTCTGTCCATTGGGGCTTTCTAAAAGCTTTTCACAGACTTGACAACGTAAGGCCCCAGTGGTCTTTCTGCGTTTAGTATGCTTGTCACGGTGGTGAATAGAATATTCGCAACAATTTAAAAAAATCTCGCCACATTCCATTCCGTGATTTAAAGACATCCATGTGCACTTAAAGGGACCACTGGCGAATAAAATATTAGAATTACATATTTCAAAAGTTTTTTTTATTTAGCTTAGTGTTTCTATTTGGTCAGCATATAAACAACGAAATATGTTCCTATGATTTGCTATATTATATTATGGAAATAAAAGTGCTTCCACCACAACTTCTAATACCATGAGCGTGCTATGAACGTGTTAGGCACGGCAACTAGCACATCCCTACTTTATTCACTAGAACGTTTTAACAGGGTCTTAAATAAACTTCCGTTGAGCTTTATTTGGTATCTAATTTATTTTTTAAATACTTCCAAAGTCCTACCTTATTGGGCTACATTGCTAAAATTAAACGAACTGTATCGGCCCCGGCAGAATATAAACAAACGACAAGCGCTTTAACTCTTCGTGCATGTCACGCGACTTTGTTGGTAGTTAGACTAGTGGGCAATCTCATACTCCTCCATACAAAGAAAAATATATTTCATAAATACTACTTGGCGCTGTTTAAGAGAAAAGCAAATATAGGCAAACACCTAACCAGTTATTAAAAAAACTGTCCTAGCATGGCCATGGGAAGACATGGTGTTATTCCTCCCTATTAAATTTTATATCTATTAACTGCATAACTGCTATATAAAATGCCCTTCAAAATTGTTGAAACTGAATTTCATACCTTATGTTAGAAACTGGTGCTTTGGACAGGATTGTTCCTTTTTGAATAAATTCTTCTAAATTCATTGTTGTTGTTGTTTTTTTATCATCTCCTTTAACAACAAGATATAATTTTTTTACATCAAAACCTGGTCTATTTTGATCTAAAAAATATACATTGAAATCTGGGAAGTCATGCTTTTTCTTTAATTGAATTAGATGAAATACTGATAGGTCCCCCATTGCCTGTAAAAAAAGATCACATAACTACGAAGAGTGCCAAACCATACTCGTTGCATAGACATAATTATTAATTAATTAATATTCTAATAAATGGTTAAGATGAGTAGAATGAGAATAAGATGTTGTATAAACAATATAATACACAACCAAAATTAATAAATTATGAAATGCATTAGATTTAGTAGACAAAAACAGAAATACCTCATTTGTAGAATTGTTATTATCAGTTTCTTCTTTATCACAATGGGTAAAACGCTGATGATTCTCAAGTGCTGACAGATTGTTAAACCCTTTTTTACAAATGCTGCATTCATATGCTACCTCATATGAGCCTGGTAGGGCCTATGGTAATGAATTATTCATATAAAACAAGAAATATTTTAAAATAAACAGACATTTATCTTTAAAGTATTATAAAATGAATTGACATCTTAAGGTTATTATATATTTGTTAATTTGAAATTTGGAATAGATTGACTTTCTATAGATTTTTCTAAATTTTTTATAAATACATATTAAAATTATGTAAATTCTGCTACATCTCATATTCCTACATTTATTTACCATGATGTCATTAAGAGATCATGTAAGAAACATTTGTGCTTAACTAGCAAATATGATGTATCTATTTCATAGAGTGACATGAAAGTCATAGTATTGTATTTAAAGCAACAAGAGGAGCTATGCTGAGACTAAATAAAACATATATATGCTTATACATATTATATGTTTTAAGTATATTAGCACATACATATATACATTTAAATAGATGCATTATTTCAATATACATAAATCACAGGACTGTTAAAGTTTACAGACTTTTATAAGAGTGAATTTATTATTTTAAGTATAGCAAAATAAACAAACAATTTGAAACTCCATTGTTATGTATTAGCGTAGATTATGAATCGTAGCCAAAAGTTGTTGAAACAATTTCACTGCTTTAGATAAACTTTAAATTGTATAACTATCAATACCGGTTACTTAAATGATTTTAATCATAATCATATAAACTTAAAAATATTTTGATAACAGATAGCCGCCATTACAAAAAACTGGCGGGAAAAAACCAGAGACTAAGTAAGAATAGGACTACAGTGAACAAACGAACACAGGCATAGAATATTTTTACATCAAGCAGCATTTTACCTAATTACAAAGCAAGTAAATTGAAATACTAAATAGATTCGTTATTTACTTTGCGATATATAAAATTTATTGATAATTGTTGGTAGCTGATAAGTGCTGGCACGAAACTTTTGACCTTTTTAGTGCTGTTTCTAATTTCTATATTGTCTTTGTATGTATAAAAAGTAAAATCTTCTTGACATTGTCACATTCTAAATAAAAAGTTTCACATTAATTTTAATTTATACTTAATATATTGTAATAAGTTAATTCAAATATAAAAAATTTTAGCAGAGCGTTTGAAAAAAAAAACCTAATGGAATCCGACATAACATCGAGTCCTTATCCAAGTCAAATAGTTGGTGCTTACAAGCTCCAGCAACTTTTATAAAGGCGGGCTTATGGGAGTTGGGACATTGTATGCGAAAATAGAATACGACCAAGAGATGCCGATGCGTCCACCAAGTTGAAATATAATAGAGAAGATGCATAGGCCAAATCTGAGTTATTCCTGTTATTATAACTATCGGAAATACATACAAATTCATACGGATACTGTAGAACATCAAAAGTTTGGTGTTAGTTAAAAGCAATATCAAAGCTCAGGAGCAGCAAAGAGAGCAACCCTTTTAAAATTAAGATAATGTTCGCACAAATAATTTCATGGATATTGTGGACAAACTAGTAGACATGGATATAGCTGTTATACCGGATGAGTCAACCATTGTGTTTTTATACAGTATGCGTACATGCATCATGTTTTTTCGTGCGTGCAGCCGGCTCCATCAAATTATAAGACGTTGTCACGTCAAAAGGACACAAATTATAGAAAATCAATTCGTGTCACGGAAATAGCTCCCCCGTAACACGACGTACTGACTTCTCAAATGCTCGCTGTATAACATGTCACATTACACCTCGTAACGTTGGTCAGTATTAATAATTCACTTTAGACTGGATTATTGCTTGTTCGCCCAAATATGAGCATCGGCCATCTTGATGCTAGACAAGTAGGCTTGGCATTCAGTCAATTTATAATTGTAATTCAACTTCTCCACGACTCGTCGAGAGTCCACCGGGAAATCCAATCAAAATGACATTCGTCGGTTTGCCGTCCAGTGGCAACACGTCCGATATTTGGTCGTTTAACACGTTGACTTGACTGCCGGTATCAAACTATGCTTTAACGTGGATGCCATTGACAACGACCTTTTTGTATGCTTCATTATAAGGGCATAGTACATTTACTTCTTTTATGTTGTCAGATGAGGTAGATCTTCTGCCATCCGTGGTTATTATTGTCCCCTAGTTCCGCACTTATAACAACTACGCGTATCAGGTAGGGAGCAATCACGCTGTAGCGATAACGACAGACCACGAATAATGCAAGAAACGCTGGCGTTATCGGACAAATGGCATCGGAAACATGGCGATTTTATCCTGATAGTATTTGGCATCGACTTTGTTGGTTGCTTAATCATTTTCAATAGTTCTTCAAGCATATTTCCATATTCGCGATATCTGGAAAATACTCGCAATAGCATCCCTTTCCATTGCTGCCACGTGTAGTCCTCCAGGCGATTATACCACTTCTTCGCTTGATCTCGCCGTTTATCTTGTAGGTAGAATGATTTGGTTGTATCATCCCAACCGTGAATTTCACCGATTTGCTCAATTTTTTGAATCCATGCTTGTACCGTATATTCCTCACTATCAGAGTCAAATTCCGGAATCAAAGATGCAGCACGATGTACCTACTTTTGACTTATTTGGAGATTCGCAGTCATCTTGAAGGTCGTGTAGAGCCTTTACTACTTTATTTTCCAGCAGATTCTTTAGCAGCTTCCGTGCCGGCCATGAAGAAGTATCCTCATCTTCCTCCGACATTGATTCGTCAGGAGGTCGAAGAACTTGTGGTCGATGTCGTTTCATGCCAGTTCTGAGTATAACTGACAGAGAAAATAAAATGGCAGACTGACAGTACACTTGTTTTTATTCGCTGCGTCTTTCAAAGAGTCAGTTTAATTATGGCTGGCTATGGCTCAAAATTGATTCATCCCCTCCAAGTGGATGGCTTTTGCGGTTGGCAAGCATGGCGGCTGGTTGGAGGGGCGGTCCACAGGGCGGCTTAGCTTGACAGGATGTGACTGGGGGGGAGTCGAGTCGTGACAGGTGGCGACATCACGTCCGTAACATAAGATTTTCCCATTTTTCCCATTTCTTGGCCTTCATTGTTTGTGCGTCAGCCATGCCAAAAGGTTAGGAAGTGTGTTATTGGAACGGAATTTGTAAAAGGGATAAGGTAAATTTAGCATATAAGTACATAAATGGTTATAATTTTATATTGTTATGAAAAATTAAACTGGATAAAATTTTGTATACATCAATATTTATATTAGATAAAAGGACAGAAATTGAAGTAGGGAAAGGAATTTTAATAGGCAAAAGCGAGGAAATAAAAGCGGAACGAATGTTGAGGACAGGCAAAGAATATATGATTAAATGCCCAATGTCATTGCCACACTCACATACGAGGGCGGCACTGAAAATTTCGGGAATCAAGGAAGTGACACAACATTACTATTTGACAATGTATTGCTTTTCGAAGTATTCTCCGCGAAATTTGACACATTTTTCATACGATGGAACCAATCATTGAAGCAACCATCCCATTCGGAAGTTGGGGTCTCCAAAATGGCCGTTTTGTAGGCGTCCACAGCTTCTTCAGGTGATGAAAATCTCTGACCACGCAATGTATTCTTTATTTTAGGGAAAGTATAGAAATCATTAGGGCTTAGGTCGGGGCTGTACGGGCGGATGGTCTAATAATTCTATGTTTTCTTGCTCTAAAAACACTTTTGTTCTGTGCGCGGTGTGAGAACTCGCATTGTCGTAATGGAGGATGATGCGGCGGTTGCAGTTCTCTTTACGGAGTTCAGAAATGACCTGTGGCAAACAAATGCTAGCATACCATTCTGCATTAACCGTTCTTTGTCCCTCAAGAGGAATAGTCGCAACATGGCCGGTTTTGGAGGCAAACGTGGCCACCATTTTTTTGCAACACTCCGTGAACGAACAATTTTCGTTGGCTTTAACTCAACACCCAAACTCGTGACTGGTTTTTTGTTTCGGGTTGTATACAGCATTTGAGGATCCTGCGTGGAATCTTTCGAGAGTTCTGACGCACCAAGTAACGCGAGCCGCTTTTTGCTCTTCACAGAGCGAATGCGGTATCCATCGGGAAAACAACTTTTTTACAGCTAATTGTTCATGCAAGATTATTTGTATTTGACTCATGCCAATGTCTAAAGTTGCCTGAATTTCGCGGTATGTCACATGTCGATCTTCCTCAATCAAGCACAGCATCAACGTTTTCTTGGGTGACTGCAGTTTTTGGACGACCTTGACGGGGATCATCACTAAGCTTGACACGTCCACGTTGAAATTCAGCAAACCAGCGATAAATTGTGGTTTTGGATGGGGCTTCATCACCAAATGCAGAAATCATGCGGTCAACACACTGTTTTTGTGATAAACCGCTTCGAAAGTCATAATCAATCATCGCTCTTGAATTTTCTCGAGTCAATTCCATTTTATCAACGACTAAACAAGTTTGACAAAACTTTGTGAAAAGACCGTAAATCTTTTTTAAAAGTAATAAATGGTATTCGATTTAAAAAAAAGGAGTTTTCAATTAAAAAGATTTAAATATGACAGGAACAGTGGTATTATTCCATTCCCGATACTTTTAGTGCAGCCTATGTATGTCTCTTGGCAAAAGGTTAAGTCTTTCCAAATGCAAGGGAATACATGCATGGCCCAGCCTTATACGAATAAGGGCCGAAGTGATAGCTTTACCAAACGTCAGATTTGAAAACCACACTACACATTCAATAAAAAAATTAAGTCACTTTTTTGATATTAATACTCCGGCATTTCCATTGAATCGCCAGAGACTGGTTTTGTGGATAATCCTGACTGTCCATGAGTTAAAAAAACTTTTTTTAAGAAGCGACATCGTTGGATGGTATTTTAATTTTGTAACATTGTGAAAGGTACTGCATTATAGAAATGATGAGATCCTTTGTTATTATTTCTGAAAAATCATTGTAATTTTTGAGACATCTGTAGAAAAGGAAGGAATGTTGCTGTAATCTTGGATAATCCATGCTCTTTTTGATCGTATCCCTTACTAGCATCTCTGGGAGGGGCTGGAATAAGTAATTGTTGTACCAGAAGGGGCCGATGAGGCAAAAGCAACAACGTCAGCATAAGATTTCGAAACTGGTGGATGGACTTTACCGGCTTCTGAATAAGATTAAGAGTTTCTAGTCATTGTTTCTTTTATAGCTTATTGCCTTGCGTACTCCGGGCACTTTTTATCTGTTGCGAAATGGGAACCAGAACATAAGATACACATATCATCATCTCTTTCAGTCTCGCAGCTTATACCTGAATGGATGCCACCACGTTTGTGCCTACACCTTAGAGTGCCTCTGCATTGCATTTTGGTGTGACCAAAACGGCAACAATTAAGGCAATGCAGCGTAAGCTAAATATAAAGCTCTACAGATAGGTACTTGAAACATATCTGTGGAGCCTAAACCCTGTATAATAACATTATTATCATGCTATTTAACCCTAGGAGGTGATGTGGATACTGTGTTTTCGGACCTTCTTTTAATCAAAAATAAATTTGAAGCCATAGGTTTGGAGCTTAATTTTAGCAAATGCGAACTTTTCATAAATAACTGCAACTTAAATTTATATAATGTAGAAAATTCATATTTTGGCTCCAAATATTAAAATAGTTAACAGGAATTCCCTTTACCTTTTAGGTTCTCCAATTTTTGATGAATCTATTGCTAATTTCTATTATATTAATACTTCAATTACTAAATTTCAAAATTCTGCTGACCGTCTCCTTGAAATTAGTCCACATTATGCACTTTGCATCTTAAAATTCTGTCTTTTCCTCCCAAAATTTACGTATGTGCTCCGTTGCTGCTCCTTTTGGAATCACCCAGATCTTTTGGGAGAGACACCAGTAGACAACTTAATCAAACGATATCATACGCCAGCCACTTGCCACCGTCAACGTTCCAAGCCTATTTGAGCCGAGTGGTATTGCAAGAGACGATGGCAAAAGACCGGACGGTATGGGCTTGATTCCATGGAAGATGGGCCGGGTACTGGTATGGGTGCAACCTGTTCAGACACGCTGGCCTCTTCCCATCTACATGGAACCTACAGAGCTGGTGCGGCTTGTGAAGCGGCTGAAAAAACTAAAGCATGTAAATACAGGGGTCAGAATATGATTTTGTCCCATTTGGTGTTGAGACCCTTGGTCCGTGGGGTCCTAGGGCTTTAAGGCTTTTTAAAGAAATTTCAAAAAGGTTAGTCGACATCACAGGAGACCGAAGATCTGGCAGCTACCTCGGAAAAAGAATTAGTCTAGCGATTCAAAGGGGGAACGCTGCCAGTATCTTCGGAACCTTGCCTAAAGGGACTCCTTTTAAGAATATATTTTAGTTTATGTTAAGGTTAGTTATTTATTTCAATGTATAATGTATAGAATTTATTAAAAGTGAATTATTATCGTAAACATTATTCGTACGTACTCGGGTATTTAATTTTAATAATACTATATTCTAGTTTGCTTTACGTATACTATATTATAGTCTATATGCGTCATCTGTCAACGATTGATAGTCTGATGTGACCTAATCTGTGGCTATCGGACTCCTGCTGACGCCTGACTGCAGAGTGCTGTCACAATTCACAATATGTGTTTATTTTAATCAAAATATTATAACGAATTTAATTAATCAACAGACTATATAAACATTAATTCGAGTTCAAATTGGTTTACAATATACATCAAATGTAACCAAGTCACTACCGCACTACGTTGTTCACAAGGTACAACTTACATTTTTGTATTCAAGCTTTTTAGCCTTTTAATATTGATAAAACATATTTCTTTTTAATATTGTCTACGCATCTAAGAAACTATTATATAATATGAAATATTTTTTATCTTAAAGTTTACGTCACTTACTGCTGTACAGAAGAAAGTTAAGCAATTTTATGGGAACCTCTGTAAAAAGTCACACAGAAAATATGATGGCTGGTTCGGCTCTTCGACGGCTTATGGCCGAGTACAAGCGTAAGTAGTTAGTACAGCGGTAAAATTTTACTTTAGGCTTTAACTTTATTTCTTTTTTATGTAATAGAACTCACACTGAACCCTCCTGAAGGCATCATTGCTGGTCCTGTAAATGAAGAAAATTTCTTTGAATGGGAAGCTTTAATTACGTAAGTTAACACCAAACAATAATAATACTTGCAGTAAATTTGTTCTACATCCTTGATCAATTGAAAAACATTTAAAATTAGAACAAGTAACTCCATATAGTTTTTTTTTTAAGAAAAGGTAATGTTTTTACTGTCTCTGGTAGTGGGCTCCAAGTGGACTGAAAAGGTAACTTAGGGGTTACTGTAAAAAAGTATATAAGTGTAGATATTTTAATTAAAAATAACCTTACATAAAATGGCATAAAGAGACATTTGGGTATTTATGGTAAAAATTAACACACTGACCTTTATTTAGCTTATTTTTACTTTGTGTTCACATGAATCTGACGTCATAACATTATAATATAGTACAATAAATATCTGCACTTACTGTGTATATAGTGATGCTGAAGAGACTGCATTTTCTGGTATTATAGAGAGTTGTATATATATATATATAGTTGTATATATGTATATATTTGAAGATAAAAGCTTTGTATGACTCTGATAATTTTTATTTGCAGTGGCCCAGAGGGTACATGCTTTGAAGGCGGTATTTTTCCAGCTAAACTTCAGTTCCCACCAGATTATCCACTTAGCCCCCCTAAAATGCAGTTCATTTGTGAAATGTTTCATCCTAATAGTAAGTAAATATTTTAACATATAAATACATCATTAAAATCCTATTATAATTTGTTTCAAACGCTTATAAAGTTTAAAAAATTATTGGTGTGGACACTCACAAAAAATATTTATTCCTACAATGTCGGAAAAAAATAATTAGGTGTTTTATTTTTGGTTATTTTAATCTTTAAAATTGTTACTATTCATTAGTCATACAATGCGTGTTGTAACATCGATGTGACTACCTACTACCTGCACTTTTGTAAAAGAAATATTATACATTATACATTCTTAGCAACTAATATTTTTGAAGTTGTACTTCTTTAGGCGCGTTATGAAAAATTGATGAGAGTGAAATTTTACGATTGCGCGCGCACCTATGACACAAAATTGGCAGTGTGATATAGCGTGCGCGAGCGAGATGGGAATAAGACAAACTACAAGTAAAAAGAAATAGAATATGCGTGAAGCTAACTTCACGCATATTCTAGCTTAGCAGCTTAACAAGAATTTTGAATGACCATGACAATTGACATCTGACAATGACATTTACCTTTTAAACAAATATAGGAGTTTTAATTATTGTTTAAAATTAATAATTATATACCTAGTTATTTTCATTATACAAAATATTTGTGAAATAATATAAAATATTTGTGAAAAAACTGTGCTAACCTTCCTGAGTGCTTCAATACAATTGAGGTTAACTATCCGTATGTATTATCGAGTATTATTGTTGATTAAAACTGAAACATGAACCATTATTCATTGCTTTTGTTTATTGCGTTTGTTACAGCAACTTTTTTAGAAATATTCTACGACCCTATATATCAATAATTGAGAACAAAGATTTAAGCACGAATACTAATAAGGAGAAAATGAAGGCTTGGAGCGATATAACAGAGAAGTAAACATTTTAATAAGTACCTGCATCTCAAAAAAAATGACCACATTATTTAATCAAAACATCAGATTTAATCTAGCAAATATAAGGACAAGAGACAAAAAACAATTGATGAATCAGTGGAAGTGCACTAAATTGAATACAAAAAAAAGAGTTGTCATCTTATCGCCGTGAAACATCAAAAACTGGAGGTGGAACAAAGCCACCATCACCTTCTCGAGACACAATGGTTTGAAGTAGATTTCAATGAATTTGATTGTGATGGTGTCAAGGTAGGAATGTTAATTATAAATATGATGTATGGTGATGTTCAAGGTTCAACCTTTCAAGCATAGGCATATGCTTACAACATTACTTTATTCCCCTACAGGGTAGTTAGAGATATTGTAATACCTCAAAACATCCATGTTGCACTTGTAGTACCGAAACTCTGTCCTGCCAGAAGTGAGCCCATTCCCACTTATAATGGACAGTGGGTATAATACACCTTAATACCTGAGTGCGAACCACTCACCATGATACTTAAATTAATAGATGTTATTTATATATTTCAGGTTATTACAAATAAAATCATTTTGGAAACAATTGATATCCCAAAAGCAAATAAAGCCAACAATGACAAGGTAATAAATCAGTTTTGACATAACTTGAATACTAAAAAAGCCAAACAAAGGTGTGCACAACAGTGACAACATAACTTAACAATTTCATTATTTTGTAGGATTAAAGAAAGGTTAAAGAAAATCATGTCAAACTGAACAACAAGAATCCCCAAACAACTCCAAAGAAACCTACAAGGAAGACACCGGTATTATATTTAAATTATCTCTATCTCTAAATAGAATAAAAGAAAGTTGCTATCCAGGTCTGTAGCATGTGCTACAAATTATATTATTAACACATTTATATAATTATATTAATATAAATGTGTTAAAAAAATTTATAATATGAATTATAAAAAAATTTAAGTTTTGCATGGACAGAGCTTAAATTAATATTCTCTTATTTGTTGCAGAAAGCAAGTAGTTTTGGAGAAGCCTCGTAGATGCACAACCAAGTAATGATTAATTTAAAATTACAAACCGAAATTCTGATGAAGACATTAGAGTCACTTAAAAATAAATAGTATAATGAAATAAAAATGTTTTAAAGATAAATAGTGTTTTATTTGTTTAATGTAAGAGAATAATAATAAATATTTATTTAATTAATTTTTCAAATGTAAACTGAACTTTATTGACTTTAATGACTCCTTTTCCAGTCTTTGATTATTTAATTGTAATTAATTATTTGCATGCAATCAAAAACTATTTTTAATAATGCCAAAGAAGTATAACTTCTTACGCGCGTACATAAGTACACGCACCCTTTTTTTATTTTATATTTGAATATTTCAGTATATGCCGATGGTAGAGTATGTATATCAATCCTCCATGCTCCTGGCGACGATCCTATGGGATATGAAACAAGTGCAGAGAGATGGTCTCCCGTTCAAAGTGTCGAAAAAATACTGCTCTCTGTTGTCAGTATGTTAGCAGGTATTTGGTGTTATTTTATTCTAACTCTTCATCCTTTATTGTCTATTAATAACAATACATAATATTTTTTTTATTTTAATTACAAGGATAGGATAAGCTTGCATTTTGTGCTAGGAAAAAAGTATTCCCAATATGGAATGCTTAACTATCTATCTGATTATATTAAGTAATGTTCATAATTATATCAGATTTTTGTGTAAATATTATGTTAAAGCTATCAATCATGACTGAATTTAATGAAGTGAACAAGGAACATTTTAACCAACACAGTGTAATGTATGAGCAGTATGTAATCAGTGCATGATGAAACCTTACCTAAAACTTAATATGTATAGTAATCGCTGTTTGATTTTAGGAATCTTTTTGAACAAGAAAAATTCCAATTTTATATTATTTGTTACAACTATTTCTTGTTTAATTATAACATAAAATACAACATAAATATAGTAAATGTTTTAAAATTATTCTAGAATGTATGTTATTCTATATATATGTGACTTCTGATTTGATAATGTTATACTAATATAATTATTAAAGTGATTTGTAATATGTATTTAATATTTAAAATATGAGTCGCTTAGTTATTCATGTTACTCTTTATTGTTTTTTTACCCTTAGAAAAAGCAGATATTTACAAAAACATTAGCTTAAAAATATAAACTACAATGTACACATAGGTAAATGTCCAGTATTAATCTCGCCTTTAAGAAGCTTGGTGTGCTCAGCAAGACGAGACGGTACTTCATTTCAGGCCAACTCTATAAAGCGCAAATTCGGCCCCACATGATTCTCACCTCTGGGCGCTCCCCAGTACCAGGTCTTTTCACTTCACCATATTCAAGGTAGAGCGATTCGACCGAATTCGAAACGAGTTCCAAGCGGCTTTATTCCTTGCGGAGACATTTTTGAGAGATGGAGAGTCCATCTTGTGAGTTGGTAGGATCAATCAATCAAGCAGAGGTAGCTGAGTTTCATCGAGTCCATATCACCTCATATTTTTAAGACGGTTATTGTTGCGCACCAGCACTATGTTGAACCAGCTCCCACTGAAATATTTCCGAAACAGATCGACTTAGGGTCCTTTGTAAAAAGAACGTACCAATTCTAAAAACGCCGGCAACGCACTTGCGAGCCTTGTCCGTTTTGTACTGTATTTTTTTTATTAATTATATTAAAAATTTACAGAACCTAATGATGAAAGCGGCGCAAATGTAGATGCGGCTAAAATGTGGAGAGAGGATCGAGAACAATTCAACACGATAGCTGAAAGGCTAGTACGCAAAACGCTAGACCTTTCTCCTCTGTAACATGGAGATTAGGGTAAAATATGTAACTTCAACCTAAGTTATTGCAAGGTTTTTATTAGCTGTTAAACTTAATAATTTTAAAAGATGTTACATGAGCAATACTTATATTTGTATAGTGCACTTGGCATTACCTAGTTAAATAGATTTATATTTTCACTTTCACTTAGTAAAACATTCCACATTCTATAGCTGAATGGCAGGCCTTCATAGTAGTAGCCTTTAAGAGGTGAATCTGTACAATTTGTTATTTATTTGATGTTGTATTAGAAAATAAAAAAAAGTCTTAACAATTTGAAATTGTCGTTTTTAGAAACAGAATGCCCAGGTTCAGGTGCCAGGCTCAATGTAATCGTAATTAGTTAATTTACGTCTGTGCATCGACGCCATTTAAAAGTCTCATTGACACACAGAAAAGTTTCTTCGACTGCATGTCCATAAGCATAGCGCTTTAGATAATTTTTCTTGTAACTGCATCTGCATCTAAATCGGTTAAGGTGAAATTATAAAAAAATATAGTAAAATTTTTGCTCTTAAAATCAATCCTATTATGTCATAAGTAAATGGTAATAGATAAGATATAAAGTTTAAACGTTTATGCTAGAGTCTTGCTAATGAAAGAAGACAACGAAAAAGCGCGGCAAATTAAAAAAAAAATATTATGGTATCCCTAAAAGTTTGATCTATTTTGTGGATACTTGATTTTATTTTATTATTTTTTACATTGATAGTAACTGTATTTCTATGAAATTAAATACTATAGGTATTTAGTCTTTTAGTATTGATACTTAAACTAAAACTATATTTATTATAAATCACAACTTTATTCGGAATAATCAAATCCTGCGAAAGAAACGATTGATAGAATTAGGGATGCATCCGATACCGATATATCGGCGATACTTTGGGTTTGCCGATATATCGGCATCGGCGATATTTTCATTGCCGATTCAGCGATACTTTTCAAATTTCACGCATTAAAAAAATAATGTAAACGCGCATTTTGTATGATCTAGTTTGTTGCAAACGAGCCACGGACTATTGTTGCCCGAGAAATCCCCGCGTTTTATTCAGTTTGTTGTCTTTATCATTCGCTGGGGACAAAGCATTATTATTTATGTATTTCATTTCGCTAAACACTATTTATTTATTAACACTTTGTTACATTACAATATTAAAATTGAACATAATTAAATGAAAAGGAGGGCAAAAATATATATTACATATAAACTAAAAAAATAAGTGCACACGAATCACGATAATTTAAGATCAGTCTCACGTCAGTTAGTAGTTAGTCCGAAAAACTCTTGTTGGATTGATTGGTAGACCAAAATTTTTACTCGAGTCAACTATCTTTGCCAGAGCATAGTTATTAGATATTATGGCTTGCGGGAGATCATTGAGACATTATCGAACGTAGATTTGAAGATCATTTAGTTAGCTTTAACTTCTAACGCGAGTAGTATTTTTTCGATACCAAATTTAATAAAATACAGAATTACAACATTATTATCATTGTTAATTTTAATTATTAATAGTTATTTATTTTATTAATTTATTTATTACTCCTAATTCTTAATTTTAGTTCAAAACCTTTAAAATTATTCAAAGTTTGTGACTAGTTTTTGTATTAGTATATTTTTTTAACAAAAATTATAAACTTTAACTTAACTTGATATATTTCAATTTAATAAGCAATGATATCGGTATCGACGATATTCCTATAAGAGTATCGGTATCGTATAGATCCATCCCTAGATAGAATATTTCGTTTAGGATCCTGTACCTTAATTATTCGGAAAAATATAAAATAGAAATAAAAATGAGTGATTGCATGAAGTATCAAGACAATAAATCATACTAACCTAAGAAATTCAATGACATTCTGTGTTGTCAAGTTTTCAAATAATTCAATTATCTTCTTTCATTAGCCAGACTATAAAATTTATTATTCGGAAAATCAGCAACGATAGACACTAAAGTCCCTCATTATTCATAAAAACATATTAGTTTAATTGCACCGCTTTAACTAAAGTTGTTACTTTTCAAAACACCGTAAAACACAACTGAGCGTACATACAAGAGTGCAATGTTTTATTTTTATGAATAAGAGGGTAATATTTTAGTCATTAATTATTTAGTATAATAATGATGCCTATAAAAATTGGTAATATTTATTTTAAATATATATATATATTTTTAAATTTTAAACTGTGTTAAATTTTCACGATTAATTATTATAATTCTGGTTATAGGGTCTGTATTGTGGGTGACAGTTATGCGTAATAAAATATTTTATTAAAAATATTGTCTTATTTATTTATCTATTTACTATTAACGGGTGTCTCAGTAAGAGTGCACTTTTTCATTTTAAAATAATGGTAGGGGAGCCCACGATGCTAAATGGGGATTTACTCGAGCGTCGTAGAGACCTATTGGGATGCAAAGCTTAGATAATAAGAAGAAAAAAATGTTATATGATAAATTCCTTTTCATCGGTGGGGGAAGCGGCTATAGATAGTTAAATATGTAAAAAAAAACTGTTGCATGGACATTCTCGAGCGCGTCAGATATTGATAGCATCTATGCCCTACGTATTTTTAATAATGTACGTATGTTAATCTGATCGTTTGCATGATGCGGGTGGTTGTATTTGAGGGTTGAAAATGAAAAAAAAAAAAAATTATCGAGCGCGTCAGATTTTCTAAGGAAGTGCACCAAAAAAAAGCTCTCATTCACTAATCTGACGATTTCGATGGGACGCAAACCCACAGCCATTTTCATAATTTGCAAAAAAAAATCGCAATTTTGAAATACTCAAGCGCGTCAGATTAAGATATATGTGGTTCATCTTTATGTTCTAAACGTACTGTCTCATAATCTGACGATTATCTAGAGGGATTCGCCTGATCTGACAAAAAAAAATAGAAAAAACGGTTCACCTAAAGGGCCATCCCTGCAACTTCCCGCTAATTCCATTCCTGGGCGCTTAAAATTGATATTTTGAGCTCGCTGAGTTCAAAGAAATAACATTTCTATGCATTTGAGCTCTCCCAGCTCGAAAGTCTGATAGAAGTTTCATAGAACACTATTTTTGGAATTTTCAAACCGCAATAACTTTTGAATGGATCAAGCAATTTTCACGCGGTTGGCGGCATTCGACGCAGTTTTATCATCCTCATAAGTAATGCAATTTGCAATTTTAATTGATCGAACCACAAATTTCGGAGTAATCCCGAATAAACACTTTTTCGGGTTTCTTTCGTTCACGATATCTCTCGAACGAATCAACCGCTTTTGACTAGCTTAGTGGCGATCAACGTGGTTTTTCAAGCTCTAAGGCGGATTAGTTTTTGAAGTTGATCGATAAAGAAACCACTTTAAAAAAAATATTTCTTATTTTTTTAAGATTTTTCAAAATCTATCGGTCCGAATCGGTTCAAATTCACAGGAAATGTAATTTTGAGGGAAATATTTAGAACGCCGTTTAGTAGATTCCGATCGGTTTAAGGAAATGTAGGCATCACGCAGCTGCACGCATTTAACTTTATCGACGAATTTTTGTTATTTCGGCTTGCGGAAATCGTCAGATTATATATTTTTCATTATTCTTGAATTATTTCCTTCAAAATAAAAAAAAAATTAAGTACGCTCGAGAATGTCGAGACGACGTTTTTTTTTACAACTTTTTTGCCCTCTCCTTTTTTTCCGTCACTCTCAAATTGTCAGATTAGTGGAATATACACTTTTTAGGATGTAATTAACTCACCCTACCTTAATCTGATGCGCTCGGGAATTTCTGATGGTCAATTTTTTTTTACTAATCTGATCCTGTCTCCTTCACAGGCGGCCTTATATATGGACCTCATGTTTTGTGGAGGTACTTAACCGAGTACAAGCTATCCCCCCTGTATATTAATCTGCCGCGCTTTAGTAAATCCCGAAATCCCCTCTTGGGCTCCCCCTACCATAAAAACAAGTATTTTATGACAAGAGTTGTGATCTTTTTTTGTATTGTGTTCCGATTAAGTATGGAATAAAACATCCGATGACAGGCCATTACTCTTTTCATGAAATTTTCCATGACTGGCACAGAGATGTGGCTGTATCTCACCGATGACGCGTTGGATTTCCGATTTGAGCTCAGGAATTGTGTTTTTCTTTATAAATATATATAGAAAAAATCGATCACCATCTTGGTGGCCAGTTTAATGACATCAGAATTTCGTGAGATAATGTGTTCTGGAAATCGTTGCTGCAATAAGTCGATTGTTTCATGCGCGGTGTTGCGCCGTCCTGCTGAAACCACATGTTGTCCAGATTCATGCCATCCAGTTGAGGCCACAAGAAGTCAGCGCTGCCTGACCAAAATTCGCACCAGACAGTTACTCGTTGTGGGTGCATTTGTTTCTCATGAATTGCATGAGGATTTTCTGAGTCCCAAATTCGACAATTTTGTGTATTCACGAAGCCATTCATATTTCATATGGAAATGCGCTTCATCGGAGAAAATGATATTTTCGAAAAATTGCCATCGACCTCACTTTGCTCCGTTACCCATTGAACGGCTTTCCGGCGCTTTCCGTGGTCTACTGGTTTGAGCTCCTGAGCTAACTGAATCTTGTACGCATGACGGTGGAGGTCCTTAGTCAAAATTCACTGCGTAGTGCTTCGTGAAATTTGAAGTTTTCGAGAACGATGTCGAATTGATCTTTCGGGTTTTCAGCGACACTCTTTTACAGCAGCAATGTTTTCAAGAGACCGACCGGTACTTTGACGCAAAGGATTCTTATTATCCATAATTGGCCCAGTGTCTTCAAATTTTTAGACCACTCTTGGAATGGTTGACACATTAGGTGCACTTTCTCGGCTGAAAATTTGGCGAAGTTTGCGAGCGGTTTCAGCGTAACTTTCCCCATTTTGTAATGAGTTTTCACAATTATAACGCGTTCTTCTTTCGAAAAGCGCTCCATTTTTAATAATCGGAATAAACAGACGTGACAGCTGTCAAATTTCAGAGTAGCCACTTGTATGAAAAAAAAATCCAATTTTAAAAAGTGCACTCTACTGAGACACCCTATATAATGAGTTTGTAATAAAGAAACCTAAAACGATTGCAAACATTGTTTCGACGTAAGAATGTTGCATTATCCCTGAGTAACATCATATAATTAATTACTCATATTTTTTTTAAATGCAATAGGCAAACAGGTAGGAGGTTCACCTGATTTTACGTGATACCGATACCCGCCCATAGGTACATTGCGAGAAGGCGCGCAAGTGCTATACTGGCCATTTATGAATTGGTACGCCCTTTTTTTGAAGGACCCTAACGCCCGAACCTAATAATTAATCCACAATCTCAGATTGAAAACAATCTGAGATGAGACCGTGGCAGTCGATCGATCTCCTATCTGCATCCCAATAACCAAACCCTACGAAGTCCAATCCATTTTTGCCGACGGATAAAATGTTCTTTGTCGTTCCATTTTACTGAGTTTTCACTCATATTTGATAATCAATGTAAACCAAATAAAGTAAATAAACATAACAAACAGTTTTTTTAATAATTTAAAAAAACTGGTGTAAGTTAAAATCTGTTAAAATAATTAACTGTTGAAATCGAGCTTTCGTCAACTGTCATTTTCATACAAAGGTCTATCCACAGACACCGATACGACCTCCCATGGATAGCTTGTATCGACAGATGGCTATTAGGTACAAGCCGTCGATTGGTTATTGGCACATTGTTACATCTATTGGATTAAGATTTCTATCTCAAATGGTGGATTATGGATTGAGATAGGTTATTACGTTCGTGCGTAAGTCAAATTGGTTTGGAAGTACTTCAGTACTTCAGCTGGGTGCGTGGCAAAAACTGCCTTAAGAAACGCTCATTTGTATCGACAGACGTCAAGGTGATATACTATATAACCGTATCGGTTGTTGTTGATAGTTTTGTCTTAGTCGCAAAACATATTTTGGCAACATGTTAACATAACTAACAAACTAACTAACTTCGTTTAACATGCTTGCCGCCATTTCTGACATGCTACAAAAAGCAAATGCTTCCTTATAATTTTGACCTTGGAATATCAGAGAGAAACGAGTATAAGCTCTAAGTCTGAATCAGAAGTGTATTGGATTCGGTTTTCATACGAGCCTAACAAATACTTTATATGTAGTTCGCTCTCAGTTTCGTTTCTGAATCTCACCCTTAAAGTATCGAAAACGGTAATTAATATGCTTGTATAAGTATTACCATAAAAATATTAGCATTTTATTAAATAGAATTATATAAATAGCAAGACAATGTTAATCTGTGTAAGTATCGTTTAACAATTTCTGGTAAATTATTCAGAAATGATCATGAGGTATTTGAGAACATTACCATCTGGTGTCATCGTGAATGTAGGCCGGTACTGTTGTAAGCATAAAAACGATGGTTTTTCTTCCTTGCTGCAGACTTGTACAAATGCTAGCGCAGTGAAATAAAAAGTTGGTCCAATTAAAAAATGTAGTCACGGTCCGAAATCTCTTCTTGTTCGTTGTCAAACAATCGTTATGAATATAAAATTAAAATTACTTATTTAATTATTATTATTACCACATTAACACTTAATTAGTTTATAAAAAGTATTTATACAATACCACTTCCTATTATGTGGCTGTAATAGCAGAATTGATAGTAAAACGATGCTAGTACCAAATGAAATGGACATGCCTGACCTATACGTCACAACAGGATTTGTTCTATTCAAAGTTAAACAAATGCCAAGTAGTTGTTATGTATGGTATGTAAGGCATGTGAAGCGGAGAACACGCCACTCCGAATAACAAGCAGGCGCTATGTTGGGGCGGCGCGAACGGGTGAACTTCTGCAACGACGCCGAAAGTCAGTATCCAAGGTGTTGGTGTTGAGTGTTAAAGCTCAGATCAGCCGTGGCAGCCGTCCGCTTCGGACCTGTTCACCGACGCTCCTTAGAGAAAGGAACAACATTAGTGCTTTTCGCAAGACCCGCAAATAATCACCAAGATGAGGATTCTTCCCCTGTAAGTACATATAATTTTCATATATTATACATTCAGTTACGTATCGTGTAGAACTCGCACAAAAAGCGGATTTGTAGACCCCGCTAGGCGATTGCATTTGCGATGTCATAATATTCTAATGAAGCATTCACAATCGGTTAGATCAAGATATTGAATTAGAATAAAATGTATGTAACTTGATATTTTTTTTTTTTTATTTTAGTACTAAGTGGTAGTCATTTAAAAAATATGCTATGCGCTCAACACCTTTTCGTTAGTACGTTAGCAAAACTTTAAAATTACGATATAGTTCGTTCATCCATGCCGAGTTCTTTTAAAACTAAGATGTTAAATATTTTAAGAATCAGAGGTCAATATTTAAACTTTCACTTTACCTATTCACAATTAAAATATTGCACATATGTGAATTAACAGTATATCCTCCATCATGCAAATATTTGAGGATACGTCTTATGGCTATTTTCAAGTAGGAAATAAAAATCGGTGTTGTACGGAGGCCATTGAAACAAATATATTGTACGTACGGCCAATATATGTCATAATAATTATTTGGGACTTATAAATTCTATTACATATTTCAATTTTTGATAATGAAATAATAATTGACCTAGTGTAACGCACAAAGCAACTAATTTTCAAATTTATTTGGCGAAACTGAGAACCGGTTCAATGGATTGAACCCACATTGAAAGCTTAGTGCGCGACCTATGATTAAGCAACTTATTAAAGTACTAGTTACATACGGATAAAAATGATTGCCTCTGAAATGTTGAGAAAACTAGATTTGACGTCATTGCTCCATAAAGAAACGCGGACCCATAAGCAATGTTGCACGGTATAAATTTGTATTAATTATTACATTTTACAAAATATATTAAAAAATTCAAAAACTTATTCAAATTACTGATCGTAGGAAATACGTCATAGAAAATTATTTAGCTGCTGTTGTTGCTATAGAAATTAAAAAGATCCTCTATTTTTGTCAAATAAGGCAGCTTCTAATTTTGGAATTTATATTGTCACTAGCTGACCGGGCACACGTCGTTTTGCCATATATATCATTTATAATAAAAAAATAGGGGTTGATCGTAGAGGGGTGAAAGTTAGGGGTTTGTATGTATTTTTAATGCTGTATCATAAAAAAATAAAAACACAAAAAAATATAAAAAAAATATTTAGGGGTGGACTACCCTTAACATTTAGGGGGATGAAAAATAGATGTTGTCCGATTCTCAGACATACCCAATATGCACACAAAATTTCATGAGAATCGGTTGAGCCGTTTTGGAGGAGTATGGCAACGAAAACTGTGACACGAGAATTTTATATATTAGATATCAAATCTAGCGTGGTTATGTAAACTGACGTTCCTCTCTATAACTTATTGAAAGTATGTACTTTACAATAGTAACGTAACTAAGATATTATCAGTTAAATATGCGGTTACAAAAAGGTCAAAACTACGAATTAAGCAACAGCTGACTCATCAATTTTAACATTCTAAAATTGATAGATATCTTTCTTACTTTCATTAAAATAGAGCGATTCACAATCCTGATTGAATATTTGAATAAAATTATCTATAATAGACTGATATTTATTAGACCAATAAATTATCAAAAAATTATGCATTAATAATTTTGAACATAACGTAACCTGAATTCGCGGAAAGGTCACATACAAATGCCTTATTATCTATATTACGAAAAATTAATAGAATGAAGTGTATTTTTTTAATAATATAAAGAAATATTGTTTCCTACATGTTTTCATTTGTTTCGTGAATATTAACTTAATGTTTAACGTAACACTGTGTGTTCAAGTGTGGCTACAACAGCAAATAATGAATGCAACAACTACTAGTAGTTGGCCTCAATTAATAAAAGATAATGTATTAAAATTCTGTTACAGTTACTTCTCGTTATTTTCGAGGACTCAATAATTATTATTCAGTTAAATATAGTGGTAATTGAATGTTTAGTTCGAGGTAAAAGTATCGTACCGTGTACAACACTACTAATTAGTGAAGGATAATTATTTATTTTTTCTAATCGTGAAATCTTATTAAAAGTCATATCATAATAAAAACAATGCAAATTTCTTCTCACTACTCCTAATTACACAACTACATGTAGGTACGCTAGACGGAGGCGCGACTACAAAGATGCGCTCAAATAAACCTCACACTTACCCAACCCCGTACAGCGAACATGAAAGACATTTTGTAATAATATAGGTATTACACAACTAGACGATTGACATTTGTCTATAAGTTAGGCGAACTTCTATTGTAGCTAAGTTTATATAGCATCCGCTCATGCTATGAAGATGTTGCATCATTTTCTGATTCAAACAATTTAACGTTCAAGACTGGAGGCTCATTATTTTTATTGTTCCCTAACATTTACTAACTTGCCCGAGCTCAATTATGTGCTGTGGGAAGATTCACGCGCAATAGCCTACACAATGAGAACTTTTGCAAGCTCTAGATTTTATGTAAATGATTATAGACTAGAATCCAAACTAACATGAGGCAATAGTTGCATCTTCGAATTGTGTCTTTAAATAAGAATTATCATGTAGCCTTTGGAATTTTCTGTCCAGGAAACTTTGACTATCACTTCTCAGCCGTTTAGCAGAAGGCTTCCTGTTATAAAATACGTCATCAGTCATCTAAAAGGTTGTAGTTCTACTACCGCATTGCAGGCCGAGGTCACCCCAATTCTTACACTTTTCAGTTTAAGCTTAAAGGCCTTTAGTCATTGCAGTGTTTCTAAAATAATATTCAGTACATACGCATGTGTTCTACTGAACAACAGCATAGAAAGTTTTACTTTTTCCGACGTGACAGGCAACACCAATTTTATTTTATCCGAGTAACTAATGCACATTGCATACAGAAACAATTATTGTATAGTCACTGACTAAAATAAATTCTAGTCGCATCATAGCTATAATGTCAAGAATGTAGTTTTATTGATATTTTGCTAATAAAGGCACGAATTCGCATTCGTGATCAAGTATATCTTCACGATTGGATTTACGTTATTAATGTAGCGTCGTTGTCCAACCGTAGAATTCATCATTTCATGAAACTGGCCAACCAGGCTGTTAGTTCGTCCAACGTGTGATCACTTAAAAACAGGAACATTAATTACAAGTTACATGTTACAAAATCGAACAACGAAACAGTAAATATAAATTAGGTATATTTTTATTACCATCGCTTACAATAAACACCTAGCGGGTCCTGCATAAATGATATGACTATACGTTGAAATTTCACTTCCCGTTGTATTCAATTCAATGATATATAAGCATTTTATGAAATGATCAATTCTGTGATTGGGCCACGACCTATGATTGTCATTGGATATAGTGATATATTACATAAAATAGAGAAAGCTAAGGGAGATTGTTGCGTTTTAATCGGAAGTGAATGCGGAACTTATCTAGCTATCACAACCTGACCTGACCCTGAAACCGAGACCAGTTACTCAACGCTGTATAAAGTAACGAGTTAACCTTTAACCATTGACAGTTCTCTCACGCACTTCTATGTATGTTAGCACTTATGCTTACATGCCCCGAGGGTTCTAATCGACGTGCCACGTTCACCCAACCTCGAAATATTTATTGACCGTATTTGAATACAATGATATGCATCACGCTATTACAATCGATGACTGAAACTGTTTTTCTTGCTCCGTTTAAATTGTTAAAAATTATCGCTATAGTGGGTTTCAATGTATAATAACAAGTTATACATGCAAAGGTGTAAACTTATAAAGATGTTGTAATCGTTGTCACTACGTAAATTCCTGCATAGGATTACTTTGGTAACTAAAAGGTTGAACGTACAAGGACATGTTTGCAAAAACTTGATTCGTGAATTATCTCTTCCAGCATACAATAACACGTGCGGTTTCACTGATATTTCTTATTATATATACCAATAAAGAGCCCTGACATTTAACTGGCATAATAATTGCATAGAATTTTATGACATGTCATCATGTTAATGAATATTCGTAAGTTTTGACTCTTTTGTCATTGACAATTTAATATTTTATATGATTATTTTTCCGACCCAAATATCGGCCAATAGAATTGCACCATTCGACGTCACGTGGTACAACCTACATTGTATAATACTGAAAATTTTTTGTGAAAATTTTCTCTGGTCGTTGCTTCAAGAAAAGTATTAAGTAGTTGTTTTATTCATTATGAAATTCTTATTTGTTAACTGTACATTTCGTCTCATGGTGAAATTCTATTGGCCGACATTTGGGTCGGAAAAATAATCCCCCGAATACCACGCGAGCTTCAAAATTATCTGGTATTTCCCTCAAGGTTCGTTGCAAACAAATATAGTCGTCATGACGACTTATAGTCGTCATGACGACTATATTAATTGTTTGCAACGAACCTATCGGGAAATACCCGATAATTTTGAAGCTCTTGTGGTATTACATATGAAAATTAGATAGGTTTATTATGTAATATATATTATACGAGATAATATTAAAAAATCATGTCCTGAGTGCTCCACGTGATTTCTAGTTACATAACGATACGGATACGGACTGGTATTATCTATATGTTACAGTCACCTGAATTAGCATATTAGGTACTTGACCATCTTGACGAAATAATATATGCAACGATAGATCTTTGTACAGAATTCATATTCGTTTATTTCATTGTATTGGCAACTAACAGCAGAAAAACTTTATCTTCCTCATCCTTGTTTTGAAAATTATAAAGAAAAACACCTTAAATTACGCAAGTCTTTGTGGCCAATTGCTTTAAAAAGGCTTAGTAAAAACTACGTCAAGTAAGTGTTGTTAGCTCTCACTGTTACTTGTATGTTTCATTGTAATTGTATTATTCATTTTACAGGTTCGTTCTATTAGTTTGCTTTGCATGGCAGACGTCGGCGCGTCCACAAGACGATTCTGAATCCCGGGCAATCCCATCCAGGGGTTTGCTCAAACGAGGCTTAGTTGGAAAAGGGAAACCCACAACATCCACCACAACAGCTGCGCCAGAGGTATACTTAATTTTTTGTATATAAAAGTGAAAGTAGCGTTCGTAATCGTTACTCAATCACACCTGACGGCGGATTAGATTTGTATGGATGTAGACAAATTAAGCAAACATAAAAAAAAATTAATATTATGTACCGTTTAGGTTAAGCTCTGACAAAAACTGAGAAGAACATTATTATTAATAATACGTACTAAATAATAATAGTGGCGCTAAAATAATATATGGGTCTTAGCCTCAGATTTCTGCGCCTGCTTCATTATTCGGGTTTTATAAGCGATCTGATCCAGGGTTGCTTGAAAGCCTTGTTAAGAGATCTGTTGCCCTTCTTAAATAAAAGGGTTTTTTTCTTATACATTCATCTATATAGAATCAAATCATAGTTTATTTTATCATATTGATGATTAACACTTATGAACGTCAATATTACAAAAAAAGAAGATCTAAATATACATTCACCACCGGTTCCCTAATCAAGAGCGTGGAACGGGCGAAAAGAACTGGCAAGAAACTCTGCACCACTCTTTTTAATCGCCAAGTTTTGCGTCAAAGACTTGTAAAGAACTGCAACCATTTTGCCTTCACTTGACACATTGAATTGTTTCTGAATTGAATAATATCAAACAAAGCACCGGCGGGCAAAATATAAATTATATCAAGTTAGAAATTTGTGTAAATATTTTTCAAATATATCATAACTCATTATTATTTACAATATCTGATTTCCTGCTACGTATAAATTATCATGTGTTAAAACCAGTAAGTGATAGTCACTATAAAACCAACAAGGATCTACTTATATAATAAATAACATTATAATATCACGAATATCTATTTTTCATGTTGTTTATTATTAAAATTAGACATCTATTAAATAATATTTTTAATTTGAATATCATTTAAAGACTTATTTTAATAACTCATTAGTTAAAAATAAAGATGTCTTTTAATCACATTCTCATGACATTTCATGATATAAAAACGGTAGTTTTAGTTGGGACGATTTTTTCGATGTTATTTACAAGAATTTCGAGTCATGTTATGATTATGTTCGAGTTATGATTATTTTAATAATTTTCGGTGTATATTTGTTATATTATACAGAAACAAACCTAGCCGTATGCTAAATAACACATTGTTAACAGATCATTGCCTAATTGGGTGATGTATAAGTGTTATGGGTATTTCCCTTTTGTATGCGACATTCGAATCATTTAGCCCAAGGCGAGTCGGACCGCCCTGTTCGCCCGATGGACGAGTTGCCTTCACAAGTGACCTCCAACTCCCTTTGGCATTTCTACGCGAACGACAGTAAAGGCAGTAATACTTATTGAACTGGTTTTTGTGGAATTACGACTGCTATCGGAATGTCTGTCTGTAATCTCCGCCATGACGTAAAACCAAATATATATGAAATTGCGTTCAAGAAATCAATTTATTAAGATCGTAAAATTTTTACACATATAACTTTCCTCGCAAGCTCTTTTAATAATGTCGATTTTATATTATAACTAATAGTCACATATATCTAATTGATAAAACTATTTTAATAAAGTGACCTTATATATTTCACTTTACACTTGACAAATTATTATTTAATGGGGAAATAACTTACTTGACTGGGGAAATAAATGCATCGTAAATGTAAACACGAAAGAGAGAAAGTCGATGATTTACGAAATGAGAATAAAAAAAGTTAAATCATAAAGGTAAAAATGGAATGATGAATGGAAATAAATAATGTCTATGTACATTATGTTTGGAAATATTACCAATTCTATTTTTTTATAAATATTAAGTAACAGAATGTTCTTTCAGGAGGAAGGCGATTATGACGAGGAAGGTGACTACCCAGCAGAAGCAGAAGCTAACGAGCCGTCTACAGAAGCACCCCCATCTTCCACAGAGGGTAAAAAGCTCGTTGCAGGAGGAGTGAGGCCATTCCGAAGCAACACTGACCTTCTAGCAGCCTTAAAAAGGCGGCGAGCACAGGCCGCGGAAGGTAATTTGAACCAAGTAATTTTCAGAATATAATGATGGGGCTTATCTACGCCATTTCCCGATATTAATTTTGCTATCTTACTAAAAAATCTTTACCCAAGTATATAATTATATTATTATTTTCATTTATTTAACTAAAATATTGGTTATAAGAGACGAAGAATGACAATTATGTTGCAATCTGTTTTAATTATTACATATTATGTATCGTATTTAATAAAGACGGTTATGGATTTTTCTTAATATTTTGACATAAATAAAACATATACTTTCATGTGGGTATACATAAAATAATAAACAAACTGTGATACTTTAAAAGTGGTTTCTTGTGATACAATATTTTTTTCAATTCTCATTGTTATAAATTTAGTTCAAGGTAATGAAAGTTGAAACAATGTTTTTTTAGCCAAATTGGGTCACTCAGTACCCGCCGCCAGCCAATCACAGGATGACCAAACTGAAGCATCAGTAAAAGCTAACTTCAGTAAGTTCTTAGTAACTATCGTTACTATTCCAAATAAAACATACTAAATCTGTAACTAATTACTTTATCACGATTATTACTTTATGTCAGGTTTTTGCTTCTTATTTATATATTTATTTAGGCAATTTTTTTAATACCATGGCTGGGTTTGACTTTAGCTTATTAAAAACAGAAGATAATTGACCGCACGAAATACTTATTGAAAAAAGTAAATGCAGAATTAAAAAAACAATTGATATTGCGGCAAAATTATAGCTTAGTGTTTTACTATGCTATTTATGAATTGGCACCAAAATATATATATATACCTAATTATATTAAGTATTACAATACTCCCGACACAACTTTGTCTTGAAAATTTTCAGGATTGTTATTTTAATAAGCTTTGAGAGGTTTTGAACGTATATTAATAATATTATCATATTACAATCAAATATTATTTATTAAATAAACACGTTATTAACACAAAAATAACAATTGCAGGTAAAAAGCGTTTGAACACAGGGACTCGCGAAACAAAAACAGAAGAAGCACCAGCGCCTGCTAAGCCCAATAGAAGCCGATTTGGAAGACGTAAGTTCGAACTTCTATGAAATCCTCTTAAAGGCTATCACTGAAACACCATGACGCTGCTGATGTTATCGCAATTATTAGCGACACTGATTTTAAAAAATACTGAAAATATTATTTGAAACAATTTTATACGTCAAACGTAACATGAGATTTAATTAATTTGTGATAGACAATTTTCTATACAGGAGCATTTTTTTTCAAACCACAATATAATCTCTAATAATAACAATAATAACGGTTTATTTATGATATACATTATGAATTTATTCGCGAAACTCACAATGACGTGCAAATTTTTCGTTGATAATTTGTTAAAATTTTGACTTAACGTATTAATATAATTTATGACTATCACATTCCAACCTTGATACTTTTATGAAAGGTTAATTTAGAACTTAGGTGATATAACTAGCGTTCTTTCTACCAGTCCGATACAAATAATATTTCAGCCATTCAGAGGTTCGTCTATCGGGTGGTTTGTGCATAAATATAAAATAATAAATCACCAGATTGACTAATATAATTAATACAAATTTAATAAGCGACTAGCCGTTAGCCTTCATGCATCCAAACACCTTCCTTCCTTAAACACGGCTCGGAAATAAATATAATTGCTCGTTAAACATTTTAATTGACCTAAAATGTAGCTCGATATCAAATTCGAAATAATAACACACTTTGCAACGTTGCGTGTCAATTTGTGCAACAAATATAATTAGATTTCGCAAAAACCATTTAAGCAACCACCTACAGCAGTGATTTGGGGTTCTGGTCATATCGAGATTTTATAGAAACATTAAATTTACACCGAAGGTCAGTTTATGCAATGCGCTTAGTGTGGAAATTCTTGTTGTATACGTTTTTAAAGCAGTGAAAAGTATTCTATGCTCCAAGTAATAAAACAAATATCATTAAGATACATAGACGATAAATGCACTAACATCAATCCTTTATATAAAACAGCAGCAAATGATTTTTGAGGAGCTTTACTAAAAGTGTAGCATCTAGGCTAATTCATCTTGATATCAAAGAGAATCGCTTAATTTTTTGGAATTGTAGCGTTAATCTTCTTAAGTTTATATATATATACGTATATCTGTACCTTTTGTAAACCGAATAAATATATTATTCACTTGCGAACTTTGGTGCAGCGATTGGTCTATTACGCTTCTTAGACATTAGTTGTTTTGAGGTCACCGGTCAATCCGTAATAGTTAACCATATTCATCTGTTACAGCGACTTCAAAGTCGTTCCAAGAGACGGAACCAGTAGAAGAACAGAATGACACCGCTCCTGCTACGAGGACCGGCAGACAATTCAGACGTGGTGGAAATTAGTTTCTTGCCTTATTGTTCCTTACCCAAAACCTTCCCAAGACTTTAAAAATTCCTATTCATTACCTGTTTCGTTTCCTATATGCGAAAACGCTACATTAAACCAGCCCACAACTCCACAAGTCTAGGTTTACCTTTCTAGAATCATACATACTGTCAAAAAATATGTAATTAAAGAAAGTAATTTTTAAAGTTTTAAAATTGTTTAGAACGATTAAAATTGAATTTATGCCTTTTATCTATATTGAATGTATCAATACCCTTATCCGAAGATATTCATTTATACCTACTGCAATATAGCAGTGATAATATTACTGCCATGTATGGTCTGTGTAACCAATAAGTTCCAATAAATTAGCGATTTTATATACCTACTATTTTGTAAATTATATTTCTAAGTGTTTTTTAAAATAAATAATTTAAAATACGTTTGTTTTTCTAATGTAACGCATGGTCGTGTGTAAAACACGGCGTCGATGTCATATTTTTTATTGTATCGAATGATCCCGATGGATTCAGATAGAGACTGACAGATATGTCTATGATATTGTTATTGTAGTGTGTATAGATCTTTCCAACGTATATAATAATATATCAAAGTCCCGACAACTGATCGGTTTTACGATATTTTTGTCCCGTAACACCTCTACGTGTGCGAGCAGTGTTGGCCTAGTGGCTTCAGCGTGCGACTCTCATACCTGAGGTCGTAGGTTCGATCCCCGGCTGTGCACCAATGGACTTTCTTTCTATGTGCGCATTTAACATTTGCTCGAACGATGAAGGAAAACATTGTGAGGAAACCAACATGTCTTAGACCCAAAAAGTCGACGGCGTGTCACTGGAGGCCGATCACCTACTTGCCTTTTAAATTTAAAAATGATCATGAAACAGGTTCAAAAAATCTGAGGCCAAGACCTAAAAGAGGTTGTAGCGCCAATGATTTTTTTTAACACCTCTATTTGGAACCAGCTATCCGTGGAAGTATTTCCTACTACAAGAAATGAGTACAAATTCTTACATTTCGCATGCTATGTGCATTCTTCTCTATTGCGTTGATATCACCTAACATTAGCTCGTTTTATATAACGAAATCACTACAGACAACAAGCAGATAAAAATATCTATTTCATGTAGGTAAAAGTGATAACGAGAGATCTCCTCTTATTTGTTTTGAATACGTGTAATAAAAGATAAAAAACGAAAATAATAAATTTATTGAGTTTATCTTACAGTTATTATTCGATGTTCGAATACCACAATACTTAAATAAAGTAAGTTGAAGGAGCTTAATTCGAAGGCTTAACTTCAGCAAGTGGTGTCTTGTAAGTTCCGGGTTTCACTAAGTTCACCAATTGCTCGGCAATCTCTTGACCAACTCGAACTTGGGCTTCCTTTGTAGACGCACCTGTAATAGAAGTAACTTTATTGAAACATTATTGGTATCATATATGTGTCGACTTAACTTTATAGGACTATACGGTAATCAAGTCCGAGAAATTCTGAGTGACTCGGAGGCATATATTAATAATTTTTTCTCCTAGACTAAGTTAATACTCGCCTACGTATAATGGCCGATTTACATTATCTTAGTGTTTAGGAGAGTGCTTTAGGATAGTACTTTAGTTGAACCATGTAAACGCTACTTGCTTTAGTACGGTTCTACTTGACTTTCAAGTTGAATCAAAATAGAATCGCTTTTTATTTTTGTTTCAAGTGATACCCCTTCCGCGCCCGCGCCACCCCCGAGATCTTCCCTTGTTGTGTGTAAACACGTAATTTAGTAAAATCTTTAGGAGAGTGCACAAGTGCCGTGAAACGCGTGCGTGTTTTTTGATTTTTAAAGATGGCTAAATGGTCGGAAGATACAACTATCAAATTTGTGTCTGAATATGTTGTTCACGAATGTTTGTGGAACGTTAAAAACAAACAGGCTAGGCATTCGGCATACACTGCCTTAAAAGAAGCTATTTTATTTATTATTTATATTTAGTTTATTTATTTCGAATAAAATCTCGTCTTCTATTTGTTCCATAACTACAGTTAGTATTTTGCGTAGAATAGAGCGTATTTGCCGACGTCGTTGCGCGTTCATTGTGGCGCTGTAATGATACTCTACTGGAAGAAATGTAAACGTTCACTCGCAACGCACTAAAGCACTAAAGAACTTGCCTTTCAACTTGTACTAAAATACTCTCCTAAACACTAAGATAATGTAAATCGGCCTTTAGTTATAATTTATAAATACATTCCGATAGTTGTTCTTTAATTAACAGTAAGCTAAGTTAATAATATATATAATATTTCAAAATCGATATCAATAATTTGAAGTTTCTAGACCCCATCTGAGCACCATTATGTAAACGGGCGCAAAATTGCTTCTGTCCTTCAAAACTGCTTGTTAAATATATCAACTTTTAAATATAATTTATGATATTGTTAAAACCTAACGAATTTAACGGTGGCCGATGGCTTACCGAGATGAGGTGTAGCGACAACTGCTGGATGCTGGATAATTTCAAGAGTGAGAGGATTTTTCGGCGGTTCCTCTTCGAACACATCAAGAGCTGCGGCACCAACCTGGATATAATAATCGTAAATATAACTACTACCTATATTGATTACATTCCAAAACGCGAGCAATATATTTTTTATCAAAAGTCCTTATATAGCGACCTCATACATTAACTACCCCGCATACTGCGTTAAACCTTCCTGGGTTTCATTCTAACGAAACAATTTTCACTTTCGAAGGCACATAAGGCTCGCTACTCACTAAACCTTTACGAGTACTACGAACCTTTACAGACACTATTATAATAATACATTGTATTATTACTATTTGACGTTAAATCTAAACAAAACATCAAGTGCATACAAAACAGGCAAAAAGTAATAATATTAGCTGGCTACATACTTTTTAACCATAAATATATTATTAACAATGTATACAGTATATGATGCTGTCTAAGGGCTCCCACACAAAACTGCGATGCGATGCGATGCGAATTCGCATCGCAGGAACTTGCGATGCGAATTTTTGCGATACGATTTACGCCTTTAGGGCTCCCACACAAAACTGCGAATTCGCATCGCATCGCAAATATCTGCGAATTCGCACGAACGCAACGCAAGAATTTCCGATCTGCTTCGCATCGCACATTCCTGCGATTTTACGTCATCCTTGGTGACACCATTTTAGTCCGCTCTGAGACAAACAATTAAAATGTCAATAAATACATTTTGTTTTACTTTACCTGATAGTCAGTCCCAGCATTTCCAAAGGCATAACAGGAATTCTTCCCTTGTACGATAGTTTTTGAAGGCATGGTGATAATATACTCAAAAGCTCTTCGATTTAGTGCGTCAAACCGTTTGGTAGGGCGACCATTCCTTCGAAGCCAGCCGTACTGAACGTGTTTTTAAGAAGCGTAAGATGGATCGCAAAAAGATTATTGCACTGCTGTTATTGTTAAATAGATATAAAAGAAAAAGAAGATTCTGGGTTCATCCATTCTTTACGATTATGAACTCTGATGGGAACTATTTTATTAAAAAGTACTATGCGTTGAGAACTGAAGAAGATAAATTTTTTGATTATTTTAGAATGAGCATATCTTCATTTGAAGAGCTTTTGAGTATATTATCACCATGCCTTCAAAAACGATCGTACAAGGGAAGAATTCCTGTTATGCCTTTGGAAATGCTGGGACTGACTATCAGGTAAAGTAAAACAAAATGTATTTATTGACATTTTAATTGTTTGTCTCAGAGCGGACTAAAATGGTGTCACCAAGGATGACGTAAAATCGCAGGAATGTGCGATGCGAAGCAGATCGGAAATTCTTGCGTTGCGTTCGTGCGAATTCGCAGATATTTGCGATGCGATGCGAATTCGCAGTTTTGTGTGGGAGGCCTTAAATGGTGTCACCAAGGATGACGTAAAGTCGCAGGAATGTGCGATGCGAAGCAGATCGGAAATTCTTGCGTTGCGTTCGTGCGAATTCGCAGATATTTGCGATGCGATGCGAATTCGCAGTTTTGTGTGGGAGCCTTTAAGCTACAATAGTGACTAAGATGTATGAGTATTCCTTACCTTTCCTTCTTTGAGTGCCTCCAAGAAATCAGGTTCGTGAATTAAACCACCTCGTCCGACATTCACAATTTTCACACCCTTCTTACAAGAATTAAGTACCTCCTTGTTGATAAAGCCTGGAAAGAAAATTTTATTTTATTAAAGATTTACGCATACAAATCATGTCTCAGAAGCGCTTCCTAAAGATATCTCGCTGGTAATTACACCCCTCCTATTATAGTTAGGGTATTGTTAAATCTTAAGACGGTGTATTTATATTTCTATAGGCGCTCATTCAGAGTTAAAATATAGTATGAAGCGAACCATGTGAATAAATATGGTATTAGCTACCGCGGCTAATAAATGGTCTACCCTATCAAAATAATATTAGATTGCCTAACGCCAACCAAAATAAACAGTAAATTAAAAAAACTACTTTTATATGCATTTGTCGCGCTCCTAAACAAGACTGCTATGGTTACATTAATACAAACATCAGCGGTTTTCTAATGTAACTTATTATGATTGTATTATATTATTTTGTAAAATAAAGAAATTAAAAAAATAATAATAATAATATTAATCTAAGGTTAATCTCTAAGTCTAGCTAATAAATGCATATATTTTATTCCTATACGTTACTATTTCTCCCTCCCCAATATGTTCGTTAGGCTTCATAAGACAAAGTAAAACAAAAAAAAAATATTTGTGTTGTGACTACGAGTTAATTATCATAGCAACAGTTTTGAGGTCATAATTACGTAAGTTATGATATGTAAAATTATTAACAAGATTATGCTATCTTATCATTTAGAAAAAGACTCGTGAAAAATCCTGCCTGTCATATTGATTATCTCTTATTCCATTCTAGCAATTAACTTGAACTGTTTCCCTTCATAAAATTTTGAATGTCGTAGTGATAGTCTCGTTAAATTGATCTTCATGCTTCGAATCAACTATAAATTGTTTATTAAGCCTCTTATCTTTTGAGTAAGTATACCATACAAGACATGGTCTTTGACATAAATACAATAATAGTGTAATGTACTCTTATCATTTCAAATAATACCTATTTTCCCGTTGTATCACTAGGTCAAGACGATTACAGAACCGACTTTACCGATATTACGATCTGATATTTCTTACAAACATTATCGAGTGACAGAGACAACATACAATTAGTAAATATTTTCGAACCCATGGAATAATAAAAAAAGGCTCGGAAAAGCCTTAGTTTTGTACTAGAATCAGCGTAGCGCTTTTACTGGTACTGTAAATTTGTGACTTTTTAAATATTAAGCTATTGCATAGATTTTATCAAGGGCTTTGAGCGCGGCGACCGAATCAAGAAATTCCGAAACGAAATAAACCTAACACACGATGACGTAATATAGGTGCGACCAATACGCGTTAGAGCGGGACAGAACGCATACTGCGTCTCACATCGGTTTAGCGTGATCGGATAGGCGTGTTAGTCTGAGTCTGGTAGAGTGGTAGATTGAATTAATATCGAAGAAAAAACTTGAATTAATATCAAAGAAAAAAAATACTGCAAAAAATAAATAAATAATTATATTGCATAAGTTTATAAAAAATGCTATGGCTTTACCGCGACAGTTCCCGAGTGCCACACGTATTTTTTATACCGTCTGGGATCCAGTGACCCCAGATAAATCGTGCCCATATAGTTTAAACCATGGCCTCCAAATTTATCATAAGTTAATTTAGACCGTTTTACGGACCCCCTAAAGTCGAGCTGTCTTATATTATTACTAAGATTTTCTTCTGAAAATACATAAGTGCGCGAGGAGTGCGTATTATTTAAATTAAAAACACTTACTGCGAGTGGAATCGATCAGGGGCATGTGCAGAGTGATGTAGTCGGCTTGGGGCCAAACTTCTGACAACTCCACCTTGGTGGCCCCAAACTCTTGGCACTGTTGACTAGTAACGTAGGGATCGAAACCAATAACCTGAAAAATGCACAAGGATATGTTTTAAAAACATTTATGATTGCCAGATTTAATTCTTACATAGAGAAAAAGCCGGAGAGCTGGCCCAAAATGATAAACGGCTCAAATATAAGAGTATTTCCTTGGTATCAGCTTCGATTTTGTTTCCTTTGGAGTAGAGACTCTTGGGCCGTAGGGAACAAGTAATTAATTATTTAAGTTGGCCCCTGGTAGATAGTACCGGTGACCCCAGAGCTGGTGCTTTCCTCGCTCAACGAATATCTATTGCAATACAGCGAAGAAATGCTGCCAGTGTTAAAGTTTAAAAAATTGTTTAACTTTCTAATTATTAATTATTATTATTATTACTATGTAGGTTAAGAAAAATTGTAAATACTGTATATTTGTGTGTTAATAAAAATAAATAATTATTTGTCTTACATAGATATTGTTACCACATTATGTTATATCACTTTTAATTATAACGTCATCGTACAATCAACAGAATTATTGACTATTTTTTGTCAGCATTACTCAGCATATTTTGTTTAACTTTATACATGATGAAATTGGTTTAAATATTGGTTTAATTTTACCTGACAACATTTCCCCCATAACCATTTTTTTATTCTATACCTAAATTTATTTAAGAATTAGAATATATTTTTCGGACAATACGAAATAATTATTTATTGATTCGCAATAAGAAAAATACAGTCGCATTTGACTTTCGCTCGCATACACAGATATAAATATATAAATACTTTATTAAGATTTCTGATTGCAGATATTAATTCTTAATTGAAGTGGCTTGTTGTGAAGTGGTGTTTGCCTTTGGTGGATTCAATGTTTGTTCTAGTAGAATTTTTTTTGAGGAACAGACGAAATTATAACTATCTCTTCACAGGGATTTACAATATCTTGAAAAAGTTTAGAAACCTGCCAACTCACGTGTTTCATTTCAGCGTCTGTTGTATTGAAATAGTTAAGAAAGGCGATTTGTGCCTGAGAACCCTGGTTTTGTTGGAAATCAACGACCTCGGGCGTTTGCGGTATGCATCTTAGTAGTCACATAGGCGAGTTTAGGTTGAATATTTTTTAAAATATACAATAATCAATAAGCATATGAAAAACTGAATTACCTTCATTCCGAAGCTTCGCATGCGGACAGCCACTTCCCTGCCAACTCTTCCAAGTCCGAGCACGGCCAAGGTTCTGTTGTTAACTTCTGTCCCTGTGTACAGCGCACGATCCCACCTTCCAGCCTTGAGAGATGTGGCAGCAGGTACTACGTGTCTCGCTAATGCTAATATCAGCCCACATGTAAGCTCGCAAGCACTCATAGCGTTAGCACCGGGGGCACTGGAATTGTTTATTTAGGTTAGATTTCCTATGAACAAAGGTTCTCTAGGATTAACCGCTCGAATAAGAGCCGGATACCGGTTTCTTTATAGCTTTTTTTAGAGCTGTACTTGTCCTGTCTATGTCTACTTCAATACATTTCATGTAGTGTATATAATAATAGCAATGGGCTTCAATCAAAAGATCATCCGACCTACATTGAGACTTATTTATTTACAAAGCCGTTACAACGCTCGGAACACTGATACATTAACATAAAGAAAAAAATACAAGATTGAATGTGACTAACACTTGGAAAGCATAAGCAAACTGTGAGAGGAGCAACTATGGATGGAAATGATGACAGTTAATTAAACTGTCATCATTTGTTAAGACATAATAACAAAGTATGAAAAAGAGAATAGTAAGGGTTACTTTGACAGACGACTATTAATCAATTACGTATTATGTCAATGAAATGGGAACGTGAGAAAATTGGTTGGCATAATTCGCAGGGGCTACATCAATACAATCATTTATTCTTCAGACGTAGAACATCCTATTAAGATCCAAAACATATATATGTATGTGTAAAATAGAGATGGTTTCTTACTTGATAACCATAACATTTTTCTTTCCAGCAGCATTTACATCGATGTTATCCACGCCTGCACCAGCGCGTCCCACGACATTGAGATTCTTTGCCGCGGCAAGGACTTCCTCGGTGACTTGAGTAGCTGATCGTACCACCAGGGCGTTGTGTTTCTATAATGATTACGTATACAGACTTTGTTTAGATATTAAATATTAAGGAAAATAATCCAGTAACACCCAGCCTCTTGTTAACCTTACTAATTATTGCGTGCACTATAAGGAAAACTAAGGACAGCGTATATAATAACTGATTATCTTACTAATAGGGTATGCATTATGTATACTTTCTATATAAATGACACAGACATTTTTTTCAATTATGTGTTAAATATAAGAATACACACGTAAGTGCGCTGAAGTCCTGCTAAGTTTCTTGGGTTTCAAATCCAGCTGATACCGGTTCTCAGAGTAGTGTATGGCCACAAACGGTGTTGTCAAGGACTTTACGGGAAACATGTAAATATTGTTTTTTCATAGTCATAATCTTAAAATAAACTTACGGGGATTTCCTGTAGAAGCTCTTCTTTGGTAATTTTAGGTTTAGTAGTGACACTGATTCCGTGAGAAGTCAGGGTGTCAGCACAGACTGGACCAACACCATCTACGATCAACACTGATTTGATCTCCATTTTTATCTATAAAAAAACTATAAATGTAATTATAGTTATGATTTCTTACTAACCTTAGTCCGTGAACTACCGATAGGTAGATAGGTAATATTTTTGAATACAATACGTTCCTAAACTTTTTTGTACTAAATTAAGATTTCAATAAAATTTGAGAATTATTTGAGTATGGTGTCGTTATAATCATACTATTAATAACTTACAAAAACTCAAATAAACACATTAAGAGTAATTGGCTATTTAGATAAATAAATCGCCTGGGTACACAACAAAGATTAATGTACCTACGTGATACATAGATAAAAATTTACTATTAATTACGACAATTTTAAATAACTTTTTACAAAACTAGATCCATTCTATGTTAATCTGCAAATGGAGAATATAACTATATACTACATAACATATTTATGAGTCCGTTCTCCGGCATACTTAAGTTGTATGTACGAGTTGGTAGCTTCGGTCATAACTCATAACGTACATGTGAGTTGAAGTTACAATCTTAACAAACAGCTATAAAACACATTTAGATTTTATAATAGACATCCAGAAATCTCGATTAACAATTTTGCTAAATTTAGGACCGGCCTCCGATAACACTCGGATAATCAAATGTAAATAAATGGTGATTTAATTCAATAGAATTGTAAGCATTGAATTAATTACCAAATTAAATCAATTAGGTACTTACAAATAGTTGAAATTGGGAGTGGTGGCGTGTTTTCCTGACGGCAGTTCGATTATAACTGTGGTCCACACTCCACAAGTATGCGGTGTCACTCCAAAGTTGTTCGTCCACTATATTTTATCAATACGTGATTGATATACACAAGAAAATTAAATTTGCAATCGTAAGGAGATGTTACTACACTCTCGTTTTATGAATAATGTGAAGTATTAGATAATAGAAGTAAAATGTCTATGCTGCATCAACGAATTAGGTTAACTTGTATAGAAAACCTAGTCTTACTTAGAAAAATAAAAATAGCGAACGGCAGTATTTTCCATGAATTTTATTTGACTAATTAGTATTGAATATTAATTTTTATTTTTATCCACAGAAAATATGATGTATCACGTCTTCGTTATCAAAATAGTGTCTATTAATATTAATATAACCGGTTCCTTATTACATTCATAATTTCATTTGTTTTTATAACTTTGCAGACATATACTAAAATTTAAGATTGTATAAATAAAGGCCGAAAAATTTTCGGAAAAAATTGTAAACCCCATTTAGCTATTTAAAATCTGTAAAAATCTTGTAAAGCTAAGCTATTTTTAATAGGTAAAATAATATGAAATATATAAACAATCTTATTATTCATACTAAAGCCCATCGGATTCGTTTAACTATTTTCCCTATTGGTGCGTAGAGAATAATAACGTACCTAATGATAAATTACGTCACTGTTTTTATCGGACAAGCGCTTACGATTGTTGAGTAGATAAAAACAAACGAATGTTTCTAAAACAAATGTATACTTTTCGGTATTTTTCATTCGTCATCATGAATTGAGATATTTTGGGGATGGATTTAGTAAGTTTTTTATACGATTTACGAAGGTGTCAGTCTTTTTACCGGGAATCAAAGCATAATTATCCTTGATGAATGATTAATCAAGTTAATGATTATAAGATATATTCATACTAAATATTACGTGAAAAATCTTTGTGTAGGTAATATGAATATTTTTATTATTTTGCTCTGATTACACACTAGGTTTGTAGGTGATTCACGCGTAACGCCAAAAAATTGCGTATTTAGGTAGACGTTTTGCAAATATTTCTTAATTTGTACAGTAAAATAATTGTTTAAACAATATCTTATTCATACTAATGAAGAAATATTTATATTTGTAATTTCAGTACGTAATTTGCTCATTTAATCAAAGTAATAGCGTAATACAAAGTAAATGAATGACAGGGGTTTTACATCATCTATCATATGTAAATGTTCACAATTTCTGAGGTTATCGTGTGGGAGACAGACTGGTGAGATCCTATTATGCAACAATATCATTAATAAAGACCATTTATATAAACACTAGCTAATTGTGCTGTTTTAGTGTGAGAAGTGTCCAAACAAAAAATTAATTTCATTCAAATGTTGCTTAGAAATGACCTTTTATTTATAATTACGATGTTTTATGTAAGTACATTTTCAACAATTATAAAAATAAGAATGCAGATTTTCTTTATATACTGGTCTCTATCTATCTTTTGTGCTTAATAGATTTCGTCAATTGTGTCTAGAACTTGAACTGGACGTACTCAGATTGGTTTCCATCAGTTTATGGATAAGTTTTGACAGAAGAAAGCTATTAGTGCAAATATACGGTTCAAGCCTCGCCCTGTCGAGCAGAAGTGTGTTTGACCCAAAGTGGCAATGCCTCACACATGTTTTATTTGACATTTTATTTTCCAAGGCACGAGATTGCACCCACAAATCATACAGAAGTAAAACAAATGAACAATGTGCTTATAATTTGTGAATACATTACTAGTTCTCCATAAATAAATGATAAAATAAAATAAATCAGTGGCGCTACAACCTCTTTAGGTCTTGGCCTCAAATTTCTGAATCTATTTCATGATCATTTTAAATCTAATAGGCAAGTAGGTGATCAGCCTCCGGTTTCTGACACACGCCGTCGACTCTTTGAGTCTAAGACATGTCGGTTTCCTCACGATGTTTTCCTTCATCGTTCGAGCAAATGTTAAATGCGCACATAAAAAGAAAGTCCATTGGTGCACGGCCGGGGATCGAACCTACGACCTCGGGTATGAGAGTCGCACGCTGAAGCCTCTAAGCCAACACTGCTCATAAATAAATGATACCGACGGATTGAACATAAGGGATAAATAAAACCAATGTTAAACATTATCTTATTATTAAGAATATTATCACACTTACGAAAAGATACAAAACATATCACGATGGCACTCAGTGCTTTAGTAGTTGCGACTTGTGTCGTATTTATCAGTGATTGCCAGAACAATGTCCACTAAATAATAAATAAAAACTGAGTATAATATTGAAAATAAACCTAACGCAGTGATGACATGATTTCAAATTAAAGAAAACCTCTTCAAATACGTAAACGGAAATTTAAAGGCATTGCATGGCTTACAAAAACAATCAACTGAAAAGCTTCCAGATTCTGATAAAAAGTATTCAGTGTACTGGGTTCTTGTAATTACATTTTATTCTAATATGTACATAACACGTATAATTAAATTATTGAGTAAAGTCCTTGAGGAGGCTACTGTATCAAGGACTGAAATTCTTAGAATAATCTAAACTACCTGTATAAAGAATGATGAAAAATATAAGATCATAGATATTCCAGTGTACCTATAAAGAGGAGTTTGAAATTGACTAACTGACATGACCTACTGGAACTTCGCTATAAATAGTTGGGGCTAGAAGTTTTATGGTTGTAATTAGTGTCATGTCAGGGGGTTTAAGCACTAGTTATGTAATTTAGCGCCCCTGACGGGTCTGGCAGGTCGGGCTCCTACTCCGGCAGCTCGTCGCCTCGCTATCAATGCGTCGAGTCCTCGAAGAGGGGGGGCAGCCGTGGTCTCAACTGGAACCGCAGGGGCCTCCGTCTCAGAATCGGGTTTCTCGTCACTGACGCTTTCCTCCGTCGTCTCTGATGATGCCTTCTTTGGTGCTTCAGTTGTTGCCTGTAAATGTATAAATCTGTAATACCTGCCTGCTGATTTTAAATGAAAACATCAATCATTGCGATGGCGTGTTAAAAAAATTTCTTCGTAATCGGTATTCGTTTCTTTAAAATATATAGGTACGTATATATACGTACAAATGAAACGGTTTTTATTTGTATTGCAAAAAATACTATTACAGAAAAGAAAGTTAATCAGGCAACATGATTGCCCTTAAACTATATAATTTTATACAGTATCCGAACCTCAGTGGAAGGTGATTTCCTCTTTAAAAGAGGGTTGGGCCTGCGAGCTGGTGGAGTTGCTGCTACGCGAGGCTTTGGCGACGGTGACACCTGCAGTCTATTGCGGAGCTTGATTCCACCACGAGACACCTCGGGAGCTGGGGTCGGTGACGATCCCTGGAACATATTACATATTTAAAAATATTGTACAGAACCGGAAGGTCATTAAAAAATATCCACTAAGACAAGAGTATTTAATAAATCCTTGAATTTATATTTTTTATAATAGAACTATTATTGTTACTATATCAAATACATTTTATTATTCTGATATCAAATAAATACCGTAGACATAGCTTTGGTGTCAAAAACGCTTAGCTGTAATTGTTTAAAATATATGTATTTAAGAATAAACGGGAGACAATCCTCGTTATACACAACTTTCCTTAATCTTCCTTAGTCTTATGCGTTACGTAAAGCTTAATTTCTCCATAAGGCGCCATTAGCTAAACATTTCCAGTCAATAAATATGTCGTAACATAAATATTTCTCGATTTTAATCGAACATGCGATATTATTGGTTGTGGCAACTTTAAACACGTCAACCTTGATTTACTTTCGATTTAAAGCAACTGCACGGTATTTAAAGTGAGGTCAATGTCTTTATTAAAATGTTTAGATGATAACGAATTATTTCGACTAAATAAGTTCCGTAACGATCAAAAGGTGCAGTGAGTAATCTATTATTTAATTATTATTATATTTAATTGATCATTTTAGGCAAATGAAAAATGAAAAACATCGTCGAATTTCGTTTTTCATTTTACGATATATCATTTAATTCACGACGTTTTAAAAAGTCCTCTATAATACGATATTCTCGAAATCAGACATAAATTTATCGCTAACATGTTTTAATGCCAAATTGTTTCGTTGTAAATGTGATTCCTGACAGCGTAAATAAAAAACGACCGTATTCTAAAATGTCGACAGAATATATTTCGTGGTATGTAACCATGGTCACCATTATTTCTACAAAATCATCGTAACCATGATCACAAACACACCTCATGAGTCTACGTTTTATAATAAGGTCGTAATTATTTCTGGTTTGGAGGCACTGACTTTCTGTGTGTTAAAATGACTTATTATCTTTGTATAATTTAAAATATCGTCTATATATGTAGGTATGTAGTAGATTACAGAGAGATATATTTTGCGATAACGCAGCAACAAATTGTATTTATCACATTATCATGTTGTCTGATTATTTAGTTTATAAACGAATTATTTTTAATTCTAGTTATATGTAAATTGAAATAAATATAAATAATATTATGACCCAATGTGTTCTTCGTTGTGTCTAATGGTACTTTTATATATAAACAAAGATAGTATTCAATGACACATCTTGTTTTTTCCGTTTCTTCCACTCCAAATACCTAAGAGAACTTTTTAATTTACGATTATATACTACTAAAAAACAACCTTAATGACACAATTTATTACTAACTGGTTTCACAAATAACAAAAATATAATTATTTGATTTGATCACATTATTAAACTAGGATTATAATAAATTCTACCAAGTTCAATGATGTGTGCGGAATAGTTGAAAGATAATTTGAAGTTCAGAGTTGCGCAAATTAAGCTTTTTTGCAAAAAATAAACTATAAATAAATTAAGTTCTGACCTCGGATTCAGCATCTGTCGCTGGGGACTCTGGTGCAGAAGTTTCTCCTGGAGCCTCCGAAGGTGCTTCGGTTGTGGCAACACTGGCTGCACCTGGTCTAAGTCGGGGACTAGGCCTCAGGTTTAACCTGGGTCCTGGTCGCAAAGATGCAGGTCTCAAGCCTGGTTTGCGGCTGGAATATTCAAGTTTACACATTACAGTTGTCAGGCGCCATTAAATTTAAGAGTGGTTTTTCAAAGGCCAGGTATTGTACCACTAGACATGACTATTTACATGCATCTAAACAAAACTCATTATAATAATCATTATAGCTATTGATATTTCGAATCCTTACCCAATAGTTCTGCTAGGAGTGGGAGTAGTTTCAACAGCCTCCCCAGACGCAGCAGAGCTAGGGCTGGGAGATGTGCCTTCACTGACTTCAGCAGAGGAAGCCGCAGCAGTTGTAGAGCCAATCCTTCTTAATCCAGGACGTAGGCGAGCTCTATTGAAATTAAACTACATATTATTTTTCTGTGGTAAAATAAAAAAAATTCATATCTGTGTCTGGTCACATTCACGCAAAATATATGTATGTAGTGCAAATATGTGTGTGCAGACAAATTTACCCTTAATTACCGATAAGACGGAAGTTTTAAATGACCGGAGACTCGCGAAGGCGCAGGGTACTCATCTGAGGTACGGAGGGGTGAAAACACCCTCAACTTCCTAACTATCTAATTGAAATGCGTTTTATATTTTGCTCCTATATCTGGCAATTGAACTGACAGGCAGTGGCTGACAGAGACTAATAAGACAGTCAATCAGCTTATATAAATAAAAGGCTATTTATTTTATACGTATATACTAATATGAAGTTTAATAATGCTATAATATCTTTAAAAAGTATGTTCGCAAAACACTTTTCTAGTCTAATGTAAGCTGGTTTGCTCACGATGTTTTTCTTCGAGCGAATGTTAAATGCGCACAGAAAGAAAGTCCGTTGGTGCACAGCCGGGAATTAACCCCACAACCTCAGGGATGAGACTTGCACGCTGAAGCCACTAGGCCAGCACTGCTCATGCATATATTAAATATCAAAATTACATAATCTAATTTAGTATTCAACAAGTATCAACCCCAATTTCGTTTGACTAGGTTCGTAAAAGTAATTTATAAAAATTAAACCAACTTCGAATGCCGGTCAATATTATTTATTATTTTTATCTCGAAATGACTTTTAGTTTTCGAAAATTTTGACCAAACATTTCAATTACGAAATTTAGCACGCGTGCATATACGGCTAGAACAAAAAATCTTATTCAAATACAATTACCCAATTCATAAAATATCACATACATGTCGAGTTGATAACCTCCTTTTAAGTCTAAAAGTTACAAACCTTGGGGCAGGCGCCTCACTGGCTACGCTGCTTCCTTCCGAGGATGGTGCAGCCGTCGACAATACGGGCCGGTTGCGTCCAGCAAACAAACCTCCACGACGCCCAAACGCCTGTGACAAAAACCTAACATATAGTATTCAGCTAAGCTTATTGGATCTGCGCAGGCGATAGTATTTAAATAAACACAGATAAACATAAAAATATACATTATTTTTTAAGTATCGTACTTTTAGAGGTCATATTAGTTTTATTAATACTAATTTATTTACAAAATTTATTTTTAATCGTGTAAAATTAAGTTAAATAATATGCTGCCTTTATAGCGATAATGATAATAAGAGCATAATATCAACATAAGTTCATTATTTAAAACTGCACTCAACGTTATTTTTAAAATTGCTTTAAAATTTCTAAACGAAATATACGAAACATTCCCGATTTAATTACATATTTTTATTGTATTAGATTATGAATCAATATCTGTATATTCCGGCACATTGACTACACTATATTTATTCGTTTGTTTATATAATTAATATTTTTATATTAAATGATAAATACGGTTCCTTTAAAGCAATAAATATATATTCTTACATATAAATATAGAATAGAAATAAAGCATTATATAGCGTACACATTAAAGTAGTAGGCTGGAAAAATTACACAATTCTATGAATTCGGCACAGTTTAGCAAATTTTCCATCGTGATGAACTATTCGTTGGTGCAAGCCTTATTGGTCTTGGTCCGATACACGCATATTGCAGCTTACTTTGTTGACGAGTCTTTTTAAATTCTTAGGTACTTCAATCGATGACATGTGAAGTGCTACTTTGTAAGGTTTTAGGTATATATTATTTGAAATATATGGTTCCTTAAGTCTAAACACTTACTAACAAATAAGTGAGAATTACAATGTTACTTTGGTTTTCAAATTTTGTAAATAACTCGTCTATTGTATGACGTCTAATTTGACCTCTGTACAATAATATCTCAAAATACGCCTTTATAAGTTGCTTATCTTAATGACACGTTGTTTTATTCGCATTGCAGTAAGTCGCTAGAGCATGTCGGCTATCGCTTTACATAATAATCAATAATTTTAACGGTGTCAAATGCGAACCTTAGGTTGTGATACTGGCTTTTCGACGGGGGCTGATGAGCTTGCTTCCACTGCAGCGGCTGTCGTCTTTCGAACTCCATTAGGCTTTCCAAATCGACCTGATAATAACACCATATTATAAATAAAAAACAATATAGCTCATAAAACAAATCGCAACACAAATTACATAAAAATAATAACAGTGTCTTAAAAAATATTTCGCATTTGATTCGCCAAGCAATATAGCCATAATTCGCTACGCAATCAAGTAACGGCACAACATATGTATATATAACAGTCAAGGAAAGTAGATAAGACATGCCCGTCCGGAGAGACGTTGAAATTTAATTATCGGATGTGACAACTTTCCCTTCCACCACATCGTCTGGATTAAACTTTTATTCAAAATATATATTTAAATTAAAAACTAGATCAAAGTGTTAAAAAGTTGTAAAAATACCAAATTACTACTAGCAAGGAAAATATTAAAGAACACTATACGGTGAAAATACTTACGCTACGTGCAATATATTACCTCGAGCTTTAGTTGAAGTTTCTTGTGGTGCTTCAGTAGCAGCACTGGAAGCTACCGAACCACGTGCCCTTGCTCCAGGACGTGACTTGAAGCGTGAAGGGCGTGTTGGTGCAACCGTTGTAGTTGTGGTCGTTGGAGCCGGAGTAGTAGTGGTCGTCGTAGTTGTTGTTGTCGTAGTTGTTGTGGTTGTAGTGGGTGTCGTTTCCATTTCCGTTGTGGTCACCGCTTCAGTTGTCCAAGTATCATCCTCTACTGTAGTAGATCCGTCAAAGTTTAAAGCGTCAATCGATGGGTTTATTTCGTTATTCAAATTTTCGCCTGCTAAATATGCGTATAAATCAAGAGCCACTTTTTCCATTGCAGTCATAGTGGTGTATTCCGTTGTGTCTTGTTCAAAGGTTGTTGTGTGTTTATAGTCAGAAGGAAGTTTCGAATCATCTAATATTTCTTGAAATATTATGCCACTTGAAATACTGTGAGCTTCTCTTTGTGAATCCTTAGAATGAGATAACTCTCTTGCCTTCGGGGCTACAGCTGCATCAGTAGTGGTCTTGCTTTCCGTTGAATATCTTGATGGAGGTTCTTTATATTGAGCGCGAATGTCACCTGAATGTGTCTTGAAACTATCGAGGTCGACGAGTTCTGAACTTGGTCGTCTGGAAATATTTCAATACAATTATTAATGAAATTTGTTCTATATCTTGGTCACGAAACCACTATTCCATTTTTATCTGTATTTTAGGTAGCAAATAATTACCAATTAAATTTAAGATGGAGAAAAATGGAATAGAGGTAACAAATTATTCCAAAGACTATACTATCATGCATTCATCGTATGTACATAGTGAAAATATTTTACCTTATATGTGCACGTGTCCTACTCCTGGTTTGACCAATTGATTCATCAGCTACACTATCAATTTGTGTTCTACCACGTTGTTTCACAGCTTCTGATGTCGCTTCGGGTACATATTTTGTAGTAGAACTCGTGGCGCCAAAACTACGTCCCCGAGGTGGAAAACGTGTGCTTGACGGTAATCTGTTAAGAAAACGAAAATATACGTACATTTATAAATCCAATATCCAGGTGCGCCCGGCCAAAGTACGGCACTTTGGAAGCCTGCTGTTTCAGGTGACCGGTTCACGTTGAAGGAGATGAGATGAGATTAGTTATTTGACTACTACTACCGCTTATGTATTAGTATAATTATGCATCTAAAACTACAATATGCAGTGCATCTAGTACTACTATGCCAACTAAAAGTATTTTTAAGAACCCTCACCTTTCAGTTGCTTCTTCTTGGACAGGTGCAGGAGTAATATTTCTTCCTCTCGATCGCCCTCTCCCAGAACCACTGTAAACTTCATTTTGAACTTCAGGTGTCGCAACTGTTGTGGTCGTAGTAGATCTATCGATTGGGGTATATTTACTTTTTGTTCTACTATCTTTAGCAATTTGATTTTCTGTCTCAGGCTTTTGTGGTCCATCATGGGAGTTATGTACAGGAATTTCTGAACTAGTCAGTTTATCCTTAGTTCCCGTTTTGCCCTCGTCTTCTTCATCATAGTAGTAGTAAATGTACTCATACTCATAATCTTGACCATTAGGGCCTTTCTTTATTTGAATTCGTGAATGTTGTTTTTGTTCTGATCCAGCAGTTTCCAGTTTAACATTCGAAGACAATAGACCACTATTTATATCGTCGATGGTATCGAAATTTATGGGAATGTAATCAAAACCTTTATTTGCTGCTGGAGCGGTTGTTGTTAAAATGGGCCTTTGTGTAGTAGTTCCTGCACTTTTGCTTAGCTTTCCTGATTCCGACATGGCTTCTAAAGCTACTGCCAATTTTGGGTTTGTGTCTACATCTTTAATATTTTCCTTGATTCTAATATCTTCCAATTTCGAAACAGGTACGTCAATTTCGATAGCTTCCGCCGCCTTAAGTTTCTGCCCCTTTTTTATTTGAGCTTTTTTATCTTCCTCAATCGATATGATTCCTTCTGACGCATGTTTCACTTTGCCACTGTGCAGTTTTTTATATATTTTTTCATTAGAATCTTCTTGTTTAGTAAGTCTATGATTGGGATGTTTTTCTGGAATTTTGTGAGCAGTTTCAAAATTTCTCAATGGCGTCTGTTGTCCAGAGGTTACATGGACATATTCTTCACCTGGTCTAGGTTCTGTGATTATGTCTACTTCCGCAAAAGTTGTGTAGGTTGCACAAAGCAGAAAACATCTATAACAATAGAAATTATAATAATAATCGTTCTTAAATATTTAATAGTCAGCTGAGTCATTAAAATAAAATTTCTTTGCTTCGCCTACAATACAATGACGCAGAATTCATGAATGGGGACATGAAACTATGATTCATTAACATTTCATCACAAAGCCTTCAATATTAATTGAATGTGCTTTTTGTTTGAAAGTGTGGTGTTAACTTAGCATTCCTTTCCATATTGCATTTACGTAGCTTTTAATCTATAATAGAAAAGCGAAGTAGGCAAAACTTGTTTCAAAATCACACAAAAAGTTATGAGAAAATAGGCTAGAAGACTACAAATTCTGTTGAATAAAGCAATGCTATAAATAGGCGATGTGGTCGTGAGAATTGATGTTGAAAAATCAGAGCGTGGGTGTATTACGCATACCGATTCTGCACAAGTGCCGATTGGCGAGTGAACGCAACATTACGATCACTTTCGCTTGAGATTCACTCTTACATTGATGTAGCCAATTCAACCACTGAAGTAATTGCTTTCTATTATTTCACTATTCGATATGAGCCTTACGTAGTTAGCAAACATGTTTGAAACGACTGGTTTCAGCGGATATCCGTTCATCGTCTGTGGTCATTAGGTTAGTTGTATAAAAGTATAATAATAATTAGAGATCATTTAAATTAAAATGGTATGTATTTTATGAAACTGTTATTTAATAAAAAGGTAGTAATTATATTCACAAATAGGATTCTGCATATGGTCAATAATTCCAATCGGAAGTGAACGAAGGCAGTGACTTCCGCACAATTTCATTATTTCATAAAATCCGGGCCTTGGAACGCGGAAGCATTTCGAAGAATGACTCTTTTGAATTCTCATTAATTGTATTTACAGATATAACTTACTGATCTTATAGTACCTCTTTACAAAGTACGTAAACATCTTTAGCTAAATGAGCGATTAGCATAGCCTTAATAACTCCTTACACGAGTGCAATCGGACCGGTATAGTAAATACTGGTTCAATTTCACTAGAGGTAAGGTCGCACTGAGCGCAAGGCTAGGTGAGCGTTTCTATTAAAATTCTTATGACCAATACGGTAATGTTCTTCATATCCTGCTGATACGGTGCAATGTGTATTAAGGAAAACTAAGAATAAAAACATCTTATCACATTATCGCATAATAAACTGATTTTACCATACATTATAACGTCCTAAGAACCATACTGGGGCTTGGCACGGGCACATTTCTGCATCGTTTTATAAATTAGAGGTAAAGTCAGCCTTCTTTACCTAATGCGCTTCGAGATAATGGATCTAACACTATGGTTTCCTAGCGATGAGTTGCTTTAAATGTAGAATATTAAATAACAATAATTGCTAAAGATATCTATGTATTTGTTCTCACTGTATATTGCTATGCGTGTGAATTCCAGTATTTTATATGAATAGACAAGTGATTAGTCTATTACATAATAATTATTCATTCCACGGTCACTGACCAACAGTAAAGGAATACAAATCCTTTTTAAGAATGTATTAAAACTGCAGTGACTAGACAATATACAACATATACACAAACTATAAGGTACATTTTAGAACTATGCGCAGAACTGGGAAACGATAAAAAGCTTATCCACCTTAATTAAATAATACCTTAGTATGATAATCCCAACTCAGAAATAATTAAAAGGCCATTGCAAAAGCTTTTAGCACGCAGCCTATGACCAGTTCAACAACTGATAAATCTATTATGAATGTTAGTTTTGTCCTCCAGAAGTCTAAATGTCAACTTAGCATATTGCCCAATACTTCGATGAAGAGACGTATATTGCTTTTTAATAACTCTTTAGAAAGAACTGGTTGATCTTCATTCGACCTTTACATTTTGGAATGTTAGATTGGTGTCACATCAATTACGACATTAGAATATTATTTATAGTTTTTCTTAAATTAATAATATTGTGTGCATTTAAGATTGCACAAATCCTACCATTTTAGTTTTATTTGTCATAGTTTTTAGTATTTAGATAAGTAATAAATGATTTTAAAAATGTAAAACTAAAATATACGTACAGCACTAGTATATGCGGTTTACGTTAACTAAAATAATTGCGCATTCTCAGAACATACAAACAATTGTATCTGATATTGTTCACATCATAATTTGAAATATATGTGTAATCAAGTATTTCGTGGTAATTAGTAGTGAAATATTACGCATGGCTCGTTAAATAAAGATAAAACTTCGTCAATACTTTAAAGTCGTGTTAGTTTAACCAATTATACATAAATAAAACTTTTCTGATTAATTCATCACTTTAAAGAATCTATTAATTAGAAATAAATCAATCTAAAATCACTTTATCACAGCACCAGACTGTGGTTATGGTGAAAAGAAACAGTGGTTTGGTTTATATCAGTAATAACTGGGGGTAATATTATATTATATTATTCTAGGCTCAACAGAGAAAGCTCAACATGGTATGAAGGATCACTACGGACGCCTTGTACCTCATGCAAGGGACATAAGACATTAAGCCTTAACATGTCTAGAGTCTTCAGCAGATATAGACCCGTCTCCGAATACATCATTCCGGCATCGGCAACGAACGCGTTAATCTTTTCAGGAAAGAGATTCGCTACGGATGGATTTTCGGCAAATTAAATGAAGTAATATAAGTGATAAACACTTCTATAGAACGCCATGACTTTTAAAGTGAAAAGCATAAACATAACAATTCGCGTTCAATTTGTAAAGCCTAAAACCTACAACATAATATTAAAAAAACGACTTATATGACATTTAAGAAAGTCGTGCTATTTATAAATTTAATATTTTATAACGGGTTTAACCGAGCAACAAAAACATGGAAGAACGAAATCATCAATAACTCATTAATATTTACGTGGAGCGTTAAAATTGATGATTATATGACTTCCTGCTCTACAGGATTGGTAATATAGTTGAATAGTTGCTAGACTATTTTATAGTTCTATTAAAACTGTTGAAATTTTTAACGCAAAGTAGTATTTTCTTAGGTTTACGCGATCACATTCAAGTAAAACATCTAAAATATATAACCGCGATATAATTAATTTAAGATATATTAAATTATTTATATTACTGGCTCAAGAGATAATTGACAAAAGGTAGTCTAAACTTACCTAAAAGTTAGCCTAAAAAACGTTTTATATAAACAGTATATTTATGGAAAACGTCTTGAAAAGTTCCTTGGTATATAATAATAATAAATTTATGTACCTCTTCACAATTTTTGATCTCCGTCTTTGTCACAGGCTGTTGCCCTGTGATAATAGGTAATTATAAGACCTGTGATAATAGGTCAGGTATATGAATAAAGCTCCAAAGTTATAAGCTTTTAATTATTGTGTACTGTGAATCTATAAGGAACAGGTATTATTGTGTTGTGTTCGTGATGATTTCACAAAAGACTTGCATTTTATGTGTCGGTCAACGTACTCATTGACTCATTGTCGGATAACTAAATAAGGTGACTACCATAAGTGGAAACAAACGTTAATGCAATTTGTAAATTGATTTTTTTTATCAAAGCTCCTTATCAAACTCAACTTAAAACATACAAGAAGTGTATGTTTTAAGTTGAGTTGATAACTTATTTAGTAAAATGAAACTATTTACAGATATCATAAGGTACTTATTTATAATATTTTAAAATGTAGTCCCATTTCCGCGTCTCTCTTGTTACTTACAAGACTCTCTTGACACAATAAATGCAAAACTACTTAATGAGATTTTTTGCAATTGACAATGTCATTCCTAAGAAAAGGATAAGTTTAGGATGTTTTTTATGAATTGACAGAAATGGAATGACTAATGTTGGAACAGGAAAAGCAAAACCAAGTGAATAAGCTACTAGGATTATATATTTATACAAGATTTATTGAAAGATTTAGAACTTTAAATTTATAGGGTAAGGTAAGGTAAGCTTTTATTTATGGAAAATCGAAATTCAATCTACGCTGACAAACTCGAATCAGAGAAATCCGGTCGGAGTGTATAATTTATCTATCTGGATTCCGGATGTCAAATTATATAAGTACGTGGACGTAATATTCAAAACAGTATCTTAAGTAACCATCTTTAAATTTATGTTTTATTTATAATGATGAGCTCAGACCAAGATCCTGCCTCCTCCGAAAACTTTCAGATGAACAAAATATAATCAGAGCTGCGTATTTTAAATCGAGTTTGATGTCGAATCACACACATTTTCGTGCAGACATCTAATAATCAGCGACATAAGATTTTCATACATAAAAATATTAATTAACCTATGTAGACTATTTAAATAAAAATTCATTATATTTTAAAAAAAACATTGTATTAACAGTCTTCTTTCTTTTTGTTCATTGGAACATCTTTCTTAATTTATTTATTCCCAAATTTACAAGTAATCAATTATTGAGAACGCTGAAAAGTCTATTTTCAACTAAACAAGCGAAAACTATCACCAATATTAGAAATTTAAATCCATTAATATGCCATTCACCGCGTGCGTGTCTTATGATGTTACCAAGAAAGGAATCTAAGCTAGGAAGTGTCGCGCGAATGTTTGTAGTGATTATCATCGAGCAATGCCTTCAAGATCACAAACGAAACGTCAACTTACTTCCTATTAAACACGTGATATTAACGTGCTGCAGTTAGTCGCTGCTGCATCCTGAAACAAGGTCTGGTCTGTCTACCACAAAGCCTCGAGGTCACTGGTGAACGTACGAAGTAAATATGCAATCCACGATTGCCGATTACTTGTCCCATTCTTTCCGCTCATGTGTGACATAGACGAACTGAGATCGCTGTTTCCTTGATTTATAAGTTAAAGCTCTCGTTTTGTGAATTAAGTCTCATATCCAGAGATTGCCAAAAATTTGCGTTTCTACTTTACAAATAGTTTTACAAATTTTTAAATATTGTAATGATTTATTGTTAAGTGGTAGTTAGTATTCACAAAGATTATCTTATAACTATGAAGTACACTATGATTGCATGATTATCACGTTAACAGAACTGATAGTGAATTCATAAATGTTTCGCTATGATGCGTACGGTACTGCAGGTCATCAACCCTTAGCGACTAGGATTTTGATCACGTTACAATTAACACTTGAAACGTGGTCTGAACATTAATTTAAACCGCACTTGACATAACTGATAACTACTATAAATTATATTACAAGTACTTTCGAAGTAATTAATACACTAATATATTCCTACAATTATAGCTAAAATTATTAAGAGATCAACACTCGAAATTACACCCAAAAATTGCATGGATGGACCCTTCAAAGGTTTTTTTTGACAACATGGGATGCGATTGCTTGTCTTTATAAACTTACATGTTATATGAATTACGAAGGCCACAGCCGAAGGTTTAAAAAAAACCAAATGTTTGAAACTAATTTATTTAAAAATAAGATTACAATTTAAATTATAATTTAAATTAGGGCTAAACAACCCGAAGTAAGGAAATTGAATGCCCATTAAATATAGAAACAATAAGGCTCCAAGAGACAAAAATTGCTGACACCATGCAACGTGAGGCTCGTGTAACTCTTGTAAGTTAAGAGTTAAGACATACGAATTCCACTGACACCATGTAACGTTAGGGACGTGCGATTCTTTATATATTGCGAAATGCAGATTCCATGGTATAGGGCTACGTAACATATGTATATTGTAAATAATATTTTTTTATCTCTGTTCGTTTAATGTTTTTTTTATTGTATTTTTTTTCTGAACCCTTTAGATTCTAAGTAAAGGAATTTGTACTGTAATGTGGCCCTTCAGGCTATTAAAATTAAAATAGGGAATTAGAAAAATATTTGAAACGTTATGAACTTTATTCGATGACAAAACAATGCTATATAAAAACAGAATATTACAGAAATAAAAATGCTTGCTGCAACAACAGAACGCCAAGTAAAATATTATATACACGTACGAAAATATTTTCTGACAATCAAATATCTTAAACTCAAATTAATATTGATGTTTACAGAATCGTTTTGTTTAAAGTTACCATTTGTATATTGACTGAGAAAATTACTAATTGCGAATATAACTAACAGAATAGCGGATTAAAGTTACTGAAACAAATACAAACCCAATTTAATATTTATAATATAAGAATTGCGAAAATATTTTATTAACTGGCAACCCGTTAAACCACTTTTAAGTTGAGGAAAAAAACCGAATTTGTTATTTTTTACGGGTATGTCGTGTTGTATTCGCGGTACGTTAGTCATCAGTCAAACGAGTGATGTGCATCGGTAAACAGAGAGTATGGAATGCATGCCGTATGTCCCATTTTACGTGTAATTTGAATTAGTTTGGAGACGGATTTTCTTTCATATCATCATCATATCCATCTGCTGTTATTTTTTAAAATTATATTTACGATTTTCGTATTTATACGTTTTTATACGTCGAACTAAGGGTTAGACTAACTATAATATGTTTTGGTTTTAATAAAAAAAAATTGAATAAAAATAATTTCGACTTTTAAATTTTGAAAATAACTTGTTTATTTTAAAACTTTGTTTTCGTTTGGCTCTATCAAAATCTCTTTTGAGCATTGTTCTTATCTATATTATAAACTTAAAGTAATAAAATACATATAAAATGTATTATAAATACCGTATTTATAGAAAGTGTTCGTACGTAATTTTCAACCTTGATGTTAATTTAGATATAATTCGGAAATCAATGGGTTTTCCGGAATCCTAGAGTTTCGCTCAGAACGAGTTTCAAGGCTTACGGTCTTGCCAAATACCTACGATTCCCTGAGCAGAAAATCAACTTTTACCACAATGCCGACATAAAACATGTTTCGTAAACAGGAACTGTTCATGCGTGAGTATCGCGACACAATGTGCCTACGTCAATCTTGTTAATATATTTTTAATTATATATAAATGATCCCGTGTATGAAACGGTTCTACTTTAATTAATATCATTTATGTTAGGAATTAGGTGTTCTTGTGTGCTTTCGTCGAATGCTTATTTGTTAGGAAAAACTTCTGAATTCGGTAAATCTTCAAAGTTACTAACCCTTTTTTGTTAAAATCTAGGTAGAAGCCAAGGCTACTCTTAAAATAATGTTCAGATACCACGCACTTTGAATTTCATCCTGCACAAAATATTATATATAATAAAAAAATAAAAATTCTTAAAACACTGAATTGATGGTATTAGAACAATTTTTAGTTCATGTGATTTCATATAATATTAAGTCAGTATATGTCTCGCATATAAGTAGCATGAAATGAATTAATGTCTAGCTGTAAATATTTGTTGAAATACTTAGACTGTGAGAGATGACCCAATCCGGCTGGACCAGTATCATAATCCTCTTCGTTTGACCTTCACTTTCGCTTTTATATTATCTATATGTCAACGTGTGATAAAAGTCAATAGATATTTTATAATCAAAAGTCGTTGTATATTAAATTTATATCTCGAAATAGTGAAAGAGAGAAGAAACGCGAAGCATCTTTAGACCGGTCACTACTACTTTCCTTTTCACACGCTAACAGCTATTATCTCACTCACGTTATGTATATTCAATGGCAGTTTTTAAATACGTAATGGATACGTTTGATTTCGGGGATATTAAAAGCTTCGTTCAGATTTTACTAGACGTAAACCATAATTTTCTACATAGTTAAAGTTTGTATATATTGGTGTGGATTAGACATTTATTCATATGATTACGAACATTATATGCGTGGGAAATGGCAATGACATGCATCTGTACTTCGGGATAAAAATCTTTGTTTATACATCGTATTTCATGGTTATAACACTCGAAGTTTCTCTCTTTACAATGTATTACAAGAATCTAAATGAAAAAAAACAGTAAAATTCCCTATACAGGTCCGAAATTGCCGAAGGATATCGTGACGTTAATAATGACAATGTCATTTACATGGCAAATTAACTAAGTGTATTAGCTAGAGTACAACTACGGCACTCAAACATAACTAAACCTTAATCTACTATTAAACTTATTAAATATAGTTGTTGACTAAAACCCTTAAAACGTTGAACAATTATAATGAAACCCAACAAAATCAATTGCAGTTTGAATCGCACACTGTTTCGACATATCTGTCGAAGCATTGTTTTTGGGACTTTCTAAAAATTAATAAGTCAAGGTCAACATGTCTTGGTGACAACATGCCGGGTCACCTCACGAGTCGAAAGTTGGCTTGAACCCCGACTTATGCTAATCCGACTTATGCGTAACTAAATAGGAGAAGTGTTGGTCTAGTGATTTAAGAACGCGACTGAGATTGGGAATTCAATCCTTGGATGTACACCAATGGAATTTTCTAATAATTAACTGTGCATACGAAGGTATTGAGGATACTGACGTGTTTTAGAAGCAAAAAATAATTCAAATCACATGATTATTATTATTGTATGAGTGAGTCTTAATGTTGATGGTACATACTTTAGGTACCACGCCTGGTTACTATCAGTTAGACATCTTGTTTGACTGGCCGGACTGGGTCAGTTAAAGTTTTTGTAAGAAGTAATACAAGTATACACAAACAAAATTTCTAATAAATTATTTTCGTTAATTAAGACTACTTAAATATTTACATTTTCTCCTGGAACCGCACCCGTAAATAATCTTCTTATCATCTACAGGATTTCGTTAAATAAATCATACAAATATTTAAAAATCGATGTTCTAATGAAAAATGTTTTCTATGTAGGATGTTTTCGTAAGCGCTCTATAAGTAATAATCACAAGGATTTCCAGCGTAAAGGCTAAAGGCTGTTTGTTGAAGGACACCGGCGATAGGTGGCTGTAAATCGCAATAACATCGAGTAAAGAATGCGGCTAGATCATGACCCAAATGCGTTACCTAATTGCAATCGGAAAACCTTTTAGTCGTAAAAACTAAATTGAGGAGTTTCTAAATGATACGATAATGATACTTCATTTATATTTGGAATAACCGAAACAATATCGGAGAACGTAAAGTAAGATAAAACGCACAAACTTTAATTTTTAAACCCGGATCCTTTAAGTGACATTGACAATACAACTTAACCGTTCTTAACAGTTGTTTATAAAATCGGAAATTAATTTTCCAACTTTCTCGTGTGACGAAACAATCACAATTAAATGCATAAAGATTTTATCGAATACGTATCGAACAGTATAAATAATTTTTAAAGACGAACAATAAATTTATATGTCAAGGGAAATCAATAATGCTTTCCGCAATTTTAGGATGTATCTAAAGATTCCAACGAATGACCTTTCCTTTGATCTCACGCTTCATACCGAGGTCAAAACTCGTTATAAGTCTAAAACCCTTTCAAAGCAAGAAGCTAATTTTTACGTCAGCGCAACATGTAAAGTTCAAGTCAGTGGAGACGTTAGTAAAAACCGCAAACAATCTTTGCGCAAAGTACATTATATCACCAAGTTTCGTCAGCGGTCGGTGCATCGTTCGAAGAGAAAAGGCGAATACGTGTCATAAGAAACTAACATTGAATAAAAATTTGTTGCATCAGTGACATTAAACAAATGTGTCCGGGTTCTACTCCCGAGCGACGTCACTACGATTATTCTCGCTTATTTATGTGTCTTCGCGTTTAAGCGTCAATTTCGGCATCGACCAGTTTCACTTTACTGCCGATGACCTTTTGAAGAATTCGCCGTGATATAACAGATGGTGAAGCGCACACATGTTTGATTTTTTATTGACACACCTCATCTTCTTATTGAATATCTTGATAATAGTTTTCACTGTCGTATTTTGACAGTAGCTTTTTGGTATTTATGCGTTAGTGAATTGAGTTTGTTATGTATTAATACTCATACTAACACTTTAATTTTATATTAATGTCCTACTTAATTCGTAATAAAATAAAAAGACTGTCTTGAAAGACCTAGTTTAGGTTTAGGTTGAGTTTTGTTCATAACCAAAATTAGCTTTTTGACCAGTAATATCCTCGCTGTAGAATGATAACCTCGTATGTCCAGAGAACCAAACATTACAGGAAATTTTATTATTAAGTGTTTTTGTCTATAGTTTTTGATGGTAAAAAGGACTTATTTATTTATAACATAAATAAGTCCTTACTTCATGATTCTACCAGTTAAATGACATAAGAGTCTAAGAATAAAAAATAAATTGTTTTTTAACGAGTTGTTTTCTTAACACTTATTTTTCATTATAGTATTACAGGGATTCGAACCTAGTTAAGCGTATTGCGAACGTTTATTGGTAATCAATTACGTCATAGAATATCAAACTAAATCTCAGAATTCATTCCGACTTTCTTTTACGTAATGCCCAAATGTATTCCACAGAGAAATTTCAATATATACTGTTTTGTATTCACAAATAACATTAAATTACGCATAGGCGATGACAAAACTGTTAGTTTTCTTTTCGATGGCGAAAGTAAAGCAATTGTAACAGAGCTCACGAATAAGAATCGGCGTGATTAAATCTTTAAATGTTGAAAGAACAATTTGACAAGTAAATATATATTTATATATCATTTACGGATTTGAATATACATATCAGATTTAAGCAACGACTGCAAGAAATTTTAATCAAAAACGGTTTTGTTTTAATCTGAATTAAAGAATTATTAAGTGACGAAAAAATTCAAAAGAAGTATATGATATTTTCAATTAATAAACAAAATATGATGATTTGCAGAAATTTAAGCTTTTTATTAAATAAAAAAATTATTAAAAATCTGAAGACCCAATTTTGGTCTCAAATCAAAATATATTTTCCAAGATTTTATTGGCTTATTGGCGCTATCGCTACTTAAACAGTTCTGTATCGTTAAATACCAACACGAAAAGTCCATAACTAATAAATAAAGAATAATGTCATTGTTCATCAGATATAAACATCCGGTCAGGAAAACCATTAAGCTCTATGCATACTAAAAAGAGAACCAAAGTGTAGAACAGAATTCCATATTACTTTAATTCATATAGATAGTTATACATGTACCATTCTATATGAATTTAAGATGATTACTGTTTGTTTAATGCAAAATAAATGCAGGACTACAATTTTAATTTATTAAGTTTTTTTTTATCTTGATGTAACTTTAATATATTCAGGTACATATGTAGACTTTTCTGAGAATCAAAAACAGAGTTCAAAAAATGTAATTTAATGAAACGGGTGATCAATATTTTAAAATGCTGCTCTCACACTGCAAGAGAACTTTTGTTATGCAGCGTATAATACAAACCAAGTTATTGCAACGATTTATTCAACGCAAACAAGAATTTATTTAAATCTTAGTCAGAGTAACATTCACGCATAAATAGAATAATTTTTAATATAAAGTGACAGTAGGACATAAATTGAATAGTTTATACAATTAATATATCCTTGACTACTTCGTTGTATTATAAGTTATCATAACTATAGTATTAGAATTGCTACGTCCAATTTAATTTCAATGTCGCAAACGTAACTAAAATCTTTGTTCAAATATTTTAATTTACTAGCCTATTGAGCTAACATATTCATAAAATTGGCAAATCTTTTAAACAATTTCAGCAATAAACGTATATATATATGACGCGGTCTTTTCATCATTCTAGGAATATTACACATGCTTTAACTAAGTATTTTAATACACGTAATTAATAAGAAAAGCTGCGGTGAAATTATATGAAAGTTTGCGTAAGAAAACTTAAATAGAACTTTAAGTGGAAAGTTTGTATTTAAATAACAAAAGTTATTTTTGCGGTAAAATCTCTTAGGACATTATTGTGCTGGAGCTTAAGAGCTAGGGGAGACAATATGCGCGTAGTCGTGCATAATTTAAAAACCAACGTTTCATAGCCTCCATTGAGAAATATGCCCTCATTCGTGATGTCAGCAGGCTGCTGCTAAGTTGGTTGCTTAACGCCTGATTTCCACATGAGAAATCAGATCATATTTTCGCGGTATCGGTTGAGAGACGAGGTGGTTTGTCTATGGGGATAGTGATAAATTACGTAAAGCTCTACGTGCTTAAACGGCGAGATTCATCTCAGCAAACATAGATGAAAGTGACAATGTTCGATAACGGGTTTGAAATTGTTAAAAGCTAAACGTCACCAAACTAAATTATTATTTATTATAAGTATTTGTATATCATTCTAGTTGTAGTCATGAAAATATCTTATCGTAATGAGTATTCATATAACATTTAAAACAGGCTTTTTTATGTTTTATTAAGTAAGGATTAGAAAGTGATTGAATAAAAATATCGTTACGAAACGTTCTATTACAAAATAATATTATTTTGTGTTTAAAGCATAACTAAGTAGACTTTTAAGATAAAAAAATGTAAAAGTCCATTAGCTTTATAGATTAATCGACAAACTATAAACTATTTATTGTTGTAATTATGTACTTACAGGGCTATCCTGAGATCCATGTCTCGCGTAGGGAGCGGCGAGGTCACGGGGCGTGCGTAGTGCGTGCGACGTGCGCGGTCTTCAGCTCTTGGTCTGCAACAGAAACCTGCGTCAGCACACGCGCCTTTCCCAAACGACACACAGTTGCAACAGTGAAGCTCAATGAGGAAGCTGCATCGCAGAATTAAGTGCAATGATAATGTCAAAGAGTATTCAAATGCCAATAGCGGCGACCTTTCGGTTTTGAACTGATTGCACAAGCGAGGTTCGCCGGTCGTATGAGAAAGGCAAATGCGTAAGGGAAAATAGTAGGAAAACGCACCGGGCTTTTGGAGCGACGAAAAACACCGTTGGCGATACGCTGCCGAACGGCGACTAACCTCGCGGCAGCGAGCGCGCCTCTTACTTATAGCCGTGCGCCCACACAGCCTCACCCTCAACCTCGCAGCACCACCAAACCACCCGACCGACCTAATATAAAGAAACAGGGGTTCTCACATTTTTCATAATCCCTATAAAGACCAAAAATAAATTAATACTAAGCAGATTCTTAGTGATACTATAAAGTGATAGTCGGACATAAATACTTGAATTATTTGTACCAAGAGTGGGTATAATGAAGTAGGATTAAATTTAAGAGGATTACTTGGAAACATTTTGATATAGATATAATCCAGCAAAATGACTGTGCATATAACTATAAAAAATTATTCCACATCTACAGTTTTCAATCACCAATTACAACGCATGATATCAAATTGACATTTAATATGTTCTAGCTTGTCCATGGCCTACTGCACCACTTGTGACTGACTTTGACCCATAGAGATGCTATTTTGGATCATCTTACAACTAGAACTGGTTATCATTACATATGACTACCACAGAAAAAAGGCCTCGAAGCCTCGAGGGAATATTCAAAAACCAAAATTAAGCCTAAGTTTCAACTCTCCCATATTTCTGTTAACCCAATGAAAATAACAAAATGGAGACTTAGATTGCGCTAAGTCTATCTCATAATCTTAATAATAGCTAAAATACCACTTGAACAGTATACAAAAGACTTCAACGCGCTTCCTCAGGCTAAATGTTAATAGAAAATATTACGAGAAATTATTCATATTCCTCAAATTTATACTTTTTTTATAAACAACTAATTATAATATGTTGTATATTATTAAGATTTTTTTTAATAAAGAAGTATTTGTTTAATCCCGTCTACGGTATAATCGTTAAGATAAAAACTACAATAAATATTTTGACAAATGTTAGGTTTCAATAAAAGATCACTCGATTTAAGATTTCCGACAGACTATACGTAAGTTAAAATACAATACAGAAACATTTATTAACATTTAAGTATACACTTTGCATGAAAACACTTATATACATAAATTAATATTTATTACCTGATATTTTGGAATTTGTATACCTGACATTGTATCACGTATATTCGCCTTAAGTTTTTCTTACTAATTTCAATATACAAACACAATCTCACTATCGAAAACCTCGTACATCAACTATGAGTAATATAAAATCCCCAAATCAGATGTGTCAGATGTGTGACAATTTACAAGAACTGTAAAAACCGAAACAAATTATCTTCCTATACTTATACATACCTTGGCTTAATAATACAAATAAATAATAATATTAGGTCCTTACATATGAAATTGGCGTTTTGTATGGGAGGAACAAAAAGTCGAATATTTTTAAATATAATATATTTAATTAATCAAAGTATGAACCATTGTTTTCTATGCACGTTTGCCATCTCATAGGTAGTTCATTGATCCCTTTACTAAGAAAACCAGTCGGACGGGAATCAATAAAATCTGTGAAGGCGATTTGGACTGCCCCATCACAGTTAAATTTTTTCCCTTGCAAGAAGTTGTCCAAATTTCGAAAAAAATGGTAATCTGTTGGAGCAAGATCCGGGGAGTACGGAGGATGTCTTAGACATTCCAATTGAAGCTCTTCTAATTTGGTAGCCGTCTGTTGTGCAGTGTGTGGTCTAGCGTTGTCGTGAAGTAGCAGTGGCGTGGAGCGATTGACCAGCCTAGGCTGTTTAGCCGCTAGCTTTTCCATCATGGTTTGCAATTGCTGACAATAGACATCAGCCGTAATACCCAGATTTGAGAAAACTGCAATGAACAATACCGGCACTAGTCCACCAAACGCTAACAAGTAACTTTTTTTGGGGTTAATTTTCGCTTGGGCCAGGATTTGGCTGGCTGGCCAGGATCCAACCATTGCGCTGAGCGCTTCCGATTATGGTAAAAAATCCATTTTTCATCACACACAATGATTCGGTTTAAAATACCCTCATTATTGTGCCGGTTCAGTAATGTAGCGCAGCAGTCGACGCGCGTTTGCCGGTTTGCTTCAGTCAATTCGTGAGGTACCCATCTTTCAAGCTTTTTAATCTTCCCAATTTGCTTCAAGTGAATTAAAACAGTTTTATCACTAACACCGCAGCCTGCAGCTAACTCGGACGTGGTTTGCGATGGATCCGCTTCCACAATAGCCTTCAATACTTCATTATCAACTTGGGTCTCAGGCCGTCCACGGGGCTTGTTCTGCAGGTCGAAATTTCTAGAACGAAAACGTTGGAACCAAAAACGAACTGTGTTTTCTTTTGCAACATGACCGACATACACATCATTCACCCTTCGAGTCGTTTCCGCAGCACTAGTGCCACGGCGAAACTCGTACTCGTAAATAATGCGATACTTTAAGTTTTCCATTTTGTAAAATGGTGACGCAAACAGAAAAAAACAAATGAATGACGGTCATCGAAGCACAAATACATGAATAAATAGCTATACAAATTTGAATTTGGAATTCCTTACCAAAGAGGAGAACATCGTGATTAAAGTGGCCAGTACGAAATACGCCAATTTCATATGTAAGGACCTAATATAATATATGTAAATAATATATTTCGTCTTACCAAATTATTAATTTAAAAAAAAACGCAATTTTCTGCACTTGGGCCCTTCAGGTTAGTAAACGCTTTGCAAAAATGTAGTCGTCCCAGTGGGCGGGCAGCACTTATTTTAAGATTAAGAAATGTTAAGAGATATATGGGTTGGTTGAAAATTTAAAGTAACACAACTCGTTTTGAAGAGGAATGTTTCTGTTTGTGAATTTATATTTATCTTTTCCCAATGATACATTTTATTAAGTGGATTATAAATGATCATCATGACTACTCTTCTAAAATTATCATAATAAAAATCGAAATTATTAGGTGTTTGTCAAAAACAATATTCATAAAAACCAACATACACTTTAATAAATTAATCTTATAATATGTAAACATCAAGGACGTACCACACGGTGTCGAGACATGCAGCTTTGATCGTCTTCTCTCAGGTATTTGAATACTCATTATTCAGTCGACTCATACGTGACACAGAAACTTGTTATTATATCATTTTATAAAATGACTTTTATTCGTATCCTTAAACGTTGTCTAACAAATAACTGAGATGGAGTTCAAGTTAATTTACCCCAATAGTGATTATATTTGGGTGAAATTTAATATACATTTAACATCTATTAACAAACAAATTACTAATTTATCTAATTAGTTCGTTTGACTGCGTTATGAGGTCTCGGGCCCAAACTCTCGTATTAAAATACGCCATTGTGTAGGTGGTGTTAAATCGCACCGCGGATGAGCAAGTGATACTGCGGTTGCGTTGCACATCATGCCAGTATGAGAGTTATGGAATAGAAAGTGGTTATCTATCTACGTATGCCAGTAACTCCTGCGTAAATGGTCAGTTTCAATAGTTAAACCGCCGGGGCCCGAAAAGCAGTACAACATGTGATTACCGCTTCCGTCATCTACATATATTGGTCGTCCTGGTTTATAATGCCGACGCATAAATTTGTTTCCGGTTGACATATACAAAGTACCATAATATGAATTAAAACACGGAAACGTGTCTGCCCCATGGGGGGTTATGAGACTGGGTTGTTTTCCTACACATGGGACGGCAGTGACCCGGACTGGCTGGGCAAAGCGAGATAGGAAAGGATCTCGTAGAGGAACAACCTGACATGCAAATAGTTGCTTGAATATACCTTGTCGCGATGTTACGGTGTAATTAATATCCATCTAATTAATAACTTCCAACAGATCTGAAATTTAGTTCAATTTAAACCTACATTTACGACATTTTTATTCACGCATCATGCATATTTTTTACAGATTTCGCAACTTCTATAAACTAAATACAGAAATAAAACAACAGGTGTTAATTATATTTTATTATGTCATACTATAATAAAAAGCTTAATTATTGCTATTTTTGTTAAAATATTAAAAACTCTAATCCCGTATCAAAATAATATGAAAATTACCATAACAATTTAGAATCAAAATTGGTTTTATTTACAGTAATCACAATATTCTTTTATTATTATTGACTAATCATACACGAAATACAGATTACAATTCAGGTTAAACATCATTATAATTAACTACAAAAATTCTAATGATAATAATAATATATCACAATACACTTAACAAGCTTAAACTAAATTGAACTAAATATTTACACATTTTGGCTAAATTTGAGTCAGAAATTTGCATCGTTTAATTCTACGTGTAAACGAAAATATTAAATCACTTAACCCGCATGTTGTTACAACCATCGTTCAAACGAAATGTTTCTTCGCATTACAAATAATATTACAGAAAATATTGCTAAGAATAAAATTCTCATACCAGAAATAAGTAGCGAATATTTCAGTATAAATGTCAAATGTACCGAAATACACAGATAAATATAAAAAGCCATTATTTTGTCGATAGACATGAATTATAAATTTTTGATCATCCACATTAATGTATAAGTTAATGATCTTAAATCAATCACCTTTAAAAGAGATAGCTCAACTTTACCACTCACGGTATACTCTCATCCAAAATTCTTAGAACAATAAGAACCATCCGAACATAAGATATGTGTAGTTGTTAAGTTGCTCTGCACTGAACTCTAATCATGTAGTCAGTGGTAAAAAAAATTAACTATGCATTCCCTTAAAAAAATATCAATGTTTCTGAACAAAAGTGTTAGATTTTTATGGCTTTATTTCCGCTAGCTGTCACTATATACCCGGTATGTTTGTGTGAGGAGCTAAACTGACCTCTTCATAATGCTTAGACTAGTATAACCGCACATTGAATATCTAAAAATATATTATTTCTACATGTTATTTATCGGTATCTTAATTTATCTCTAGTTGTTGATATTTTGTTACAAAGATGCAAATTTAAAAAGGCTAATATAAAAGAAATCCCTTAAAATCTACAATAGACTGCTATTCGTAGGTGTAACTAAATATTGTTTTCTTATTGCTTATTATTTAAAGTTTTTTTTTTTAAGTAACATGGAAATTAATTGGCATTTAACTAGTGTGGTACCTACTTGGTTTATTCAAATAGCGATTGTTAAGAGCAATTCAAGGTTCGAATTAAAATCCATATTATTTTATTACTTTTATGCCAAAAATTTAGTTTTTTACCCAACTATGTGTCTATTATACAAATGTTAATCAATTCCTGGACTTCGTAACCTACTATATCGAATCTATCACTACAAAATACGACATATTTAGAAGAAAACCATTTTACTGTATCAATATATCGACCTAGGTTAAGTATAAATATATATCCCAGCTACAACATATGAGACTCATGAATCTATTCTCCAATTCAAGTGAGTCTAAATACTCATGGTGCATCATTTTAAATACAACAATCGCAGATCAACGTAGTCTCTGACCATCATGTCTATGCCTGGAGGGCGAAGGCGGATTCACTTTTAATAGCGCCTTCCTTTTACCTTTTGCCCGAGTATCCCAAGATATCGTTCTTTCACTTACAACACATAGGAACAAATTTCCAGTTAACTCAGACGAAATTTTATTTTATATGACAGACGTCATATGATGTTACAGTTTTGTTTTTTTTTTTGCTTTTACGGTAAAAGAGGTATTCGAATATATTTTTATGACAATAGATATTCATTTAATCGCCAATACTTTAAGCTATTTTAAATAATGCAATAGATGGAAATAGATATTTTGATGAATCTGCATAGGAATTCATTTGAACATTTCTTTCGTGATACATTATGATGCACCCGAAACATTATTGTACTTGTTAAATCTGTACATATTCTACACACGCATTATTTCCGCAAATTTAAATAGTAGACTCTAGCTCCCTAGGTTATTTTGCCCGTTTTTTATTGCTTATAAAAAATCTAGCTAATTATTTTTTTAATTCAAACAAGTCAATGCTTCAATTATATATTTATCATGTCTTGAGATTGAATAATTTCTTACCGAAACATGTAAATCGAAAGGATTTTCATTTGATACCCATCCCCATTAGGCGTATAAAAATATTAATAATAACTCCCAATTTATTTAACACATGAGTTGACCAATCGCATTTCAAAAATCACTCTAAACGTATGCCAATATAGCATTTCTCTAAAATGAATCACAAAGATTTCAGGTACTTGTATTTGAATTTAAAGAACTTTTCATGTACAAAATTCGGCAAGCTGTTTTATTTTCTCAATTAATATATGAATCTACATTGTACACCACTTAGACCAGTCTTCTAATACGGATCAAGGTAGAAACTAGTCTTATGTAGTCAAAAATATCGAAGAATACATGAAACCTGATTGCTTCGCGTTCAGAATACGGGACTAGAAGTCCCACGGGTTTAATTAAAATATTATTGATGTATCGACATCGTTATGTAAAGGCAATTGAAGCACTAATTGCAATATGCGACATTAAAAAAAATATAAGCTTTCTGTAAAAGCACATCATTCATATGTACCTTCCGAAACATGCCTTTCGGCATTCAAGAAACGCGAAAACAGTAAGTGATTCAATATCTCATACATTCTTGTATGTTTGACGTGGAATAATAAACTACGACTACTCTAAAATCACACATTATATCGATAAAATAAAAATAGCAAATTTTTTATCACTTAGCATAAGGCCGATGAATACATGTTATTAAAATAATTTCTAATACTATCGTCAAATGACGGACTGCCACATTTACACTCGGCGCTTTCTGATAATTGAGCAGGGAAGAGGGCAGCGTGAGTATTTAAATATATCGCTGGCGCTACCACTAAGAGCTGAGTATGACAGCCCAATGGCGTCATGCTGCAAGAAGTATTTAAGGAAATATTTCCAGCAGCGGCAGGTCCAGCAAGGAAGTGTAAATGTGGTATCAGTACTAACTCTGTACAAAAACGAAACTGTATTTGACAAAATATTTTATTTACAAAATCACTCACTATACGTTTTTAGCCTAAATATGTGCGTTTATAAACATGACGCAATGTACGGTACCGTTCGACAAATTAATAATTTTGCCGTCAAAAACTTAAACAAAGTCGTTATGACTTAAAACAATGTCAAGATATAAAATACCATTAATAATAATCCCCACGCGATGCATTGGCATATTTTTAATATATCCTACAAAAATAGATGTCAATGCGTACCCTGGATTTACGACTGTCTACCAAAACCTTTATCAAATTTTACAATCAAAGTACTAAACGTGTTAGCCATGATGTAGCTAGACAATTTTGTCGGTTTAAACTATAGTTTCATAGGATTTACGTACCACGAAAACTGACTGAATCAAATGATATTATATTTCTCTTGTACAGAGGAAACCTTGATAGAACCTAGAAGATATGGAACCCGAGAGTAAGAGGTTTTTTTTTAAACTAATTCCGGATTGAAGGACCAAAAGTTTTAAGAGATATGTGAAAGTATGAATAATATGTCAATATGAATAAAATGGAAACGTATAAAAATATTAAACTTTTACATATTATAAAATTATGAAAATAATTTATTAATATTAAAAATATTCTATCAAACGTCAAATGATTGTGAGTTGACACGCGTTAATTTAGGTATTGCTTTTACAACTGAAACGTTGCGTCTATTGAATTAATATTTTAGATCTTACATTCTGTACCGACAAGACAGTGCGTGTACCCAGGGCTAGACCCACACAGGTCCTTTATCGCGGGGTGAATTAGACCATCGTTAAGGACGTAGTAGCGGCGTTTGCTCACCGCTTGACCAACGAGATGGCCGTTCGCTGCATTTGTTCGTACAACACGATACGTTGCCGCCACCCTGAAATTTAAAATAATCCTGAAATAACACCAATAGAAACATTTCAGCCGAGAGATCTTGTAGCAAACAATTATTTTAATAATAAAGGCATTAAAAAATTACTATAACCCGTCATTAATGAATTATCGAAATAGCTCTGCCCTATTCCCCGCTCCATTGGGGACAAGAGTCAATCAAAGAAATCATCTAGATCAAAAGTGCATTTTATTAAAAGAAAATAAAAAAAAACTTATATTATAATTACGTGTAAAAAATGAATGTTAAAACGTTAATAGCAGTAGAATCTCATAGCAAATTTTCTTGAACATATTTATTTTATTTCTGCTATTCTCTGGGCTAATTAAAGAACCCTTTAAAACTACCATTTAACTCTAGAAACTAACCTGTGAGAGATGAAGATCGTAGAGGTGTAGAGTACTGACTGATATATCACGCAATTCATCTGCTGGCATTTCGGTAGTGGGGTCAAGCCCTAACGCGCTGGCACCCAATGCACTGCTGGCACCAGCCAGGCCTTGATCCTTCACTGATTGTCCACTTGGTCCCTCTTCTTCGTCGCTCGTTTCATCCATGTCCTTTGTTAGAATAAGCTATCGTTAGTGTGTGCGAAAAGAGATTGTGGGATTTGCAACCGCTGCACCTATTTTGCTATGTTGAAAACCTTGCTATCATTATAGTTCTTATACGATTAGACATCTTGAAACATATGAAAATATTAAAAGTATTTATTTGTGAATAAACGAAATAGAGTAGCGTAAGAATTATATTAGTTTGCATAATCGCAACACCGGCTGTTTCGCGCACAGACTCTACCATGGTTTACATCTAACGTGAATGATATTGTGGCATATGTCAGTGTCAATGTCAAGTTCCATGGCTACCATTTCGTTATTCGCTGTATAAAGTTGCATAATTCTGCAGGGAATCGACGAAAAAACATCTAGTTGAAACATATTTCAATGGTTCTTATTGAAGAAGGAAATTCGGTTTTACCTGTATATATGTGATATTGTTAGAATATAATGTTTAAGTATATATAAATATCGTAGGTTTCTCTACTAAGTCATAACGAGATTCTCTATTGATGTTTTATTGAATATTAAAATATTATAATCTCAATTTGGTACCAACTTGGGTAACAGCCCAATTTTCATCAAAATCAATTTAATAGTTTCTGAGATATCCACCCATCTCTGGATCATGTCACCTATATCTAAAAATCTTAACAGAATCCGTACTTTAGGGCTGGAAACTTCCGGCAAAATTAAGTGATTAACATTCATATAACCAACCATATATTACAGGAATATGTTGGAGACTTTCCAAAACCGCTATTTAACAGGTAAATCAAATATAGAATTAACACAAATTTATATATCTAATATATAAAATTCTCGTGTCGCGGTGTTTGTAGTTAAACTCCTCCGAAACGGCTTGACCGATTCTCATGAAATTTTGTGTGCATATTGGGTATGTCTGAGAATCAGACAACATCTATTTTTCATCCCCCTAAATGTTAAGGGTAGTCCACCCCTATATTTTTTTTTTAATTTGTAGATAACTTTTTTATTTTTTATTTTTTTATGATACAGCATTAAAAAATACATACAACCCCTAATTTTCACCCCTCTACGATCAACCCCTATTTTTATTATAAATGATATACATGTCAAAACGACGTTTGCCGGGTCTAGTTACTTATAATAATAATGGGGCTACTCCTGCGGCTCTTATAAACCCTGTGGGTTGTAGAGCTACAAAATGTATTTTTTGTATTAAGGAAATAAAATGATAAAAAATACCGGTAGTCGATATTGAGTTTTCTGCTGCTGATAATAGGAGAGAACTGCAGGTAATGGAGTGTTGACACCGAATATACTTTGTTGAATGTACGATCCCAGCATTGTTTTGTTCTGTTAAGAAAAATTAAGTTTCAATATTTGTATGGTAAGAACATGAGCCGTGTTGCTTGAGCGTGCTCCCATTAACCCTGCATTCGAATAACGGAATAATTTTTCTAAGTGCGCATCTAACATTGTTTCTGTGAAGGAAAGGATGAGGAAACCTTGCCAATTATTTCTTAGACCAACCCACTAATTTTTTTATCATAGATACATATATCTGACTCCCAAGTACAAGGTACTTGTAAACCTACGTTATTATTAGAAAAACAAAATCACTTCAAATCTCAAATTAATTATGGCGATATAACGATAAATTAGGGCTCATATCCTTTAATATTAAGGTATCTTTCTCAATATACCTCGTCCATTTAGATATTATTATTTAGACGTGCAAAAACAACTATCATTAAAAACAAGTGCTTAGCCACTTAAAACTAACTACTTTAAACTAGCTAAAACTACTAAAGTAGTCACATACGATTACTTTAGTAGTTTTAATAGTTAAGATTGTTTTACATACCAGGCCATTGTTTGCGGGTAAAGCATGGTGCATACTCTGTCGTAGAGATCGTAAAAATTGTCTTTGTGCGGGTTCACTTGGATGCCATCCCGGGTGTCGGCAAGAGAATGCGACCAGAGACAATTCTGTTTTACCACCTTCACCCTGATTATATTGTGTATTGCCACCTAAAAATATTTAAAAAAATATATATAATGAATATTCTAGTCTGCACCTAATCTGTGCCGATAATATGCGCTACAAAGTCAGTTATGCCAGCGCCTTAACGGTAATCAATGTAACTGTTAAACAAATTCATCACTGATGATTTCACATCATAAAGTGTATACGGTTAAACGTTAATAATTTTAGTTGGTTAATCTATTGATTGCTTGACCTTGAGCCACGATATATACTTTTGGTATAATTTGCTATACATATACCCTCATTCATAAAATATAAATCAGTCTAACTGCATCTCTTCAACCATAGTACTGGTCTGTCTCTTTTTATCACAGTTAAAACACAATTTAACAAAAAGAGACCTATAGCGAACAGAGATGGTCCAGCGATAATTATTTTTTAATTTAGAGTGAGAGTTTAATTATTGTTTGATTCACCTTTTACTTTATCATACTTCAACGGAGTCTGCCAATCAGGATGTCCATGGCGTCTGATATCCAACTGAAAGGTATTTATTTAAAATTATACAAATCTCAATATTTACCAAAATTCTGCTGTTTGGGCGTGAAATATTAAATAAACTCACTTTTGTAAAGAGCAAAATTGTAACGAAATAAACTAACCACATTATTAAATATATAAAAATTAAACAAATTTAGGCTAGTGTTTGTGAATCAGACGGGCAGTCTAAATACTAATATTCAATTATAATTCAATTTCCACCATTTTTATGCTATCTTAAAATTACTTTAAAAAAATCATTCACACTATTTTTTTTAACACTTTTAATTAATATCTTTAATACAATAACAGTTTAAAAACTTATAAACGTGTATTTATGAGTCAGGATATCAAATGATTTTCAACAATCGTTGTCCGCGACTGCATATCAATAGACTCATCCAACGGAATATTATAAATTACTTCGCGGAAATAGCTTTATTATGGCACCAATTTAATTCACTCTAAACATATCAAATAGCTGTCTATATACGTGGCAGTCTCTCACTCACTACGATTGCTGAAAAGCACTCTGCTAGCACTGCGACCCAAAAAGGTCCCCGAAAAGAGAAATCAGCGCTTCCTGTCCTGTGCTTTTAGTATTTATAAATTATTAAGATTTATTGAGCTAGTCATAGTATGAACCACGGTTTATGTATGGGAATAGTTTTAGGTTTTATTATATATTACCTGAGCAAATGAGCAAACATCTCCGATTCCAAGCACGCTAACTGTGAAGTTCCTATAAAAGTCCACTATATCGAGTGCGCGTGCGCGGAGTGATAATAGGACAAGTGGACAAAGTAGAGGGCTAAGCAACTCGAACAGAATGTACACCTGAAAAGTCAATGAGTAAAAAAGACAATTCCTGACTAAAAAAAGGAACTCCATCTTTGATGGCCTTTACCTTGAACAGAAGGTTCAAACAAATATATACAGCATATTCTTACGTGGCTTTATATAAAAAATATCTACCGTTATTAGATAGAGATGTCTTATCAACGGTATACGATGTCTGTCAATTTCACTTGTTTATTATAGATAATACACATTCCATTAATAATAAAATTGAGAGAAAACACTATTACTAACACTTTTATCTACGAGGGGAGGTCCAAAAGTTCGTGGAATGGAGGGGATGGAGTGGGGATAGGGGCGCTCGCTTAGTGTCATACTAATTGGGGACTCATAATTAGTATATAAATGGAGTTTCAGCCCTATTGCGTCATTCGTTTACGAACACTCGCCTGCTTAACACGTCAATCCGGAAGAAAACTGAATCTATGGAGAAAATTGAACACCGTGCTGTCATTAAATTCCTTACTAAGCAAGGAAAGAACGCTCAGACCATTTTGAATGAAATGGAAACTGTTTACGGGGAACAGTGCCCTAGTAAATCAATGATTTACAAATGGCATGGTCTTTTTAAACATGGTCGGGAGTCGATTGAAGACGACCCCCGCTCAGGAAGGCCAGTTGAGGCCACCACATCAGACATCATCGAAAAAGTGGAAAAAATTGTACTGGAGGACACCCGTTTGAAGAAAAAACAGTTATCTGCATTAGTTGGAGTATCAGATACCACAATTTTGCGAATCCTACATGACCACCTGGGTATGACAAAAGTCAGTGCAAGATGGGTACCGAGAATGCTCACGCCGCTTCAAAAACAGCAGCGCGTCGAAGCGTCAAAACATTTTTTGGAGTTGTGTAGCGACGATCCTGGATCGATTTTGGAGCGAATTGTTACCGGCGATGAAACATGGGTTCATCACTTCGAGCCTGAGTCCAAACAAGAGTCCATGCAATGGCATAAAAAGGGGACACCACCGCCAAAGAAATTCAAAGTGTCGGAGTCGGCTGGAAAGTTGATGGCTACTGTTTTTTTGGGATTGTGAGGGGATAATACTGATTGATTATAAAGAAAAGAGCAGGACCATAACCGGAGAATACTACGCAACAATACTAGAAAAATTAAAGGATGCCATCAAAGAAAAACGTCGGGGAAAATTGACCAAGGGTGTGTTGCTCTTGCAAGACAACGCGCCGGTTCACAAGAGCAAAGTTGCAATGGCTGCTCTACACACGCATGGCTTCGAATCACTAGTCCACCCACCCTATAGTCCAGATCTGGCCCCAAGTGATTTTTATTTGTTCCCCAATTTAAAAAAAAGACTTAAGGGGAAGGAAATTTTCCGACGACAATGAGGTAAAGGAGGCAATTTTGGCTCATTTTGAGGGAAAAGATAAAAAATATTTTTACGATGGTTTAGAAAAATTAATTCATAGATCTAATAAATGTATTCAGCTTAAGGGTGATTATATTGAAAAGGAAAAATAAATTTACTGTTTCATTTTTACTAAAACCCTTTCATTCCACGAACTTTTGGACCTCCCCTCGTAGATGAATAAAATCATTTATAGAAGTGATCCATAATTTTTATTTAATGTTATTGTATACTATATTATCTTAAACAGGGCATAATATCCTCAAAAACTATATTATCTACTGTGTATTCGACGACGTGTGAGTTGATTTTTAAAAGCCAGGGTTCCATACACGTAATCCTTTGGATTTTGCCGTAGCATGATGTTTAGACTCTAAAGAATCATTCTGTATGAGATTTTTTTAATATTTAGCTATTGCCGCTGCCCTAAGTACCTACTGCTATTCTTGATGCAATATTATCACGAGTGAGTGTTCAGAACCAGTTCTACTCTTTTACCGATCGCAACAATAGCAATGGAGGCAAGACAATTCACAGTGCAAATGACCAATTAACGTACTCACTGTCCACTTCCCTGCTCGCTTCCCTATCTGACAGGGCTGGATGTAAATGTGGTATTTAAGAAAGTAAAAAAATACCGAAATGTAACGTATTTGATTTAAAAAAACTACATAAGTTTCCCTACATTTCACATTAGGCAGACACCGACGACTTTTTGAATCGTTGTTTTCCTTGACCGTTTGAGCGAATGTTAAATGTCCACATAGAAGTAAAGTCCATTAGTGCACAGCCGGGAATCGAACCTACGACCTCAGGGATGAGAGGCGCACGGTGAAGCCACTAGGCCAACACTGCTCTTAAAATTTAAACGTTATTCTCGCTTCGTTAAAGAAATAACAGTTCTTATTGCGATCAAGTGTGGACAACAAACAACAACAACACGTGGACTTACAATACAAAAATAAAAACTAAATTAGTAGCAAGCCAGAAAGCAATGGAAAGAAGCGTACTTAAAATAAGAAAAATACATAAAATTCAAAGCGAAAACATAAGACGAAGAAAAAAGTTATAGATGCCTTACATTATGCCCTAAAACAGAAGTGGCAGTGGGCGGGGCATATAGCAAGATACACAGATAATAGGTGGACCTTAAAAACAACTGTATGGAAAGGACCAAGAGGAAGAAGGAGAAGAGGTCGCCCAAAAAAAGGTGGATAGAAGAAATAGAAGCGGTAGCAGGAAACGAATGGAGAAGGAGAGCCATATACAGAGTCAGTTGGAAAAAGCTGGAGGAGGCCTTTACCCGTGAAGGGGTTCCGATCGACGGTACTGAAGGAAGCTAGAATATAGAATAACAAGCAAAAGAAAAAAAAATGTATAAAAATGTAAAATAATCTAAGCTGTGTATAATAATTTGTTGTTTTGTCATGATTGGAAATAAAACGGGCTTTATTATTATTATTATTGCGATCAAGTGCACAGTTTATAAAGAACTCACCGCTCGGAACTGAAACAGTTGTTGGAAGTGAGCAGCCACGTCTTTTGTATGGGCGCGACCCCTCCAAGCGGCTGGCAGATAGTGTACGTATCCCAACACTTGTACAAATAATTCTTCACCGCGGGTTGGCCCCGTGCACCCACCATCAAGATGTTCCTCGAGTCCTATTAAAGCTCTAAAAAACAACCGTTTCCATTAAAAAAACAATGTCATTAGCTGTGAGTTAGGGGGGAGCTATTAAAAATCTACGTTAACACGTTTTATTACAGAAATACCGTTTTATAAGGCTCTACCTTGCGATTCTGTAACTCACTTTTCGAACTCTCACAGCGGTTTTCACAGCGGCGGTCGCACTCAAATTACTCATGAAGCAGTTATTTTACGATTTGGCATTCTGATAAGGAGGGAGCTTGTAGTTTATTGTTTATCAGAATGCCAAATCATGACTGGAATCGTGATTCAAGCCGTCGAACGTCGATTTAATTATAAATTCAGATTTATATTTATGAAATTGTCTAGTCTATAACTCGTGTTTATAATTATGAATCGCAATAACTTACCTAGCTCCAGCGAGAACACAGCCGAGGATAGTGATTATTGTTAGGACATGTTCTACGGTCAATACATCTTCGTCGTACACTGAAAGGGCAACCAATACTCCGAGAATACTCGCCGATACAAACACAATATTCCTAAAAATAATGTTATTTAAAATAATGTAAATGCTATATTTTAAAACTTTTGTTAATAAACAAAAAGCCTTATAAATTAGCCTTGTTGCCTGGAATAAAACTATTTTTTTAAATAGTAATTCAATCATTGTATTTTTTTTATATTTTACACATGTAAAGAGTTAAGGCTCTTTATAAATAATCATATTGTAAAAATTTGCACATAAAAAAATTAGATAAATCATTTGTAAATACATAGTTGACATGTAAGCATTATGGCGATAGATTGAATGAGGTTTTGGACACAATTTTACTCATTGCACTACGCTGTTTTTTTATAATATATATTTAAGACTAACACTAAATTTAAAGTGATACTATTTTAAAGATTTCATAAAGATTAGTCACAATTATTGTGTTGGCCAGATTGTAATTTATATAAAGTAACTAAAGTAGTCTTACAAAGTAACAGTTAACTTTGTAAGACACATAGGTTTAGAGATTATTGTGGCTTCATTCCCTGTGAAACAATAATTATTTTAGGTAATTAGGTACAGGGGAAACAAGAAAAGATCGTAACATTTATTAAAATCTTGGCAACGCACTTCTAGCGTTATGCGTGCCTATAGGCGGCAGTATCACTATATAAGCCCTCTGTTCTCCCTATTCCAGCCGAGCACCCCATTTCGGCCGAGCTAGGCTCTCCAAACCAGCACGGGCTAAACTCTCAAGACCTTTAAGGCCAACAGCGCTTCCATTTATTAAAATAGCTCCCTGTTCAAAAAAAAATTAAGGCTCACCTCGCAATAACGGTTGTGATAGGCGAACTGAAACTCGCTAAATATTTCAGCGCAGGTTTGTGAGCGCGATTTAGTCGATCCCTCAATTCGTGTTCGAGCTCATTAAAATGCCTCAGAGTTATTCGAGCGTAAAGCGACCAAGTCCGTAGGCCGAGTGACCCTGGCGATCTCTTTATTAACTGAAATTTTAAATATTCAAAATAAATACACGTACAAATATTCTACGAAAAAGTTTATCAATTTAATGGCGTGATATGTACCTCAGCATAATTGAAGAAAAAGTATAATATTTGCCACGCTAATATCAGAGGTGCAAGTACAAAATTTGCTAGAGCTAAAAGTAATATTTGTCGTTCGAGTTGTCGAGCTAAAACCATTCTTTTTGTTGGGTCTTTGTAATTTGAACGAAGCTGCCAGCAGTTTTCCCAAGGGCTCCATGGACTAGCTAAAAATTACATATTGTTAATATAAATGGGATATGATAAAAACTTATAAAAGTATGTTTTGTTCGCTAATGCTCTTTAGAAACATTAATCACAACAATTTAGAGACAAAATTATATAAACAGCTTGGATATGATACAATTAACAGAAACTTGTATTTGTTTTTTTAAAAAAAAGATTAATGGACTAGTAAATGGTTGTAAATTGATTTTATGTTAGATAAACATTCTTAAACATCATAATAAAATTGAATACATACAAAATAAGAGAAACTCCAAATTCCACTTTAGACCTTTTGATAAATAGTGAAAATCTCCAACACAAGGCACATGTATTTGCAGCGGTAATAGATTCTTGTTAACCATTGCCACCATGTAGTTATTAAACCTGCAATATTTTTTAATATATATATATACAACAAATTAAATAAATGTAACAAAGAAATAAAAATGGTATTTAGCAACAGGTAGAGTACTTTATAGATGAATTGCCGCATGTCATTGCATATAATAAAAAACTCTACATTATTTTAGTTTTTCTTAGTATTAACATAAAATAAAATAATTATAATTGAATTATTCTATATTAAAAAGGAAGGACTTGTTATCACTGTAATAGTGTAACAAATAAATTAGTAATTTATATAAATTTACACTCTAATGAAAGATAGATCATAGAACAGAACTAAGACACAACATAGAGTTTCCCTGTTGTAAGTAAATACATTACAACTAATTTTAGACACTTTAAATTTACATGAACATAACATTTATATTATTGTCTAAAAAGCCTGGTTAAGAGATAATGTGAAGTCAATTGTAAACTAAACTAGGCATTATCAAACGGCATGCAATGACCCCATGAACAAATACAAATTTTAAATAATTAATGTAAGTGTGTAAAAGTAACAAGGACAGACCAAGAGAGCAATGGGACAGCAAGATTGAAAGGGTAACTGGAATAATCTTCTATCATCTTAGAGTAATAAAATAGTATATATATATATTCATTTTTGTTTAATGTATGTCAATAAGACAAATAAAGGCTTATTATTAATGTAAGTGTGTGTTTATATTTCACCTGAGTATTCTGTGATAAATGTCTAGTTCGTTGATTTCCTGTTTCTGAACACACATATGATGTTCTGGTTGAGCCTCCCTCACTCTATCCTGTATTGTTGTCCAATTAACCCATCCCAAGTCACTCTACAACCATTCTTTTTTTGTTAAACATACTTATTACTAAGAAATTCTTTATCATTTTGGTGTTAAGTAAATCAAATGATGTTTTTGCTATTACATTACATTTTGTTATTTAAAATTTGTTCCTCTTATAATAACTAAATTGATCAAATATAACTAAAGTGCTCATATTTAATATAAGATTTGTTTCTGGTTAATAACAGAGTAAAAATACAGAGATTTAAACTCCAATCAATGTACACTATGAGAAATTCTAAAAAATACTAATACAAGGAGTATCCTTACCTCTTTAATTCTTAATGCATTATTATAAAATAGCTTTGTATCATAGGCATAATATAAATGATATATTGATATTATCAGCCTCATAAGCCAAATAATTAAACACAATACTATGAGACACCACCTGCAAATATAATGCAAATTTACAATTTTGTGATGTACTGCCAACTTCAATCCAAAAGACCTATTGAATGCATAAGCCAAAGAAACCATTATTATGACTCTAATGTTTTAGAGTTTGGTTTATTTATTGATTTGGATTTAGACTAAATCCATAAACAAAACAAACTAGGAACAATATATTTTTTTCATTGTAGAAAGTATGGTAGAGCAATTGTTCGATGTTTGAAATGTTCTAACAAATTTTCACCTTGACAATTTTTTGAGACTTTACTTAAATTTTTACAAAATAATAAGATAATACTGGTCTTAAAATGGTGAATATAATACATGCTAAGTAGTTTCTATTGTTACAATAGAAAGTTATAAACCTTTATTATTATATGTTAAGATGGTCAACTCTCGACTCAGTAGTCAAGAACTTGTTTTATTTAGCAAATTTAACTAAGAGATCCTAAAATAACTTTATGCTGATCAAGATGGAAGGCTTGATATATAACTGTCCATGTCCTATTGATGGCGTAGCGTAACTCTAAGATCTTATCATGGACTAAGTTAAAGTTATTTATATTGCAAAAACCTTAAAATCAATATTAATTGAATCTTACCATTGCCATGAAATACTAGCACGACATTCTGTTGTTGGTAATATAACATCACTTAAGCTAAGTTTATCACTTCTAGTTATATTTGGGTCATTTCTAAATAGTTTCTGATAATTAACACAATGCACTAAGAATGTAGAAAACCAGACGATGAATACAAATTGTAACAAATAAAATATATCAGACATAATCATAGGATAAAATCCCCCTCTAACATAGTATCTATACATTCTTGTAAAAAAAGAATCTAGATCTTGAATATGTGTCCATCCTCCTGAAAAATAGGTTTAATATTAAAAAAATATTTACAAGCTCGATGAAAAAATACCATGATGTGGTAAATTAAGAAGAAACAAACTTACCCTTTGTTTGCGGTACTTTGTGAATGATAACATTGGTAGAGTCGTCATGTTCTTGATCTAGAGATATCACAGTTGGTGAACCAGCTGCATTTTCAGCAGATATTGCTAATGGTGGTACTAATTCATTGTTTAATGCACTATACGTAATATCGCGTCTAAAATGAGCCATCTTCTTTTGAATTTTGACTCTACATTAACTGTAAATATTTCTACGACTAATTTTTATACAATGAGCCCACTCTTTAAGCATTCTTGACTTTGGCCCAGAAAACTATTATGTCTTTCATGGTCTTACGTAGTTGAAATACAAAGGAATTTGCTAAACAAATTTAAAATTTTGTACCCCTTTATATTAAATTAGAATTTAAAATGTAATAGTGATCTCACTGAGTTACATCAAATTTTAGCTTACATTATAAATATTAAGGGCAATGGCTAAAATTGTTGAAGAAACCAAATTTATTATGACGAAAAATACCACAAAATTAATAAATAAACCACAGGCACAAGACATTGACTATTGACGGTAACTATATACTGCTTAAACTACAGAATACGAATATATCTGCAATAGAATCATTTTGTCTGTGGCATAAATTTTTGCTAATCATTAATTTTTTTTTTTTTCATTTCTATCTTCTAACAACACAGAGACCTTACGCTTTATTAAATTATTAATTAATGAATTAAAATATAATTTTGGGAATAAAATAGCACCTCTACTAAGATTACAATAATATATCTTAGAATAGGTTGGTAAGGTTATTTAAAAAAATATTGGGTCGCTAAGGATACAAACCCTTTATAATATAATAAATAGAAAGGTTTTAAATAAATAAACAATTATTGCATTGCATCCGATGTACTTAAATGTGCATTTATACACAGCCCATTTAGAAATAAGAATTATTATGGCGTTCATTTGGATTTAGAAAATTGATGAAGAAGAGGAAGTATTTCTTCAAATTCATGATGGTTATCATGATTTAATAATGCATTTAATTTGAATCACATGTGTTTGATCTGTAGTAATGTTTGTATTGCATAATAAGTTGTTATAGGTATTCCGTATTTGCTTATTTTTCTATATATACTATGCAACATATTAAGGAACATAATCAACAGAGGTCCCGTATTTAAATAAAAAATAACTATGAGTGAAACATTTTTGAAGTTATACTTCTTTAGGTGCGTTATGAAAAATTGAAGAGAGTGAAATTTTACGACGCGCGCGCACCGTGACACAAAATTACAGAATGAAGTTAGTGGCGCATGTTGGCACGCACGCCGCCACTGTTCACTGTGTATTTATACATTTATAATATTATTTATCCACATGCTTTGAGTTTCTACATTTAAAACACGTGATTTCATTTTGTTTTCATTATACAAGTGCGAATTTTATACGTGCGTCTGAATTATAATCAGAAGTGATTTAAATCAATACTACCTAATTAATATTAGAAAATAATAATAAATATAAATATAATATTAATAAATATTTATTTATTTAATTTTTCAAATGTTAACTGAACTTTATTGACTATAATGACTCCTTTTCCAGTCTTTGAATATTTTAATTGTAATTAATTATTTGCATGCAATCAAAAACTATGTTTAATAATGCCAAAGAAGTATAACTTCTTACGCGCGTACATAAGTATACACACCCTTTTTTTTACTATGCAACTTATTAGATCCTCTTGAAAATGTATGCGTGTACACACGTAAGAAGTGAAACTTCTTTATGACCTTATTTTACGAAAAATGATCTACTATATGCAACTTTACAGAAATTGGCTAAATAGTTAACTTAACTTAGATAAAGTTTAAAAAAGTCTTTTATTATCTTAGACATAGTTACAATAGACTAAATAAATAGAATACAAATATTGCAATTATTTCATTCTACCTTATTACTACTAAGATTATTACAGAATTTCATTAATTGTAATATAATTATTACTATCATTGTTATCGTTATTATATATTTTTGTTTTTAATATAAATTTTATACATTTTATGAACGCACTACACGGTTTTTGACACAAATAATAATGATTTAAAAGCATAATTTCTATTTATAACCATAGTACTGCCATATTAATTAAATATAACGTGAAAAAAATTATCCAATATAAAATATAACAGTACGTTGCGGTAAGCCTGAAGTTTTCAGAGGTAAGCAAACTTCACAAACAACAAATCTTGCAACTAATCAATAAACTGGATCCGAAATCGCAGGACAAGAAAAAGATGGCGCGTAACGGAAAAATGTGACGACGTCACGTGACGTACATTCTTTTCAACGCCGATAAAGAAGTTTCATGAACTTCAATTATATTTATTGGTATGTTATCTAAAACTGGCGGCTTCAACACATTTACACTTTGTGCTTGTGTAGTGTCTGTGAATAAGCGCGAGGTTCGCTGTCAAACTGAATATGCATCATGAAAAGACTATCCGTCTCTCTCGCGCTCGGTCAAGCTTATGAGTATAAAAGAGACAGTTATTGTATTACTTTTGCTACTGTTTATGTTGATCTTTACTGTACATGTTGATCTTTTTTCTCATTATTATTTTGTCTGTGATTGTTAACTTATTTGGTTGGAGGTTAGAATACTTTGAAAAAATGTCTTATGAAATATATTCCATCTAAACATTACCAGGACAATCTCGTGAAATGGTGTTCAATGTTTTTAATTATTTTAAGCATCTTAATAAAAGCAGTTTAATGAAAAAATATAATTTATAATTTGACATAAGATGCGACTGGTGTTTCTAAGAGGAGCATTGAAAAAGAATGGTTAGTGAAGTAAGAGTGAAGTTTGTTGAGCTAGATGGAGCTTATGTCGAAAAATGAAAAATTATTTACATACACAAACTACTATTTTACGTTCTTGGTCGGGCTTAGAACTTTTGGATCCACCCTCGTATGCTCATAATATTTATATGTATTTGACACATTTTATTTATTTACAACCCACCCAACCTTACTAAAACCAGAGTAGACTAAAATATATAGCTTGGCAAAAAAGTCATATTTTTAAACATACTGTATAGTTAAATTGCATTAGTGTGAGTACTGTGAACGCGCCAGCTTTCGATAACCGACCTATATAAAATATTGCATTACGTTTATTAATTGGCAACCATTTAGCTATCTGTTGTCACTGTATGTATCTAATTCATCTGTAGACAAAGCATGTCGATCTGTCGGTCATACTACACAGAACACGACTAGGATTTAGGGCGTTTATATAGCGCGGGGTGGCCACCTTGGGGATTTTCCCCTTTATTGGGGGGAATCTAGAAGTCCTAGGGGGATTTTAGGAAGTACATTTATTTCGGGTCATTTTTAGGGGATACTTTATACAAGATTTTTTTCCTAATAAATGCATGTTTCTATACAATTTATATTATAATAATTATAATCCTAGAACCCAATCAACAAACTAAACTCCAAGCGTGGCTATAACTGAAATATGAAAAGGCTCGAAACAAAATAATGTAATGAATTAAAAAAACAGTAGTATATATTGTATAATATACTACTGTATTTTTCATGCATATTTGATATCACCGAGTGTACAAAACAACTTTAGGGGTTTTTAAACGATATTTAGGGGTATGATATAGATGTTGGTTCTAGGGGGACGATTCTGCACATGGCATGGAGTTGGCACATGGCAACAGTGTGGTCAACGTAGGCGATTTATCGCCATTTAGGCTACTCAGGACTAGAATTGGTGATGAAAATATCTGAAAGGCGACTGGTCGCCTATTAGGCTACTTCAAGAACATGTCATGAATCGCAAATGAACTACTTTTATTCAAAATCATAGTCACTCTAAGATCTGTATGAGATATTAAAGTAGTAAGTTTCCGGTCGGGGAATAACCAAAATTCGTCTTAGAACTTATGAAACTAAATTTAGGAGGTAGTACTGTGCAATGTACCTACCTAAATTGCTTTTAGTAACTACCGCAATTATCTATATTATACTGACTAAATTCTAAAAAATAAATTGTGCCTTTCGTTTCGTTCGCTTTGTCAGTTTGTTGATTGTTCTTCAACTACATAACTAGTGCGTGTAACGAGTAATTTCAAAGCCATCATTTCTGTGAAAAAAGCATGGGTAAACACGGCAAATATGTGAAGCGTTATCGCGAAGAATGGGAAAAATACCAGTATTTAAAAGTAAGTTTAAGAACTTATGTTTTTTACTGTTTAAAAGGGCCCTGTCCTCTAGGCAGGCAAGCAGGAAATCTCTAGGAACTCTTTCGGTGGCGGTGGCGGTTGCGGGTTTGATTCCCGCCTCGGAACAAAATAATATGTTTGTACGATCTACAGATATTTGTTCCGGGAGTTCTGGAGTAAGTATAAATAAAGTTAAAATTAAATATACACTACAATTTTATTTTATTTTTATATTTCGGCTCATTTTAGGCTACTTATGCTGTGAAAAATGGCGATATCAGTCCCGGTGTCGTTGGCAGCACTGCATTCAGCTTGTTAGTTGGTTTCCTTATTTACAAAAAAAACATAATTAAACTTAACTGATCGTTCCTTTTCCATGAATATTTTTACATGAATATTGGGTAATTTACTTAACACCAACATTATTATAACGCCTTAGTTGTGGGTGCTTTTAAATTTTAAAAGGTATACCCATATATAACATAATTTTATTAGTTTTTTTATCCATCAGATTTTTTTTCATAATAAAGAGTATAGAACAATATAATATATAGGAAGGATGTTCATTGTGGGTCTTACAGGAGGTCTAGCTACGGGCAAAAGTACCGTACTATCTATATTTCGTGAAAATGGAATTGCTGTTATAGATGCCGATGATATTGCTAAGAAAGGTTTGCAGTATTTTGAAGTTTTTAGATGAATTATGGGTATATTAAAAAAAGTAAATGATATGTTATTATAAACTTTATATTTATTATTTTGTGGAAAATTACATAGTTCAGTCCTTTTTTAACTATTTCACTTATATACCAACCAAGTTTTATGAATCCTATGCTGATTGGAATATTATATATACAAACATATTTAAATCAATGTGTGTAGTATTTTTTAAAAACTTAATTTATCACATTTCAGTCTTGGAACCTGGAACTATAGCATGGAAAGAAGTTAAGGAGTATTTTGGAGATGAGGTTATTAGTGATGATGGTAAAGTAGATCGACTAGTTCTTGGAAACATAGTTTTCAATGATAAAGACAAAAGAATGAAACTTAATGCTATTACACATCCTAGAATCCAAAGTGCCATGATGAGAATGGCCTTCAGTTACTTCTTCTCAGGGCACAGATACATAGTGATGGAGGTTCCATTACTCTTTGAAACTGGCAAAATGTTAAGATTCATGCATAAAATTATAACAGTTGTTTGGTAAGATATTTTTTCAGCTCTTCCTGGAATCTCTATATTAGAATATGGAAAAATTTAAGTTTTATTATTGCAGTGATATAGATCAACAAATTAGCAGATTATGTGAAAGAAATGATTTCTCTGAAATAGTTGCAATGACTAGGATAAAATGTCAGATGCCTCTTGAAGAGAAAGTAGCCAAATCAGATTTTGTAATTGATAACTCTGGTGACATATCTTCAACTCGACAACAGACTGAAAGTATCATAAGACTCCTAAGGCGATCTAAGTTTACATGGTAAGTATTTATGTGTATTCTAACTAACATTGGTATTCTTAACTGACTTCAAATCAAGGAAGTTATCAGTTTGTTTTCTGTGTTTTAATATTTGACTTTTTAGGCTTCCAAGCATGTGTGTTACATTTTATTTGTATTCTCAAATTTCTTTGAAACTAAAAGTTGTATATGATGTACATATACAAATATGACATATATCAGGTACATTCCAACTTAGGGAACATCAAAATCAGTTCACTAATTTGAGATTAAATGTATCCACACAGTTTTAATTACTTATTCATTTTATTATTCATTACTTAGTTCATTTGTATTTTATTCTTTACAGGTACTTTAGAGCCATAATATTAATATCATCTTTGTCTTTTTTATTTGGAATTGCTAACATTGCCTATAAGTTCTACTGTAAGAAATAATTATAAGTTTAAGTGCATTTAACAAATAATATGTAATACAACTATACTAGCTCTCTTTTGACACTAAGTTATTGAGTATTTAAATAAAAGAGGTTTAAATCTGCACTGAATTATTAAGCTATCATTGTTAGTGGTGCTTGTGTTGTTTGCAAAAATGATCAACAATAGTATTACCAATGAAAATTGTTAATTTACTTTTTTTAAATGTATAATATCTGCAGATATATTAGCTATTGTTATTTATATTCAGAAGAGCAGTAATATCTAAAAAAAATTATTAAATAAAAAAAATCTCGGCTGTGAACAAACTCACAACTTTTATTTTTAAATATTGAACTTTTTTATGATAAACTAGCTGGCCTGGCGAACATCGTACCGCCTAACAGTCGATTCTTTATTTTTTTTAAATACTTATTCTGCTATTCGGAACACCGGTCTAGCTAGTAAGATAAAAAAAAGAAAGTTGATAAGACAACAAATACATTATATCAAAAAATAAAAATTTACCTTCCCGGGACCCATCCACTAACATTTGAACTTTATGATATGGTATTAAAGTTCAAATTGACTTAAGTATTATTACGAATATTTTGTATGGGAATATAGAAAAGTGTTGTTTTTAGACTTTTTCACTCAATTTTATTTAATTTTTCTCTCCGTAAGAACCATCCTCGTACTTCAAGGAATATTATATAAAAAAAAATCAGACAAATCGGTCAAGCCGTTTTCATTTTATGTCGTGACAACGGAAAACGGGTTTCATTTTTATATATATAGATAAATCAGTATTAAGATATACTTGTCTGTCTTATTTTATTGCAGTGTAAACAATTTATTTTAATGTGTACTTAGTCAAAACAGTGTCTAGCTTTAAAGCAAATAATATAAATTTTCTATTTTGATAAATATTAAGTATTTATTTTCAGTATAGTTTCAACTCAGTGTTTAAACAATCAATTTGCTAAAAAACTATTTGTATGATTATTTGTAATAAGAGTGCTCATATTGCTGCATTGACATATTGTAAAATATATTTATGTAAGAATACTAGAATACTATTATATTTTAGGATAAGACTATATGTATTTTTTTGATAAAAGGACATATTTTGTTTGAAGCTTGTTCATCTATACAATTGAATTTTTGTGTACCTACATAAACATATTTCTTTGTTTACAAAGATTTGCAAATAGGTAAACTTATTAAAAATCCATGGAATTTTTGTTTGATACACAAACATGCACAAATTTAGAACCCAACATACCATTTCAATTATGATGTTATGTGCTTAATTGTTTAATGTGTAATACATATAAATAAAAATCAAAAGGTTTTAACTGAATATTCCTCATTCCTTTTCCTATAACACCTTAAAACATACATAAAATATTTGTTATAATATAAAAAATGCTAACAATATAAGGCTGCTATGAAAACATATTTTAGAAATATTTATTCTGTTGACTACTATAATTCTTAACTGTGTGATTATATAAATATAACAGGCTAATCAAATACCTTCTACAATACAATAAGTTATATGTAGTCTGAGAAGTGAGAACAGCGTGTGTCGTATTATGCCTATTATTTCTAAAGCGCTTCCTTGATGCTCTAAAATAAATTTCATGCCGTATGTCCATGACTAACAATTAAAATACATTGTTAGTTTAAAAACATTATTTATTTAAAGCAGTTATTAAACTGAATTTTAGCACTCCGCCATACCTTTCGATAGTTCTGGTAAGTAAGTAAAAGGGTTTTAGCAGTGCGTAAAGAACTGTATTCATTAATCTCCTACATGGTAGATCACTGATGGTCCGTACTCACTTGGGAATTACTGGTGCCCGTTGAGTTATCATTCTCTTGTTTGATAGATCTCAATATAGGTCTCAAATGAAATGGTTTTGGAGATTTTGACCTACCGGTAACGTGTTTCCTAAATATATTATTTACGGTATTTCGTATTGCAGGAGGATTTGTCGTAACTTGCGATTGAGTGATCGTTCGATTGTATATTTGTATCTGAATAACATTTCCGTTACTGGAAGGATCGTCCTTTTTTTCGAACATCTGCGTAAGTGGATTGTAGCTATACGAACCGAATATTGCTCTGAAAATTCATAATTCCTTGTTACGTATTTTAAAGATTAAATAGCGATATAGATATCAATGCAAAGCAATCTTCTCTCATACAAGGCGAAATGAAAGTAAGTACATACCCACCCCACCCAATGGGGCATGGGGATAAATAACTTATTTAAAAAACGAAATGTCGATCAACCTTCTAAACACGTCCCCGTTTTAGGGTCTAAGATATGCTTGGCAGTGTCATCCTTCATCGTAACTGTTAATTGCGCACAAAGAAAGAAAGAAACGCATGACCTCGTTGAGACGCATGTCGCAACAATTTACACTATCATTATGATAGGTAGGTATGCCTTTATTTTACAATAGAGTACGAAATAAAAGATGTGTATACATATGCACATAAGTAAGTACAATTTATGCTTTTAAAAAAGGTAGTAAAGCTTTTTTAAAGAATTAATAAAACCAAAAAAGTTTTGCGAAAGTCACTTCCCTTAAATCTCGATATGAGAGCAAAACAGCTCCCGGTATTATAATTTGAACTATTGTAGAAAAAGCGTAACTGAACGAGTTCTTTTCTATAAGACAAAATTCGTCTGTCGACATATTCTTAAAGTTAATAAATCAATAATACATACGGCTTAACAAACTCCTCTACAACGAAACGTGGCAATTTTTCTTTTCCATAAACATTGAATATTCTGAAAATTTGTAAATACATATTTAAATGTTTCATACTGACATATAAAAGAAGTTAACTTACATTAAAAACTGATTTATCACAAGCAAAAGGAGTATCATTATGTACTTCGACAGGTCTATGGATCTATAAATATAGTAAAATCACAGCGGTTTTTATTACTATTCAAACTTTTGTTTATTCTTATAGCATTTTTACAATATACCATAAAAATGTAATAAAACTTTAAACGGAAATGGCCCAATAGTATACATTTTGTATAAACGAATACGTTATTAGATAGACACTGACGTGTTGGTCATGAAAACGTATCAATCAATAAAAACAATTTCACTGAACTATATATTATGACAATTTGCTTAAAGAACATCCGGTTCAATAAAGAGATATGTTAATAACACGGCAAGTGGGCGGAGAGGAAAATGGTGGGCGGGTCTTTGTATGGCCCGCTACAGCCCTCTGAGCAACCCTACGAACCTCAATTCAGTTTTACGAGTCGAGCAATTCGTACAATGTCGACTGCGCAGTATCTCTTTAGTAAAAAACCGTGAAATATGTTTAAAAATGAAAGTGTTTTTTAGTCATGCAATATGGATAATGCTAATTTAAACGTGTGTCATTTAGAAAATGGCATAATGCCTATGAACATAGATCGGTCTCCAAATTCTGGCCACAATTCGGACATGTTCCTTTATGATGATTCTTCAATGTCTGATGGCAGTTTATACGCTAGTGACCAAGAAAATCATTCAATTCCACGAAAACGGTAAGAAATAATTTAATGCTATGTGCGAATTTTTAACCTATCTTCAACGTATATCATATTTACACACAATTTGGATTATATGATTTTCTTTTACGCATCTAGGCGAAGACATAGTTTTAATTGGAAAATCCTTTCAATCTTTTTTTTGTGTCAAAATTACGTTGCTATTGAAGTTGGAACCAAAAACTTAACTTATTAACAACTTGAATAATCATATTTTGAGAATATTCCATCTATTCATATATATTATTTTTTTTAGTTCCACAATTAGTTAGTAATTGTAGTTATTAAGTTAGGTAAGTAAATTGCCGTCTTTCCCTTAGATTAAATTTCCTATTGTTAATGAAATAAAGATTATTTTTTATTTGTTTTAATTTACAACAGGTCAGAATGTAGACGGCTGCATAAACGGCGAAGTCGGTGTCCGCAACAACAAATTCAACAACGGCAAGCAGCTAATCTGCGAGAACGGCGACGTATGCAATCAATCAATGATGCCTTCGAAGGTCTCCGGGCACATATACCAACGCTACCTTACGAAAAACGATTGTCTAAAGTCGACACACTGAAGCTCGCTATCGGCTACATAAGCTTTCTTGGAGAATTGGTAAATCTAATATATAAAATTCTCGTGTCGCGGTGTTTGTAGTTAAACTTCTCCGAAACGGCTTGACTGATCCTCATGAATTTTTGTGTGCAAATTGGTTATGTCTGAGAATCGGACAACGTCTTTTTTTCACCCCCCTAAAATTTTTTTTAAAATTTTTAAAATTTTTTTTTATTATACAACATTAAAAAATACATACGACCCCTAATTTTCACTCCTCTACGATCAACCCCTATTTTTTATTATAAATGATATACATGGCAAAACGACGTTTGGCGGATCAGCTAGTAACTTATAATAAACTTAAAAAATATATAATTTTATTGTAGGTACAGTCCATAAAAACCAGAAAATTGGTAATGCTCGAGTCAGTATCGTATGGTTTATAACTTACCTTCTATAATGGTTCTCAATTGCTTTGCGCGACATGGATTATGTCGATTGATAGAGCGGACTGCACTCCAGATAAATACATCAGATGATTATTCTGGATTGAATATTTTTTACCAATAATCTCACACCTTTTTATTACATAATAATATAGCTGTTGCAAAACGATTTTTATTTAGACCATGATTTTGTAACTAAAACAGGAGGGCGAATATATCTCTGCGTATACTGTGTATGTGTGTATTAATATGTAATGACTCAATTATATTCTTTGGTTAAAAGGTTCGCACTGATAGAAATTCATCAGATAACATGCTGTCAGGTGTTGGGAACGGCCAGAATAGAGAGGAACAGAAGAAAGTTATTGTGAGAGGTAATTTTGTCGTTCCTATTTCATAAAACCAAAGATTGGATTACAACTTAAAAATTCGATTTAACTATGTTCTATGATATTAAATAGTTCCTTGCCGATACAATACCTATAACATTTTTACCTTTTATTATTATTATAATTGATTTATAATCATTAGTAAGTATGCTATACTATAATATTTTAGCTAATTAGATTAAAATCTATAACTTAAGAAAACATCAGATCTTTGTAATAATAGTTGTGTACATTTCTAAACAAATTTATTTTTTGTAATAACAAACATATAACACACAAAGACTAAGTTCCAATAGAGATTTATGTTCCTAGTAATAAGCACTGGATTATATAGCTACGACTTTTTATGGGCCTTAACCACGGATTGCATCTGTTTCCTTGATCATTTTTGAATTTGACAAGTAGATAGATCAGCAGTCTTCTATGTCCAAAATACGTCGTTACGTTTTACTTCTATACCTACGTTTATACCCTTGTTTGAACACACAACAGGTCGCTTTGTGTTCACAAGCCCAGCACTGTCTTCTTTACTTCTTCCAAATAGTTTAATCTTACACAACATGTGTAATATTTTTATACTCGCCAAATTGCTATAGGCGGGAAAAGCGCATCAAAGGTTGTTACACCACAGAAAACAAGACGTGTGAACCCCATTGTTGGGTCAAATAGTGCCAGGGCGCGACCCCTATTTCTGCAATTTGTTTGTACACCTTTCAGTAATCAATAGTGGTTGCTGCGTAACTAATGTCCTAATTAAGATCTTCCATTGTTTTGATACCATATTATATTGTGGTAAAACTTCTGACAATCGAAAATACACATTTTCGAAATTAGTAAAAATTTTCAAATATGTACATTGTACACTCTACTTATTTAATATGTCAAAAGCACTTTGAAACCTTGGACTTTAAAAACGTTAGGTTAAACTTTAAAAATTATATCCTACATATGAACTTTAAAATAGGCAGTTAAATTCACAATACACACACTATCTTTTTAATACTAGGAAACAGTTTAATTACGATAACTGAATTTCGTCGCATATTATAAATTGTCATCATTTGGTCCAGGTGCGTTTGGGACTAGTTCCCACGGGACATCGCGTGATCATCGTTGATGTTCGTGCCGTTTATGCAATAACCATGTAAATTAATTTTTTAAAGCGATTATTATAGATCTGCGTTGAGTGTTCACACAAATATATTGTGTACCTAATGACATCTTCGTTGAATTGGATAAACAATAGCATAAAGTGATTATAAAAATTTCAGCAATCAAAATAAAAAGCCACAAGTATGTTAGTCAAAAACATTGATTAACTCTCAGTGAGTCCTATGGTTATGAGAATTGAAAGCTATAAATTAAATTAAATTACCTTTTTACGGTATTTTGTTTTATATTTTTCGAATGCATTTGGATTAAACAAAATAAAATATAATAAAATTCAAACACCTGTAATTATAAAAATATCTAATAAACAATAGATTTTTTTTCTTACTTTTGCTTCTTCTGAATTGCCCTAAATATTATACTATTAATCACTTATTAATTATTATTGTTACTAAAGTAATTCATGTACGTATGACTAATAATGGGAAAATAAGGGGAGTATTTTTGACGTTTATATTTTTTTTTAAATTTTGCTTACTAGCTCAAGCGCAGTCGTATTAGTCTATACTTTTCCTTCCATTAAAACCATTTAATAGGTAAATAATTTTAATATGGCAAAAACAGTCCATTAAGATATAATTATACATGAATAATGTTTAAAATGTAATGTAAATTTTATACAAGATTTAATAATTACAATTACTAATTACAAAAACTACTCATGAATTACTTCATATAATATGCTAATGTAACAATTATTTTCACTGTAAACTTGATACACTTGAATCTTATAATTGCTTATTAATGTAAAAAATTTGTTGGGTAATAAAGTAAATATACTTAATTCATTTTCCATTTTAATATACAGCTGATGACACATCAGGAATTACAACTCAACAATTGCAACAATGTAAACAAGGGTGTGATATGAAGTGCATTAGCGAATCACGCCGTAGCAAATTTTCTATTTTGTCTTCAAGTGGGGAGGCGGTGTGTATTAGATTGATATTAAGTAGCCCCTTTTAAATATGTTCATCAATATTTTCTAAGGATGCTTATAGTTTAGCCGATCGCAATATTAATGTAACGCGTTGTTTCCATATAATATTATCTAATATATAAAATTCTCGTGTCATAATCTTCGTTCCCATACTCCTCCGAAACGGCTCGACCGATTCTTATAATTTTTTATGCATATTCAGTAAGTCTGAGAATAGGCTACTATCTATTTTTCAAACCCCTAAATTTAAAGGGTGGTCCACCCCTGAATTTTTATGTTTTATGATACAACATACAAAAATACATACAACCCTTAATTTTCACCTCTCTACGATCAACCCCTATTTTTTATTTGTTGATTAAAATCTTATGACTTGAACTCTGAGGTTTATATAGAGAAACATTCACAGAAAAACCTAAAAAGTTTTTATTCCGGAAAACCGAACAGTCTCTGGGTTAGCATAGCAAACGAATTTCGCGGTGGCATCTAGTTATTTCATAAAATTCCATGTTTTCCGTTTCATATGCCTTTTGTGTAACATTTCAAAAGGCTTAAAATGAAATATAAAGAATCAAGAATTACGCGCGGCTTTATTTCAAAATTATAAAAAAATATTATTAACAAAGGGGTGAATACAACGATTAACGCCAAGTGCGCACCGCATAATCTTTTTTTCAATTACTAAAAACACCTTATCGAAATGTTTTGTAGGATTTACATAGAGATTAGTGCGCACGTGCGACACTTTATTGACTGATTCCGAACGCAGCGAGATTTTTTATGCATTGAATTTTTGTTTAGCATTTAGTACAAAGTAGTAAAAAAGTAATATCCCCAATATTACTTTTTTAACATATTTTAAAATCGCATTAAGTATTTCGAAGACATGCGAAAACGATATTACACAAAACAAAAGATTGCATAAAGTTTTTACATATTGTTAGTCTGGCTGTTTCTTAGTAAAAAGTAAACAACAACTGACACTGATTTGATAAGTCATTCAAAATATTGTTTTTTAATCTTTATCAAGTATATAATAAAATATTTTAGAAAAAATATTACTAAAATGCCTATAAAGATATTGCTTGCGCGTCAGATTCTCGATGCTACTGGCATTCCTACGGTAGAAGTAGATATGGTAACGGAATTAGGTTTATTCCGCATCGGCGTTCCCTCAACCGATGTGAAGAAGGTTGCAGAAGCAGTGCAGATGCGCGACGGTATCCCATCGGAGTACAATGGGAAGGGAGTAACAATGGCTGTTAAGAATATCAACACTATTATAGGACCGGAGCTTATTAAACAGAATCTAGAGGTGACCATGCAAAAAGAGATAGATCAATTTATGATAGCCCTGGATGGAACTGAAAACAAATCGAGACTTGGGTCTAATGCCATAATGGCTGTATCCCTAGTTGTCGCTAAAGCTGGCGGAGCAAAAAAAGGGGTCCCCCTGTATCGCCATATTTCTGACATGGCTGGAGTTACGAGTATAATACTTCCAGTGCCACACTTTGTTATTTTGACTGGAGGAATTATAGCTTCAAATGGATTACCATTTCAAGAATATATTATTATGCCTACTGGGGCTGCATCATTCGCAGAAGCCGTTCGAATTGGTTCTGAAATATATCATTATGTAAAAAATATTATCAAGTCTAAATACTCCATTGAAACTACGTATGTGAGTGACTCAGGCGGCTTTGCGATTCCCCTTGAAAGCCACAGAGATGCGTTGCTGTTTTTAACTGATGCCATCAAACAGTGTGGCTATGTTGGAAAAGCTGAGATTGCAATAAATGCTGCCGCTTCCGATTTATTCAAAGATGGAGCATATGATTTGGAATTTAAAAATCCTAACTCAAATCCACAAGAATACATGTCGTCTGATAAATTAGCTGAAGTCTATTTAGATAATATGAAAGAGTTTCCAGTTTGTTCAATTGAAGACGCTTTCGAATATGATGATTGGGCAGCTTGGTCAACACTTGCTGCCCGAACGCAAAGTCAACTTTTTGGTAATGACTTGACACAAACAAATCTCCGCAGAGTAGGTCTAGCGGTTGAAAAGAAAGCGGGAAATACAATTGCACTAAGATTAAACCAAGCCGGTACACTGACAGAAGTAATCGAAGCTTATAAAATATTAAAGACTAATGGATTTGGAATAGTAGTATGCGACCGTTGGGGCGACACTGATGATTTATTTCTATCGGATCTTGTAGTGGGCTTGTCCGCCGGCCAAGTGAAATGCGGAGCGCCAACTCGAGGCGAACATATTGGCAAATACAATCAAATCCTGAGAATCGAGGAAGAGTTAGGTGCTTTGTCTAAATACGCCGGTAAAAACTATCGTAATCAAATACAATAAAATTACGTAAACCTATTTAAGTACTTATTATTTTATATCCATACGCTCTATATCTGTATTTTGACCTAAGTAGGCAATCAATACCAGGTATAGTAGAATTAATTATTTATCGGCTGCCACATTATGCGACAAGCGGTCTAATCACAGGAAATACTCATTATATCTATTGTAATATAGTCTAAACTGTTATTAATGCACTTGTAGAATCGAATTCTATTAGGGTTGCCATATCGTCGGGGCTGCTCAATAAAATGTAGTAGAAAAATTGTCTACTGTATTTTTTTCTTTTTGAATTATAGAACGGCAAGAAAGTTCAAATTAATTTTTCACGTCAGAATTTAACAATTGAAAATGAGATGCATTTTGGTCAATCGCCATAAAAAGTCATAGAGACCATAGAGATTCATATGCCTAGGTAAACGTTGTAATGATGTTTTAACTTGAAAATGTTAGATTTTGTAGATTAAATTACGTAGTAAATAAAGTTGAGTAGTTTAATATGTTATCGGTCGTTAATGAATGGCATAGGTCAACCCTATCTTGCGATATGGTTTAGGGGCATAATAGCACGCACGTGCGTCACCCTCAGCTACACCCTAACACTACCCTATACACCGCATTCGCAAAGTTTTGTTAGCCCCCAGAGAATATTTAGACTCTCTTCAAAGTAATTGTAGATAAATAAAACTAATGTTAACGCAAGGGTGAAAGCGATTTAAATGTTTTTCATTAACTATTTAATACATGGTACAATTAATATTCTTTATCTTAATATGAAACTCCGTTTAATATCTATGATTGATAGATTTCTAATTTTTATTGTACTGTTAAAAGGAAATAGGTATTATATTAAATAATACTATAAATATTGTATATCTTTGAAGCAGTTATGACTGTAAAGAAGCATCCAAAATTATTTAAAACATGTAAAGAAACTTGCTTGTATATATACCGAGAGATCCAACACGGCTGCGGGTGCCTGCATGTTGCACCGCGCTATATTCCAAAAATTGTTACGCCATGGCTATAAGAATGTTTAATCACCTTCGTAGAAGTTATAGATCGCTGCCATGTAATGGTTTCAAGGGGAAGGTCATTAGGTTTTTAAAGTCAAGGTGCTTTCATAGCGTGACCGAGTATTTAGACCATAAGTTTAACAATTATAAATGACTTAACTTCTTATTATGACATTATGTTAATGTTCTTATTATATGACATTGCCAAAATTTATATGACATTTGCATGGCTATTTATATATGGCTGATTGTGCGGATTTTTCTTGTTGATCGATGTAATTGTACCACTATCTTGGCAAATAAACGATTTATTTATTTATTATTAGAATTTTTTTAAATAAAATTTATGTTATTTAATTTTAAAAAAACAAACAAAATATATAATTGACGTCACATAATTTTTTTTCAGGCAGTAATTTCCAGTCACATTCCCTATCGTGGTCACGACGGGGTGACAGGCCCCCAGGTACAACTTTGCACGCCAAAATCTGGGTTCCGGAGGATCCAAGAGTATTCAATAGCACAATTGACCTCCTTGAAAAAGAGGAGCTAAGATAATTTGAAAAAAACGGCAGCCGACACTGACTTCTAAAGATTCTCTTACGAATGCACTTAATTACGGAAAATTATTTAAAATAGCATAAGCATAGGTGTGTAATGTTTATGCTAAATTGTTATGGTAACTTTGTATTACTGGCGGTAGTGTTTTTAAATTATTTTACAAATTTATCGAAAGTTGTGAAGCCACAAATTTAAAAATCAGAATGAATATTTTTTTAATTTCCACGATGAGGAATGTAATAGTATAGTATTGTAAATTATTCTATGATAAGTAATTATCTAGTCGTTGTAGATATTTTATCGTACGTTAAACTCTCTCTATATACCAAAGAAAGTAACAAATTCTAGTTATCTACAACTATATTATTTGTAAGCTAAGCAGTATAATATATCTGTTCCTATAATTTTAAAATTAGTTTTATTTTGTTATTAGTTAGTTCGTAGCTACATACGAAACGCAATGGAAAAACGAGTACATTTTTAATCGAAATAACGTAAGTTAACGAAGGGAGGAGGCGGTATCCCCCCTTCTTCAGGTGTTTGCGTTCCCAGAGGGGAACTGAGTGCCTTGAAAATTGCGAATATTTTAGCATCACAGTTTATATGAAAAGTTCTGTTAGGTTAACAGTCTCTGATCGATTAGTCTGTTTTTAAGATACCGCTTTTATTATTATAGAGAATTTTTAATATATCAACGAGAGTCCTGTTCTAACCTGACGAAACCACATTTATTTCGGCTTGGCTAGTAAATAAATATCCTTAAACCCCAACTAATTTAGATACACTTAATACCGTTCTTATTCAATCCTATCCTAGAATTGTGTACATACTAATACTTGTAAAAAATGAAGGAAAATTTTCTGATCTTGAATCTTAAACAACCTACCAACTACTTTACTTCTTTGAGAAATTGCTCTATGAATGGCAACTACAACCAATAGAATAGGTTTTCAACAGCATACTCTAAACATTATCGCCTTATCCAAACCTTTGCGCTAAAATTTCTTATAAATAATTAATATATTAATATAATTAATAATATAAGTAATCATCCGTCAAGCCCTCCTTTAAAATGAAAAAATGCAAACCTCACCCGTACAGGGCATACTCGATAATTTATTCTCATTGTTTGTAAAAGTTTTGGGATTTCAACGATTTCAACGATTACATCGGATATTGCTGGTTGATTAAATTTTATAATAGTTGTTCTAAATTAGGTTTTTATTTTCGCGAATATTACAGTACAGTTTAAGTAGGAATAATTATTAATAATATAAATTAGTTTAAGTAATTATTAAAAACTGAATTCTTTGTTTTAGTTGTACATATGTATTTCAATACCTACAGAAACGAATCATGAAAAACATCCTTCATGGATACGATCAATAAACTGTGCTTGTCCGGATTGGTTGCAAATGTTCTTTCTCACGCTCGCTATATCACAAAGCGTTAAGCGACAACTTTATTGAAGCAAGCATGAAGCATAGATAAAATAAATTGTGTTTGGCAGTATTAATAAAATCTGCATAAGCTTCAAGAATGAATCTGACTGGTTTCAGATTAACATATACATACATATACTAAAAGTGGTAAATTCCATAAGCAAATATATTTTTGGGACGAGTACAAAACTTAGCGATGATGTAATTCCTTTGTTGGAAAAATCTAGACAGAACGAGAGAGATTGAGTTATTGTATACTTACCCGTTATTGTTAATTTTAATAACTAGCTATCAATAATGTCTTATCAGTCTTATATATTTACAATTAATACTACACTATATTCATATGTGTACATGGGTTTAGTCATAAATGGGTTCAAAATAAATCGTGTCATCGTCCTTATTATTACAAACAATATAATTTAAATTTAGCACGCGATAAACTAGGATTAAATAAAATAAAACCGTTATTAGAATAGCTCTTTATTTCTAACACAACTATTAAAAATGCATGTATAAAATCATATTCTCTTGACATTGTAACTAAATTTTAATAAATTATATACATTTCAATTAAAATTAGAATAACAAAGTGCAGTAAGGCTCACAATAAACTGATGAACATTTAACACTAATTATTCAAATTGAGCAAACCGGCCATTGAAAAAATTTAAACCAACAAATATATCTTGTCAAATCAAATGTAAATTAGTGATTACTACAATGGATTAAGTGCTAACTTTAAGTCTATGTAAGAAATATAGACCCAAATTCAATTTGTAGCATAGGTTTTAAAGATATTTGTTATACTCCTGCGATTCAGTACATCACATAAAATATTCCAAATATTGTATTCAGTTGTCTGACAAAAAAAGTGACACACGGATTAGTAAAACTATATAAAGTTATAGAAGTTAAGTGTGTTTAGTCAAAGATTAGTCAAAAGTTCACAGATGTAAATTACAAAACTGTGTTGGATTTGACACGCGGAAGTCATGCTAAGCTATATAACTCAGCTCCAAATCTTATCCTAAGATTTTTCATCTTAAGAACAATACAGTTTAGCTTAAACTGTTGTAATACATTACAACAAAACATCAATGACGTGAAAATAAATAAATAAAATAGTAACACAATTTGTTCTGGGTTCATTTACATTTACTTAAGTACAAGTACTAAAGCACTGAAACATGACTGTTCACATGACGTTGTACAATAGAATTAAAAAAGTTTAGTACATAACTTCTAAAATCATATCTTTCCTTAAATAGCGTTAATCCTCTAACTTATAAATTTACTGCCCTTACTGCCTTTTAGTGGCTAATAATTATTTCTTTAGCGACGCGATTAATGTTGACATTTGAATTTCTATTCATATGTTGTTTTTTCTTCAAAAAATGTACATAGATAGATAACTTCACCAGGCTACTCCACAATAATATATATATAAAAAGATTATAATTTTATGGAGCTCGGCTGGACAAGAATAATAAGCAATATTTTATTATAACCATATCATGCATCAGTACTATAATAAATGATCAGTCTACTTAATAATAATCAATATCTATTATGACTAAAAGGCATGCAATAATTTATTCATAATATTATTATTTACTATGTGCTTTATTTTTTATCTACAATCTTATTTTATACCGTTAAGAACTTTTTGGCTTTTCATCAAGTTTAGACTTAAAGTATTTTTTAACCGCCATTTTAAGAAGTCGTTTGTATAAAAATGGCCAAGGCAAGAAAATAAAGAAACCTGAGAAAAATAAGCTGTAGTATACTTGCCACCACTTCGAAAATATTTTGAGATCAAACGGAGCCAAACTCCAACCCATAAAAACGATAGTATAAGCTTTTAGGAATACATACATAACATACTTCAAAGGTGAATTCCAGACCTTTTCATATAAGGTGGTTTTTGAAATAATACTTTCCATTTCTTTTTCCATAAATATAATGATGAATTCATTGAAGAATGTCATGTAATAACCAGAACGTAGTCCATGCCACAGAGCTAAAAATAAGAGTGTGAAAAACTGGCTTAAGTGACGGTTATTCAAAAACTTAAGCCTTTTGTAGATATATTCAGCTGCAAAGAAGTTTGTATTACAATTGAAACTGTCTATATAGTGTTGGAATTTAGTTGCTCCTTCGAAAAGCATCAGCTTGATGTTATTACAACCATCCCACTTGGCAACCATACCTTCTTTTGTTACCTCATTTCCATTGTACGACAATCCAAAACGAATGCATGAGGCTGAAAAGGTAAAATTTATTTTTGCAGTTTTGCAAACAAGTAGATTTGTTTACCCACAGTTTCTAATGGTTAATAAATATTTTAAAGCATAAATCTAGTAGGATACAGAGACAGCTGCTTCTTTTTGAAGTTATACTTCTTTAGGCGCGTTATGTAAAATTGATGAGAGTGAATTTTAATAGTTTTTAAATAATTCTCCACAGCCATCATTATTCTTGTGTTAAATACATCTAAACATGCTGCCATTGTGTAAATATTTAAATAATTACTGAAGTAATACTAGATATTTAAATTTACTGGTTAAATTAAGTCCTTATTGTATGTTAATGTCTTGTAATTGGAATTTAGTAGTTTACTTACTTTATTTGTCAATTACTAATTAATACTTGGGTTACCTTAAATATTTCACTTACCTTCTGTAAGTAGCCAGCAAGAAATATACTTGTATAGAGCAAAATGAGCCCATAAGCCACAGTAAAAATGTCGGTAAATAATAGATGTTTCCCAGAACTCATCAGACATCATGTATTTAATATTGAAGACAGACACTAAAATAAATTTGATTTTAATGGAATAAATTAAATAATTTGAAATAATGAATTTTGTTAAATTTAGGTTTAACCATTTATATGTGGAAAACTATTTTATTTTAAATAAAGGAATACAACTGTATAAATTTTTAGTTTTATAAGGAATAAAATTAGGTTAATTAGGTAATTGAGGTATCATATTTGACATAGCTCAAACTTTCTAGATCTTATTTCATTAAATAAGATTTTAAAAAACTAGACAATCTTTTTAAAGCATACAAGTTGGACTTAATATGGAATTATTTACAAAGATTTCTCACCTCCTACTTGAAATGCTATTAAATAAGCAAGACCTAGAAGAAGCCTTTGCACTGCATGTTTTTGGAGACTTTTAGATTCACTTTCAAGAGGATATTTGTCAGAAACAAAATCAATGTATCGTTTGAATGAAAATATAGGCCCAACAAGGAAACAAGCAGGAAAATAAACAAATCCAAAAAGCTCTAAGAGTGTTGGTGCCCTCTCCAAAGCAGTTATTCTATTGTTACTTGATAATTCTTTTCCTTGTTTTAATTTTTGGCCATCCCAAATATCAAACGAAAGTGCAATCAGTTTTAGGGTCAGGACACAATGGGGCATTGTCCATGTTATATCATAATCCTCAGACTCTGTCATAACATATCCAACTAAAAGATATGTCATGTTAAATACAAATGTTATAATTGCATTCCATTTCCCTGGGCCAAACAACAATGTAGTAAGATATATTACAAGTGCAGGTATAGCATTATGGATAAATGACCATCCAAAATTGTAAATTGCAAGATCAACCCCCATCAACGCAAAGTAAATATGCCTCAGTGGTTTATGTTCTTTTATCTTTGCATTGTATATAATTCCTAAGGGGTAACCCAGTAAGATTGATATTAGAAGCTTTAGAGCTGGCTCAGTAGTTCCAATTATATGGGCAAGAAATGGTACTGGGCTTAGGTTTAGCCAGCCCAAAAGTAACAAAACACACCCAATCATGTTTTAAAACCTGGAAGAAAAAAAAATTGGCTATAATATTGACAATATATTTTAACAATGTTTGAATTAATATTGTAATGATCACTTTGGTAAACTTTCCAATATGGACTATCAAATTGAATGCCCATATTTTTTTTGTAGATAGTTCATAGTACTCACTAAAAGAAATTGTTTTGCAAAGTTTTAAGTTGCGGAAACTTATGGTTCATGAGATACCTACATTTATTTTTACTTTCCATACAAATGGGCAAATAACATGCCATAACATAATAAATTTGGCAAATAATTGATTGATGAACTGTACATTTTCTATTGGTTATTAGAGATGTGACATTCTGCATCAAATTGTTTTTTTAATTAATCTATGGTTTTTTTAACATGAAATATTGATAAATAAAAAATAATAGATATTTTTATATTTATTGATTATTTTCCAATTTTTGAACTTTATAGTTTTAGAATATCCACTTTTAACCAATCACTTTCACGCGCCAGAAACAGTTATTTTAAAAAAATATGAATATACTAACCTAACCTAACTGAACTAGATAATAATTGATTTTTTGTACAGCTCCGGCGCTACGGGAAATGCAGCCCCTCGACCCTTGCGTACCAAAGCATCGGCATTTTATTCAATGCTTTGTTACAGTGGGTGGGGCTGCTTTTCCTTCGCGCCTCCGATTTTTTATATACATTATACACTATAGGGGCAGGGCAGACAAGACCACGTGGATAGTGGGGCACTCTGATTCGGTTTTGGGTACTTTTTGAATATAAAATTTGGGAAATAAAGTAAGTAAACAGTTTAAAGTATCGATATTTTCAAATTTTTCTAAACCTACACTAATTGAAATGTGAATTGACGTTTAACATCAATTATTTGTCAAATTTATTATGTTATGGCGTGTTATTTGCCCATTTGTATGGAAAGTAAAAATAAATGTAGGTATCTCATGAACCGTAAGTTTCCGCAACTTAAAACTTTGCAAAACGCTTTCTTTTAGTGAGTACTATGAACTATCTACAAAAAAAATATGGGCATTCAATTCGATAGTCCATATTGGAAAGTTTAGCCATCACTTTATCTTAACTGTGTCAATAATGATAAGACATCTAAATTTAGAGCATAAAACAAAAACATTTACTCCAGAGATATAGTGTTGGGATTATACATTTTATGTCCGTACATTTTACTCTTACCCTGTGGCAAAACAATAAACATTTAGATATTTTTCTTATAAAAAATAGGTGAATTAAAAACGTGTGCAATTATAATATCATTGACAGCTATAGCAACTTCAAAACATATATAGAATCATCAAAACTGACTTTTTAGTGTATTGTATGTTATTGATTTGTATGATAATGAGCAATTCGTACGGATAATTTCTAATTTTACCTCGTTATCATGCTTCACGAACAACAGCGAGGAGTCAGCAGCAATGACGCCAAGGTGAAAGATGCAGATTTGAATTTATTTTTTGAGAGATAAAGAATTGGCTTTTAGCTGTACCTTGCGATCAACTCGACTGGGAAATGAATGGCGCATAGATTAGAAATTAGAATTTAGAAGTTAGTAGTTAGTAGCACAGAGTAAATGGCCGATGCTGGCACGTACCTGTCTACTTTGAGTTTTTTGAACCATTAATTCTCCTTCACTAAAATTTGTTTATCTCTTTCGTCAAAGGCAAAGATACTGTAGACAGAAAGAGACTAAGTTATATTTTAGAATACGTATTTTAATGACCAATATAGACATACAGATTTAGAAGAGGTAACAGTGTTACCAACTCGAATTTTATGATTTATCGAGTAGGTAGAAACAATTTCAAAAGTTGGTAGTTTCCAACCATCTTCAATTCGAAAAGTAGGTAGATCTACCAACTATAATTTCGAGTTTTATATAAAATCCTACCCTAAAATGTGATACCTTTAATTCATTTTTAAAAAAATGAATATTAACTAAAAAATTGACAATATTCATAAAAAATCAAAGCATATTAGGGATTGAAGAGATCAATCTAACATAATTTATTTGCTGGCTGGAAACTGAAATGCTTAATCCAACCTGCATATTCTGGTTATTTTTCTCAGAATTTTGAATATTTTTGATCATAATTAATTTTCCTCAATTTTCGTGGAGGAGAATTTTTACTTTAATTACTAATCATTTTATTTTTAATGTTTAGATAGACCAATAGTACTAAAATACTTTATTTAATAACATTCAACGCTGCGCTTTACAGTCTTGAAGTTAGTCATTATTCGAAACTCGCAATAAATAAGCCGAGGTTTCTTATTGGCTGATGTATATCGATATATTTCAACTGTCAAGAACGCAAAAGCGCGCTGTTTTTAACTTATTGTGTGCTTAAAAGAAAATTAAACAGTATTAAAAAAAATTCAATTAAAAATTTATATAAACAAAAAGTTGGTGGATTTTCTTTATAAGGAAGTAGATTTGAGAAATATCCTAAAAGTTGGTAGATCTACCTAAAAGTTACTAGATTTACCTAAAAGTTAGTAGATCTACCTAAAAGTTGGTAGAGTTGGGAATACTGAGAGATAAACGGATGACATTTGTATTTTTTGCAAGAATAGATTTTGAACGATCACAGATTCATAATATCGACTCGGTAACCTAAGTATAATATTATATAAAATAACTAATTTAAAGAAGTGTCAGTGACATCTACTGGGGGCCTACCATGAACTTTCTTAAAACAATCCAGTTGAGATGCAGCGGAGTTTAGGTACCTAAAGTCAATAGCATTTTTTCGTACCATGACCGCCTATAAGCTGAAACGTATTAGCATCGCAAGACCGAATGTAAAGTGCCCTGGGGCCTTAGTCAAGATGCCTTAACAGTAGTGTATGTAGAAAGTCGAAAACTTAATTTGTATGGAAATGACAGTTCGTGTCGAAAAGTTTTCATACAAATTTAGTTTTTGACGTCAAATTGTTTGTCAAATTTTACGTGTTTGTCAAATTATTTGATAGTGTACTGCTGTGTTTGAAGCGTTTGTCAAACAATCTACGTGTTTGTCGTGTTTGATGAAAATCTGGATTGATGTCGAGTTTGAAACAAGATTTCACTCGTTGTATTGACAATTGACATCATGGAGGACGATACGCTCAGTGACAATATGAGTGTCAATATTAATAACAAAGAATTTATGTTGCTTTTCATATCTGTTTATCGTGATATGCCGATTTAGATTTTATGGAAAATTAAAGGAAAAGATTATATGGACAAGAACAAGAGAAGCACAGCAATAAAAAAAATGACAAATGTACTGAAGATGTGTCGCCGGAACATTACGGAGGAAGACGTGAAGAAAAAAATTAATATTCTACGTACGAGTTTCAAGCGCAAAAACAATAAAGTTAAAAAGTCAATGCTTTCTGGTTCTGGTACAGATGATCTGTATTCTGTATGTACCATCATTATGGTACTACAAAGACTTAGAATTTCTGCAAGATCAAATGGAGGGAGAATCAGGAATTAGCACAATAATAGAACAAGAGGTAAATAGTAGTATTGTTTATTGTATTGTATTTTTCACACGTACACATCAAGCTATACTTAACCAGTATAAGCTGACTTCTGATTGTACGAAAAGCATATACAATGCGAGGTCAGCTAAAACTGGTTTTGTATAGCTTGATGTGAAGCCGTGTGTAGGTAAAACATAAAAAATTACTCTAAACATTTCTTTTGCCATGGAACAGCGCCCGTTGTATTTAAATATTCACAAAAATCATCTCTAACTTGTTTTGCTAGAGTAGCACTATTTCCAGATCGAGTATGCTCAATACCTAACAACATTGACTCATTTCTCCAAGTACCTGGAATAACAGCCCCTGTAACAAAATCTTCCACATCTATTTTTCCATGTCGAACGTAATTTTTTTGTTTCATAAGTAAATTGTGTAGATGGCAACACGCCATTACTACTATTTTTGCTTTTCTTGGAGATAATTTAATATGTTTTTGGAAAATCTTAAAACGACTTGCAAGAATGCCAAATACATTTTCAATTATTCGCCGAGCACGAGATAATCTATAATTGAAGATCCTTCTGTTATCATTTAACACTTGTTTATTGTAAGGTTTCATAAAGTTTGGAAGTAGTTGGAAAGCTTCATCGCCTACAAACACAAAAGGCATTTTTTTATTAGTGTTTGGCAATTCTTCTGGCTCTGGAATCTGTAATTGATTATTCTCAAAGCAATGCCAAAATTTTGTATTTTTAATTACTTACCCCTCTATCTGACACTCTGCCATTTGTACCGACATCAACCATAATGAATTCATAATTTGCATTGGCTATACCCATAAGTACTATGCTGTATGTTCCTTTATAGTTATAATAGTAGGAACCAGAATGCTCAGGTTTTTGCAAAGTGATATGTTTTCCATCTACAGCTCCAATGCAATTATCAAAATTCCATGCATTTCCAAATCGTTGCGCCAATATCTTCCAATTTTCTTTTGTTCTGGGTACCTGAAATAGAAAAATGTTTATTATAATGTTGTTTTTATTTCCAGGAATCATCATCATCACAATCTTTAAACTCAACACCTTCGCAACCTTTAGCATCTACAAATACAATGTGCAATCAAAAAGGAAGAGAAGTGAGGACTTGCAGTGTGACTTATTGACATTAGCCAGGGATCATTTCAAAAAACCAGAAAATGAATATCAAGCAATGGCAAGAAACTGGGCCTTTAAACTGGAGAGGATGTCTGCACAACAAAGACGACTGGCCGAAAAGTTCATCAACGAAATACTCTTTGAAGGTGAAGAAGGAAATCTTCGTAGACATTCAGTAATAATTAATCCGAGCAATCAATATTCCATTCCCTCATCTCCATCTTCTGTTTCATACATTCAATCTCCTACCTCTCCCACTCAATCTACTGTTCCGCAATCTCCATCTCCCGTTCCGTACATTCAATCTTCTACCTCTCACACTCAATCTACTGTTCCGCAATCTCCTTCTCCCGTTCCGTACATTCAATCTTCTACCTCTCACACCCAATCTACTGTTCCGCAATCTCCTTCTCCCGTTCCGTACATTCAATCTTCTACCTCTCACACTCAATCTACTGTTCCGCAATCTCCTTCTCCCGTTCCGTACATTCAATCTTCTACCTCTCACACTCAATCTACTAAGAACGATAATTTTGTTTGTGGTTTCTGTATTGGTCTAAGATCCCGCTGCAGGATTGGTGCGCTCATCGACTATTTGTTTAAAACCAAATTTTTATGTTTATTTATAATTAAGAGAATATATATTTACTAGGGTGCCTATCAAAATTTGGCCGCCATTATTTTTAATTAAATTATTTTTAATTGATTTTTGGTAAAAAATTGCGTTCATTTATTATTTAAATAAAATAACGTCTACATCACGGTAATTAATATGAAGATTCTAAAAAATCATGGGTGCCGTTGCGCACATGGCCGCACCTCTTTGCAGCCAGGTGTAAACAGGTATGATTTCGATAAATTTATACGTTTATAACCTATTTTTATTAATTATATGTCAAATTGAAGCTAATTTTTTTCTATTAATTATCATATAAAGTTGCTTAATTAAATCTGGCCGCAAATAAGGGCTACTGGCTGTTAAAGATAATAAATATTTAAGGTAGAGTGAAAGAGAGTTAGCGCGTAACATCATTTGTCAGACGAGGACAGCGATTGTCGGCTGTGCGACGCTTTTAAGCCATTGCACATGCGTCGAACGTTAGTGTTCTCAACCACCAGGGAGTAATAGAGACGACTTATAATAAATACTCCAAAAAATATGTAATTTTTTTCAAAATGACAAATTTAAAAATTGCAACAAAAAATTAATATTGATTTGATATATCGACGGTCTAGTTAGCAATTTGTCTAACTCCTTATTTTTAGAGGGTGATTTTTTTAACATTTTGATGAAGACATTATCCAATTACAAATTATTTGAATGATTCAAACTTAAAAATTATATCTCTATTAGATATTAATGATATTAAATGGTTTTTTAAAATGATAATAAATTTTGAAGTCATTGTTTTTTTTCGTACAAATAAAAGATTCTCTAAAATGGAGTTAGATAATTTGCTAATTAGAACGTCGATATTTAATATGAATTTAAAAAATAAAAAAATAAAACCAAGGTGACTTAAGTAAAAGAAAATTTTATTGCGAAAGTATTATTTAAAAATTTTATTAGATTTTATTCAAGTAATTGATTGTCTATTACATATTAATTAAACATTAAAGCAAATTAAAAAATTAAAAAAATTAATCTTATAACTCTTATATTTCCGTAACTCTTTTTTAAAAATCTGAATCATCGGAGCTTTCTGTTGTACTATCATCGGAGCTATCACTTTCATCGCTACAAATATCAGAATCGTCGTTATCGGAAGCTTTGTTCATGGATTCACATAGCACACTATTAACTTGCGTTGGAGTTGAGTCTCCCAGGAACCATGTTGGTTTTAAAAAACCATCTAGTACCAGCCAGCCATTCTGGGCTGAATTTGTTGCAATTTTTAAATTTGTCATTTTGAAAAAAAAATTCATATTTTTTGGAGTATTTATTATAAGTCGTCTCTATTACTCCCCGGTGGTTGAGAACACTAACGTTCGACGCATGCGCAATGGCTTAAAAGCGTCGCACAGCCGACAATCGCTGTCCTCGTCTGACAAATGATGTTACGCGCTAACTCTCTTTCACTCTACCTTAAATATTTATTATCTTTAACAGCCAGTAGCCCTTATTTGCGGCCAGATTTAATTAAGCAACTTTATATGATAATTAAAAGAAAAAAATTAGCTTCAATTTGACATATAATTAATAAAAATAGGTTATAAACGTATAAATTTATCGAAATCATACCTGTTTACACCTGGCTACAAAGAGGTGCGGCCATGTGCGCAACGGCACCCGTGATTTTTTAGAATCTTCATATTAATTACCGTGATGTAGACGTTATTTTATTTAAATAATAAATGAACGCAATTTTTTACCAAAAATCAATTAAAAATAATTTAATTAAAAATAATGGCGGCCAAATTTTGATAGGCACCCTAGTAAATATATATTCTCTTAATTATAAAAAAACATAAAAATTTGGTTTTAAACAAATAGTCGATGAGCGCACCAATCCTGCAGCGGGATCTCGTACTATATGTACGTTTAGAAATTTAACTGTCAAACTTACTTCGACAGATGTTTCTATGAAAATTAATAAAATATAAAATTATTTTAAATAATTCATCAATCACAATAAGCTATTATGTCTTAATATATATATTTATTTTATATAAAACTATTCTTTTGATATATTTTAAACGGAGGGTTCTCTGGTGCTATGACAGTTGACACTTATTATTTTTAAACGTTTCCTTCAAATTTTGATAGGAGCTTTCAATATTTTGGTGTTTACAAACTTTCGGTTTTATAAATATAGTTTTACAAATTGTTTAACTTATAAAATAATAGTATGGGGTAAGTATTATTCACAAATTTGTTTCTCAAAAATAAATACCTATAACGAAGTGAATTACTGATATAAAACCCTTTGCAAAAGATATTACAAATCAACTTATTACTCTAAAATCATAAGTAACTATAATAAAAATTAATTCCTTCAAATTGTACAAACTCAATTTATACGTTAACTAATTCATATAATATAAATAATTAATTATACTTTCTTTACAGGAAAGCCCCCTCTTCATCTCCCAATACGGCTGGTCACCGCGGGGAATAATGACTACAACCTTCCATCTCCACTACAAAACCTCGATGTATGCACTTACAATGCCAAATATTTCCTATCAAATGAAAGATTATTATTATGTCGAACCACCAAATTATTCCAATAAAGGTTAATAACAGTACATTACAATATGTTTAAAGCTATGTTTACCTGGGTCAACATGTATCTTTCTCAAAGACAAGACACGTCGATGAGGTTAAAAGACGAGTCAACATAACCTGGAATAAATCCTGGAGCAATAAAGAAACCCTTAAATCAGAATTTTAAAACTTAAGAAAAAAATAATGGACTCATATTTAATACCTTGTCTTACATATGGCTTCCAGACATGGATTAACAAAAACTACACCAAAAACAAAATACAAGTGTGCCAGAGAATGATGGAAAGGAGTCTACTAAACATACAAAGCCAACATCGGAAGAGAAATACAGAAATAAGGAAAACAACAAAAATAATAGACGCTTTAGACAAGGAAAAATGGACACCAAGGGTAACCTGGCAAGAACCAACAAAAAGATTAAGAGGTAGACCAAAGTAAAACTGGATTGATGAAATAAAAAGAAAAGCTGGTGAAAACTGGACCACCAAAGCAAAAGACAGACAGATGTGGAGCAAAATGGAGGAGGCCTTTACCTGTAGAGGGGTCCATAATGATTTAATGATACTTTATAATGATTTATTAAAAAATTAATTTTGTTTTTGATTCTTATTAATTTATTTATCATTTCAAACCTATATACATTGAAATTATTAATTATGATTGGAATATAATTTAAAGATTATAAATAATAATATTGTATTTTTAATGCATGCACATATTATGTAATAATTAATCATATGATATAGTTGTTTAATATGTTATTCATTATGGAAATAAAGAGGCTATAATAATAATAATTTTCTTTACAGCTTAACCTGACAAAATCGCTAAATTGAGAGACTATATGAATAAATGTTTATAACCAATTGAACATTTCCTTAATACATCTTTTTCTATCTTGATGGAGTCATCCTAACTAAATAAATACTGTTATTATAATATTTTTAAATTACTTACTATTTACACATTATCAATTTAAAAATACCTATGTTTTTTTAAACAACAAAAAGCAGAGTAGAATAATACAATTCATGAACATTATGAGGAAAAATTTAATTATTATAAGAAATATCTACGAGTGATATGACATTCTTATTTATTGTAAAATGTGATACTATATTGGGAAATTATGTTTTTGTTAGACACGCCTAAATAATTAATTGAATATTAATGAACCATGTGCAATTATTTGTAGGTACACTGAAATCTTTAACGAGTCAAAGTCGTTAATCTATAGTAAATTATAAACTCAATATCTACGAAGTCTGTAGAAGGGCATTGCCGTCTTGTTTCTCATCTCCGTCGATATTTTAATAATTTATTTTTAATCACACTCTAAACTCAAAATACTCCAAAATATCGGAAATATAAAAATTATATTTTTTTCCTATATTAGCCATAGTAGATAAATCTTATTATTTTAACTTTATTAACAAGTTTAAATACAAATATTGAATTTTATAGGTTCTAAATTATTATTTGGACATTTCGATACAAAAAAGTTGAACAAAAAGTAACTTTTTTAGAATCGCTTATTCTGTCATAGTTGGAAGGCGCAACTGTCAAATTTCGGTTCAGCCGAGCGGTCATGGTACGAATTTTCATACAAATTGAACGAACTAAATCTGATAACCGCTAAGGTCACGTGGGAACATAAACTGTCTCGTTTTTTCGATGTCATGGTACGAATTAGCGATGCATCTTAGTTGTAGGTTGT